GAGGATTCAGAGGTGCCCAAGACAAATTGCTGGACTCTATCGGCCCCCTCTTAAGGACAAAATACCTGGCAGATGACGTGTTCTTGGTTTTTCTATTCCTTTTCGTTTCCGATTCGCAGTTGTGCATGGTTTCAGCCTTGCGTTGGTATATTGAGCTCACCTCCTCGACGGTCACCTACCAGACAATTGCTTGTCTACTGCATGAGCCCTCATAAAGCCGTGTCGGTTACAATGTTCGCAAGATGGGTTCCTTGGATCCTATTCCTTGCTGAGATGAGCCCCTCGTTCGGTGTGCAATCAATACGCGAGGTGGCGGCTTCTTAGGCCTTTTCGGTAGGTGCCTCACTTTCGGATATCTTGCGATTGGCAGATTGGTCTTGAGAAGAGACTTTCCAGACTTTCTATTTTCACCCTTCTTCTAATGCTGCTTTTTTTCTCCTTTCTTAGTGTGAAGCTTCCTGTCATGTTGTAAGATTGAAGATTATACTAGCTTTAATGTACTTGTAATGTATTATCCCACCCTGCTTTGCTATCCCACCCTTTCTGTCTCATGGGTCTTTGTGTATGGATTGATGGTTTTATTTCCATTGGAGTTTTATGTGATTGTTGTTCAGTTATCAGATTGTAGTTTACCCGTTCCTACTATGAAATGATGCATACTGTGTGTTACTTGGGTTTCCACGTTCATGACTATCTGTCTAAACCTGTCACACATTCTCTTTTCAGTTGGATTCGTCCCTGAAGACGTTTTGGTTGTTCGTGTGAAATTCTCGGCAAGTTTACTCCTTCGGATGTTGGATTTAGGAGTTATTGTTATTGCTTGTTATATGTTTGCTTCTGCTTGATGTCGCTTTCTGAAAGAGGAAGTGCTTAGGTCATTACACTTCATGTACATCCTACTCTCTTGTGATTGGTTCTTTTTTTTCTATGTGTTTGCTGTTGTGGAGCTAGTAAAGAGAGATTATGCAAAATACTCGCCTCCTGTCATTACTAAAATTAAGATTATTAGTACACGAAAGCTAGTATAATCTTCAATTACCAGCGCAATGCTGTGTGGAATATACACGCACACACACACACGTTTGCGAAAAAGATAGCACTCACTTTCTATTAAAAAAATGCACATTATTGTAACATTCCAGTCCTTTCTCTCACGCGCTCTCTCTCTCTCTCTATATATTTTTTTTTATTGTACAAATATATAATTAAAGGGACTCTACGGTGCCAGGAAAACAAACCGTCCCCTCTCCCTCCCACCCCCCATCCCAAGTTGCTGAAGGGGTTAAAACCCCTTCAGTGACTTACCTGTATCCAGCGCCGATGTCCCTCGGCGCTGGGTCAGGGTCTGCCCATGCTCCTCCCCCGCCTACGTCATTTCCTATGGGGATTCCTATGATGACGTCCAGTGACGTTTTAACACACTTTTCATGTTCATAGAACACGGAAGTGTCCTCTAGTGGCTGTCTAGTAGTTTATGAAAACTGCAATAATTACACTTGCAGGGTTAAGGGTAGTGGGAGTTGGCACCCAGATGACTCCAATAGGCAGAAGTGGTCTGGGTGCCTGGAGTGTCCCTTTAAGATTGTCCTGATATATAATATTTTTCTAAAACTAAATCAGATTAAAAGCTACATTTTAAAAAGAAATAAGAAGACCTTTGAGGGCATCTCTTGAATACAACAAAGCTTTAATATGTTTTCAATCACTGCACATTACCCGTGTTACAGGCCTCATACTATTTGGGTCCTAGAAGGCTCCAGCCACGGTATTTATTAGAATTGTAGCTTGTTCAGGAGAGTGTATATACACATCTCAAAGCAACTCATTCTCAGCTTATGCCATACCAAAATGTATTCATGTTGTGTGTGAATATCCCCTCAACCGATTCTTATAATAACCTGGCTGTGTAAAAACCACTAGACAAAACATTTGGCAGAAATCTAAATACCAAAGCTTGTCACACCATAGAGCTAATCACCTGCAGTGAAGATGACCATTACATTCTGAAACTGCATATTAGAAGCAAAGACAGACTCTGCTATTCCCTCCATTTATATTGTGAAAGTTTAGTTGCATACACAAACTGGTTTGGCAAAAACCCTTTAATCACACAGCTGTGTGGATTAATAGGACGGTGCGTTAACAAGTCAGTGCCTCCGATTAGCTTAAAGTGTTCTTTTTGGCCACACAACTTCCCAAGCATGGGATAGAGGAGAGAATTGATGCATACTTTCCAAGTGTCCCTATTTAGGAGAGACAGTCCCTATTTTGGGCCCAAATCCCCCCGTCCCTCTTTTTTAGGAGCTCCATATTGTTGGTGTGTATAACAGAGCTCCACAGCAGTAATAATCACTGTATTGTGTCTTTAAACTACAATAAATGTGTTAATTACCCATAATCCGTATAATCTAAGCCTAATGTTGATTACGCTACTCGCCATCTGCTTATTATCCATTAATGCTGATACTTGATGTCATATATTCATATTTAAAATGCTATGTATACTGTGCAGATTAAAGCCATATTAACCCTTTCCCTGCCACGCCAGAGTGGGCGCACAAGCAAGTGACCTAATAAAAACCAATAAATCTGCTGGAGTATATTTAAACTAATCTTTCCCGTTCACCTTTAAAGTGGCCTTCCAAGGAATTACTTTGGAAGAGGCCGGAGAACTTCCTGAATGGTAATTCGGGGAAGTACTTTTATAAATATTTCCCATCTGCCTAGAAAGAGTTCCTGTTCTTGTTTCGGTTTGTGCGTTCGATATTTCGCCATTTAGGTAGACAGCCGTTGCCGTTCTGTAAGGGTTTGTTCTTATTAATTTTGTTACCATATTCCTTTTTGGAAGGATACTAATTTACACTATTTCTGGAAAGATGTAATCTGTAATGTTTTTTTGTTTCCTTTATTTAGTAAGTGGAACATACGTTGACAAGCCAAACAAACAGATTAACAAATTTACTGTGTATACTTCATCAATAAATATCAAATAATACGAGTTTAGACATATTTATTTCATTCATGCACACAGAGGGCATGGATTACAGAGTTACATCGTTACATAGCTGAAAAGAGACTTGCGCCCATCAAGTTCAGCCTTCCTCACATTTGTTTTTTGCTGTTGATCCAAAAGAAGGCAAAAAAACCAGTTTGAAGCACTTCCAATTTTGCAACAAGCTAGGAAAAAAATTCCTTCTTGACCCAAGAACGGCAGTCAGATTTATCCTTGGATCAAGCAGTTATTACCCTACATTGAAAGATTATATCCTTGAATATAAAAGTAAATGAGGGGGCATGTACTAAACAGCGTTTACAGTCTGCAAATAAGCAGAGTTAAAGGGACAGGCAGGTTAACACTACATAAGGGCTCTTTGCCACAGACAGGCAAGGTTGACTAAAGTGAAAATTACATACAGTACTTCCTTGTCGTCATACTCATTCATACCAGCAATGGGTGTTGTGCTAGGCTAAAAACAGTCAGCTGACACTCTCAGCCAATCTCAGCCACCCATTGCTGCTCAGGCGGATACTTCCGCATTAGTCCAAGCAGCTCAGGGGGGATGGGCTGCTCGGCACTCCAGTTTAAAATCATAAAAAACATTAAAAACGGTTTCACACTAAAAGAAAGGATAGCACCAGGGGACTCCAGACACCATAATCAGTTAAATTAGGTGAAGCAAATATAGTGCCTATAGTGTCCCTTTAACAGTTGTAAATCAGTACCAAATCAATAAGGTACGATAACAGAATATAGGCTAGAAGGGCTATTTCCTAAACTGAGAATCCAAAGTGAATTTAAAATTTAAGACCAAAATAGTCAAACTGAAAAACAATCTCTAGTCTGCTAGGCTTTCAGAATGGCTACTTTGGTGTTAAATTGTAAACGTCACTTTCAATTCTTACTTTTGTGTATAGCCCTGTTAATAGTAATGGCCATTAGGCCTTAAAACGCGTCAGCTCTGTTTCAGATGCTCACCCCTTTTTCATATTGCACTACACTGGATTACAGCTATTATTAAAACATTAAGGCTACATACAGGTGGATTTGATTCCTGCTGGTAGGTGCTGCTTCGCACACATACCCCCTTTTCTTCCTTTACATTTGCTGGTGGTTTGGCTTTGGACGGGTTGTTTAGTGAATAATCCCCAAAGAGTCTAAATGGACACAGTACATTTTACCGTTAATAGTATAATGGCATTTAACTTTTGGATTGCCAGTCTGCAGCCTAGCACTGAATGGGAGGAAACTGGGAGCATTTTTCTTTTCTTAAATTATTGGTTAGAAATTCTACCCAACGACTGCAGAAAAACAATGTGAGATAGAGCAGGAATTAGCGGGTTGGAAATGCTTTCATTATTCAAGAAAGAACAAGATAGAGTATAGTATGAAAAACAGCAGATTTTTTGGGGGAAAAAAATGTCTAGAGAGCAGCTCTATAATGAGAGAAGCTATTGTGTCAGCTGCGCCCTCTACTGGTCATGTCAGTCATCATTTTTCTTGCTCAGTTTTTTCAGAATACATTAAAACAATTGTACATTTTGAGGTGATATTGTAGTTTGTAATGTTTCTAACAGTTGCTGTTTAAACAGACTGTTTGGAATAGGAGTTCTATTTAAAAGGCCTATTGCGCACGTGAACAAGAGACTGCATGCACAGGCAGCAGTGAGGAACAGACTGGTTTATCTGTGAACTCAAACACAGGGCTTTTTATTAACTGGGGACAGTAGAGAACTGTCAGATTATTTGTCAAAAAAAAGCTCAGCTGGGAATTGTTTCCAATTCGGCTATTAAGCGCTAACATTTGCAATTCTCTTGTTAATTCTCTACAATTTTCTATTTAATGAATACGCCCAGTAATTTCAGGAACTGAAATAAAAGCTATTCTGGGGAATCCGTGTCAGGGTCAGCTTTGGGCCTTCATTATCCCTGTGCAAATCATAGGTGTCACCCCCTCAACATACCTGTGATTGACAAGGAAGCCTTTAAGCTTTATTAGCATTAAGGGAATAGAAGTTTTCAAAAAACTGTAAAAGATGACCAGGTATCCCAACAGTCCCGATTTAGGGGTCCTCTTCCATGAAAATGGCACTGGACCTGCCTCCTCCAGCATCAGCAAGAGGGGAGAGGAACGCAAAGAGTGATGTCCCGTGTTATTTCACAGAGTAAACTTTGTTAAATTGCAGGAAGCGCCTCTCTTGGCGGTCTGGCCAATGTTTTACATTGCAGGGTTAGGGGGACAGGGACACTGCACCCAGACCACTTCAATCAGATGAAGTGGTCTGGGTGCCTATAGTGTCCCATTAACAGTAAACCCAAAAAAAGTGGTGGCAGTCTGGACATGGGAAAATATGGAGAAGACTTAAAGGGATCCAATAGTGCCAGGAAAACAAAGCCATTTTCCTAGCACTCAGATCCCCTCCCTTGGTGCTGAAGGGGTTAATACCCCTTCAGTCACTTACTTGAATCCAGAGCCGATGTCCCTCGGTGCTGGGTCAGGCCCAACCCACATCATCCGGCGGGTGAATTCTAATGCGCATGCATGGCAATGACTGCACACTCATTAGGATTTCACCATAGGATAGCATTCATCAATGCTTTCCTATGGGGAAAAAATCTGTTGCTGGAGGTCCTCATGCAGAGTGTGAGGATGTCCAGCGTCAGATAACGGACTAAAGGTCCATTTCGATTCCAGAAGCGCCCCCAGTGGCTTTCTGCTTTCTCTGGAACTGCAATGTTTAACAGCGCAGCACTAAGTGCAAAAGGGACACAGCACCCAGACCACTTCTATGAGCTGAAGTCATCTGGGTGCCTACAATGTCTCTTTAATATTAAATCCTCATCTTATGCATCACTATGGAGCCGCCGGTCACTCGGGGTTTACAGTTAAAGCTGAACTTGATGACAAGTGAATCATTAAAGTGCTCACCGCTCTGCTGCGCTACAAGATTGACGTGTAGGAGTGGATGTGCCCCCTATATTGTTTGCAGACTGGTTGTAAATCTAGATGGTCTCTCGATGCCACAGGGGGTGCAGCAGTGCCTCCGGTTTGTGTGTTAACTGCACAACCCTAAAACAAGCCCTGGAAATTGGAATAAAAGGAGGTGCATTCCATTGGTTTCCATTGTTTGGTGCCCTTAATGCAAAGGGTTAAAGTCTGCTTATATCCCCCCCCCCCGATTCCATAGGTGACATGTTGTGTTGTACTGTCTAAACTCTACCATACATGGGATGGCTACTACGCATTATGTATAAACAGCAATTCTATCACAAAGTTCTACAAATGATTGCAGTCACCATGGAAACCAATAGAAATGCTACTAGCAACTGCACCACAATTAGATATTTGCCCTAGAATTGCTCTTTTTACTCGGTCTCAAATTGCATTGTTCCACAGATCAGATGTCTTGCGTTAGGAACACATGAAAAGATTGGAGAGCCCAGCTTTAGGCTGCTAATATCTGAATATTCGACAGTCATTCCATCCTCATGACTTCATTGGGAGGCTGTGACCCTTCTTTATCCCACAGCCCCCATTCCTTGTAATGCTGGTTAACAAGAAATAAATAGTAACAGAGTTGGGAGGAGGAGGATGAAAGCTACAAGAGTGGACTCTGCCTTCCAGGAAATACATCCTGCTAGAATTTCAATTCAGAGCTTCTATCTACGCCCCAAAGCTCAATCGAAAAATGTAGGGGGTGGGGGGGAATAGATGGGTGAAAAAAAAAAAGGAAAGGGGGGTGGGAAACACAACGACACGAAAACAACCATTTCCTTTGAGAGAGACAGAGAGGAAACAAATTAACAGAATCCCATGCCAAAAATATTTATATCCAAAAAAAAAAAAAAACCCACAAAAAACCCTTCCTACCAGCTGCTACCACCCCTACCTCTCTCTCCCCACAATCCTTCATAGGATATCAGGCTTTTCTGTTCAACCAGCAGCTGGTCTGGGATAAAGCATTCTTAGACTTTCTCTAATTTACATTAGCTCCTTGTCAAGGCAGCAGAGAGACTCTCCTTTTTCATCATCAGATATGGAAAGCGCAGCACCTCTGTCCTAAGAGTGACTTTTTTTTAAACGCCCAATTTGGTTGTAAGAGAGAAGTAACATCTGGAACACATCTGTCTCCTTGGGGCGTGGGAATAAGAGAGCGTCTAATTTCATCTGTTCGTTGGGGGCCTAAGTTCGTTGGGGTCCAGACGGGAATGTTGTTGCATCCTGGTGAAGAGGAGGTAGAGGTTGCCTTACAGGAGTGTGGATAGAGGCTTGTTAAAAATTGTTAGATTCTCTGACTTGTTACCATCCTTTCATGGGACTTCCAAGCCAGCTGGACTGGCTGTCCAATTCCCGGGGGTCTTTCAACTCTCAGAATGAGTGGAGATGTCCTCTAGCTGCCCCTGACCCTGTGCCGTGCAACAGGGGCCCCGTTTAACAAAAGCGGGCAGTTTGTTGGTAACGGGCGATGGGCATGCAGAGATTTGTGGCAGTGGCTGTAGCAGTGGCTTTAGTGTCACTGATTCTCAACAACATGGCTGCATTCACCCCAAACTGGGTGTACCAGACGCTGGATGAGGGACGCAAGCGCAGCGTGGGGCTGTGGAAGATGTGCATGGCTGGAAAAGTGGCTTCAGGATCTAGCAATCGACCAGGACAGGGGGAAGAACAGGAGTGCCAATCAATTGGCTGGGGTTCGGAGCCCTCAGGGTTACAAGAATCCCGTCACACTGTCAAACGTGAGTATCTGCTATCATTAGTACATACATCTTACATGGCTTCACATCAACTATATCTACATGTTCATTGTGTCTAGCAGCACTCTATGCTGTCTGTACATGCTCAATTTCTCTGATCCACAGCTGCCATTCTCTAGTAAATGATACGCTTTATAAGTATGTGTTACCTCTTATTAATATGTTCTTCCTGATACAGTTCACCGTTCATCCACACTTTGCTGTTTACTTTCCATCAAACTCATTGATTGCAGAGAAACATCTGTAGCTGGAAAGTTAAACCTTGAAATTTTCTAATGATTTCCCTCAAGCCACATTGGTAGCTTTTCTATACAGTTTGTTTCCTTGTGCTTATACATGGTCGAATCAGTAAAAGAGAGGTTTATGAAAAACTTTGTTTAAAAAAGAAAATGCATGATGAAAACTTTCCCACGAGCGAGATGTATATGGGTGTCAGTCTGTTATAGAAAATTGGTTGTAAGCACAAACGTTTGTTAGCTTCCATTTTTAATTTTGGGTTGTACCAAATTCTTTCGAGTTCCCATGTTAGCTCACTTCTGATCTGTGACATATACACTCCAAAACACGAACAGGGTTATTCACGAACGTGAGAATTGAAGGTGAATTTCAAATCTCAAGCCATAGTAGCTGAACCAGAAGCAGAGCTGACTTTTTATTCGAGTCTGGTTATTCTGACCTTAAATTTTAAATTCATTTTAAATTCACTCTAAATTCTCATTTTCGGGAATAACCCTGGAAGATCTAGTTATACACAAAGGGATTCTAGCCCAGAAAATACAGCCAGCCAGTGAAGCATCATGAATTTATCCACATTTTAATGGGTTTGTATAACTACATTGGTGCCAGAAGGCTCTGCAAAGCATAATACAATAGGCTAAAATGTGTTTTATTTAATTACTGCCAGTATTCTCTATACGGAATCATAATTATTCTAAACATTGAGCGTGGCAGCTTCCCATCTATGACCCACGCCTCTAAAACCTCCCCTTTGTAGAATGCAATAAGTACACCAAGCACAAGAAGAATCAGGCATGTGTGGTCCTAATCTGCAGGGTCATTTTGTATCCATGACATTTAATGGTTAACACTTACATGGCCATGGCCTGCAATGGGGGGTATTGATACTCGCATTGCTATCATGTTACTACCAGCAGCGAAAGAGTAAAATGAAAACAAGCTAAAAAACACACATGAGCTCATTGGTCATAAAAGATTCATCGTTCATTTTCCTTCCCCCCCACCTCGGTTCCCTCACAGGTCAAACACCACATGCAGACTTTTTAAACACTTTGCAGCTTTGTAAAATGTCATGTTATGGAGGGATGCTGCCAAACTGCCAGTAGGTGAGAGAGAATTATTCGTTGAAAACCACATTAATATTTTGTAGGTATCCCTTTAATTATACAAAGGCATGCAATACATTATATTATATTTACAGCATTCCTCCCAACCATTCAATCTTGTTGATCTTTATTGCTTAGGGTCCACATCCATCATCTCCAAGAGATTCTTTTAAAGTCCATAAAATGGAAGGGTGAAAACCCATGAATGTAACAGATCTTTCTATAAAGTGGCAGGCTTATTTACTAAGGAATTCCACATTTAGTCTATAAAGAGGTAAAGTATGCCTATAATGTTAAATTATTTTAAATTTACTCTCAATTCCTGAAAAATCACGCAGTACATAACCTTGAACGTGGTGGTTGACAAAAAAAAAAAGGGCACTCCAAGTTCTTGAAATTTATGTGTAGGAAGCAGGAAAAATAAGCGGAAAGATCTGAGTGGCCAATTAGTGATGGCTAGACGACTGGGTCAGAGCATCACCAAAACAGCAAGTCTTGTGGGGTGTTCACAGTATACAGTAGTTAGTACCTATCGAAAGGGGTGCAAGGAAGGACAACCGGTGAACCGGTATCAGGGTCATGGGTGTCCACGGATCAATGATGCCCGTGGGGAGCAAAGGCTAGCCCGTCTGGTCAGATCACACAGAAGAGCTACTGTAGCTCAAATTGCTGAAAAACCTAAAAGGACACTTTAGTCACAAGAACCACTACTAAAGCTTAATGTAGTGGCTCTATTGTCTATAGCCTTTCCCGGCAAATATTGCCTTTTCAGAGAAAAGATGCAGTCACTCAGGCGACCACTAGAGGTGCTTCCTATCTCAGTGCTGCACACTGTGCAGCACCTACGTTCAGAGTCTCCATGCCACGACGAGATCGGCACAGTTTTGGAGAAAAGGTACGTTTTTGAACCTTTAATCTTCATGGAGAGGGGGGTCGGATAACCTACACATTTTTGTATTCTTGACACAATAGTGTTCCTTTAATGCTGGCCATGATAGAAAGGTGTCAGAACACAGTGCCTCGCAGTTTGCTGCATATGGGCCTGTGTTGCCGCAGACTGGTCAGAGTGCCATCATGACCCTTGTCCATCAAAGCACCTTCAAAGGGAACATAAGTGTCAGAGCTGGACCATGGTGCAATGGATGGAATAAGGTTGCCTGGTCTGATGAATCACATTTTCTTTAATATCAGGTGGATGGCTGGGTGCGTAGTTTACCTGGAGAAGAGATAGCAGCAGGATGCACTATGGGAAAGCTGACTTAGGAAGTGTTGTGTTTTGCTTGGCAGTGTTCTGCTTGGATACCTTGGGTCTTGGCATTCACATGGATGTTATATGACACATACCATCTACCTAGAGATTGCTGCAGACATTGCCTTCATGGCAATGGTGTTCCCTGATGGCAGTGGCCTCTTTCAGCAGGATAATGCACCTTGCCACACTGCAAAAATCATTTAGGAATGGTTTAAGGAACATGACTAAGAGTTCAAAGTGTTGCCTTGGCTTCCAAATTCCCCAGATTTCGATCCGACTGATCATCTGTAGGATGAGCTGTAATAACAAATCCGATCAACTGTCTCATTATGGTGCGACTGTCAGCTTTTACATGATGCAGGAGAGAAATCGAATATTCCATTTCTTTCCTGTAGCATAAACAAATTGCGTACTATTGGGCATCACATTTCATGTGCTGCTTAACACATAGAAGTGATGTGTGCCCAGGAAAACAAATCTCCATAATACAGCTGCAAGCAAATATTAATAAATAGTGCCACAAAGGCCTAAACCTTCTCAAAAACCTGGTCTGCTTCAATAATTACTCTATCTGCTGTAACACCTGTGTTAGAAGTCCTTATTCATGACCCATTGTACAGCGCTGTGGAATTTGTTGGCGCTATATAAATAATAATAGTAATATCCCATTAATTAAGTATGCAGGTGTACAGTGGTATTCTGAATTTGTGCTGCCCTAGACACGACTAAATTTGGGTACCCCCAAAATTTAAATTTTGGGGGTACCCTAGACACGACTAAATTTGGGTACCCCCAAAATCTAAATTTTGGGCCCCCCCAATTTGTGTCAAGGCCACTTTTTTGACTGACAGACACATGCCCTAATTGATACATGCACTGATATACACTCACTGACAGATACACAGTCATTGGCACACACATACAGTCATAACCAACACACACTTTCACTGACTGACGCACACTGACAGGCACACATAAAATGACATACACACACACTGACACACACTCACACCCACTTTCACTCACCCACAGTAAGGTGGACAGCCCCAGAAAAGAGGCAAACAAGGCATTTGTCTGGGAGCTTGGGACGCCCCCCCCGAAAGTGCCGCCCTAGGCAAATGCCTTGTTTGCCTTGTGGTAAATACATCCCTGCAGGTATGTATGTTTGTGTGGCACACAAGTACATGTTCTAATAGCAAGATGAAGTCTTACAAGAAATTATCTTAATATCAACGGTTAAAAACAACCTTCAACATGCCACGGGATTATGAAGCATTATCAGAGATGCAGAATTATGGTTCCACCTATGGTCCTTGATGTAACAGAAGGTCCAGCACTTCCAACCACACAATGCAATCAATGTTCCAGCATCATCTTGGTGTAACTGTCAGCTTAGCAGGCCAGTCCCTGGTATATTCAGGGCACCAGTCATATTATCATAGCACGGCATGGAAAAATGTAAGAGATTTGATTTTAAATAAAGCATATTTAAAAAAAAAATATTTTTTATTTTTTTATAAGTTCTAGATTTGAATAACCATCAAGTTGCAAAATTTAAGAAGCATAAACTAAACAAAGTAAATATATAGAATAACGTATTGTGTCGTGTGTGATTTGATTGTGTCCAATCATTTTGTTTCCCTCTCCAGTGCAGTTTGACATGATGAGGGCCTGTAACCTTATTGCCACGGTAGCGCTTACAGCTGGCCAACTGATTTTCCTGATGGGCCTTGTGGGTCTACCGATTATCTCCAAGGATTCCCAGTGGTGGGAAGAAGCCATTACTGCTGTATTCCAGTTGGCTAGTAAGTGAGCCACTCAGTCATTGTTGTAGAATGGAGTAAAATGGACAGACGCTGTGTACTAAACACATTTCTATAGTCTTAACTGCTCAATGGCAATCCATAACTACATAGCAGCTACCCATTCTTTTTATTAAATCCAGAGTGGGCAAAATCAGGAAGAAACATCTGGAGATCAGACGAGAATATCACATCTAATAGAATAGCTCTAAAACATCCAAGACTCCTAAACTACATTAGCTACTTGCCACGGCTTGAAAATAAAGACATCCCATTTTTCCCCCTTATAATTTAATAATTAAATCGACATTATCAAATAGCAGATAATAAATAACATATTATCCATGTAGTAGCTATCAGTGGCGGACAAGTTTAAACATGTTGTTTCCATGATTTAATTTTGGTTTTTTTTAAAAAAGGAACTACTCCTTTAAGTTGCTTCCTCAATGCTTTTCTCTATTAAGCAACCTCCTCCCATTTTGTTTCATGTCCCGGGCTTTCAAGGCCCAGTTTGCATAACAGGTAGTAACAGGCATTTCCTCCTCCTGTGTAGGGACATCCTGGCGCCCTCCAGTCTGTGTCCCTCGGCCCGGCATACAGCACAGACTGCAGCACAAAAAAGAGGAAGCAAGGGGCAGCCTAATTATAGACATGGGGAGTGTGCAGGCCACTGTATACCAACACGAGACAAAACAACAAACTGAGAGATGTTCCTTCCCACAAAACAGGCTGTAATTCAGCGGCTACGCTGTGATACTGGGCACTTCCACTAGATCTCACCGTAGCATTGAATGGCGTCTGTGTCGTACACAGGAACAACGCAAGGACAATTTATGTTTTGCCATTGCAATAACAACTTAGAAGACTCTATTCAGCCATCACTAATGGTTTAAAATAAAAGAATAACTCTAAAGTTTGCTTTAATGAAATTTTCTGTATACACACACCACTTCTCAGTTGCCTCTCCGAATTTTACAGACCAAAAAAAAAAAATGTACTTGGTCCCCTAACAGTTAATGCTCAGTTATTCTGGAAATGAATTTATACCAAACAAAAAATGGTCTATAGAAAGTTAGCATGTTCCATATTGATCATGACATCCCTAATGTACCCAGCTGTAAGTGTTCATTTTGTTATTTAAGATGCAAAATCAGGGTATAACGTGTCATATGTTATATTTCCTGGCAGGTTTCGTTTTGGTCATTGGGCTGGTGACGTTTTATCGCATTGGTCCTTACACCAATTTGTCCTGGTCTTGCTACTTGGACATCATTGCCTGTCTGCTGGCGACACTAGCAGCTGCTATCCTCATCTGGAACATTCTTCACCGGCGTGAAGACTGTATGGCACCCCGCGTCATTGTCATTAGCCGCACTCTTACAGCTCGGTTTCGTCGAGGGTTGGATAATGACTATGTCGAGTCACCATGCTGATATTGGCTTAGGACCACAAACATTATCAGTGGATCAGTATGGCCAAAAATATAGCTTTATCCATCAAAGTCAAATATCAAGGGAACATGGGCAATAAGATTTTACTATTAAATATACCACTATGTATTATAACATTCTTAATTGCGAGAGAAGAACTTGGAAGCTGCTTTGATGGAATGTGCAATGTTCCAGTCCAATAGGCCACAACAGCAATCGCTTACAATATATCTCAATGGAGGGTTTATGAAACAACCCAAACTGAGGATATTTACAGCTTAAACAGATTTTCCCCTACATCAAATGCGGAGATAATACCAACGACAAAATGAGTTAACCTTTGGCGCTATTTACATTGTTTCTGTCCGTTTGGATACAAAATTATGGACATATTGAGGTCTTCTCTGATTGCATTTGGTACTTAGTCAGAGGGCAAACTCCACTGAGTACTAGAAATAAGGACCGAAGAAGAAAAATACAAGACCACACCATCGAGCGTGAATGGCAGTTCTTCTTTATCTTACTTAACTTAAGTGAAAATTCAGTGCGTAAAATGATGTACGCAATTCATATGTAAATATGTTACATGGCACTTCAACATTCAATCCCAATTTAGACCATAGGCCTGTTGAATGCAGTCAGAACGGATATTAACGATTTCTGTCATGTTAACTTTTTTCTTTTTATGTGCAGTATTTTTGTGTGTCCATTCAATACCTGCAGATATAATTCTAAAGTCTATTTAAGGTGTGTGGATAACAAGATTGCCTTTACGTAGATGCAGATTTAATCTACACATCGTGCCAGTGAAATCACCAGCAAATGTGGAGACTAAAATATATACTTACCAGACCACTGACCCATCATGGCGTCCTGGAATGAATGTGGCACATACAAATGTCAGGCCCCTAAATGATGGATGAAGTGTTCATAAAATTCCTTGAGTGCAAATTGTGAGTTGTTGCGGTGTCATTTGAAAGCAATGGAGCCGCACGGGAGGCCTCCATCTTTGCACAGCTTGTTTGAATTATTTTACCAAGTTCTGTCAGTCATGACAGGAGCACTTTAAAAAGCCTAACGTCAGCTTTTTGCACTTGTCAAGAAGACAAATTCACTAAAAAATTGCCAAAAACTGAGATTTACAGTTATCTTTGACATAGTATAGAAGTTAGAAGTGATAGAAAGGAGCTATTCCCTCAGTAAACGGAGGTGAATGTAGGTCCTAAGAAGAGGGAATAACACAAAGGCCATATTTGCAGATATTAACGATTATAGTACCAGATGCAATCTGTATAAACAGTTGGAAACTCAGAGACCAGTGACTTGACTGTTAATGTTACCAAAAAGGCCCTAAATCAGGAATGTTCTAGTTGTTGCAGAACTACAACTTCCATGATGCAATTCTAACCTTAAAGTTAATGCAGAATTACAGCTCACATGATGCTGCACAGCATCATGGGACTTGAAGTTCTACACCAGCTGGATCTGTCTTTTTGTCACCCCCTGCTATAGGAAATATAAAATCTTAAAACATTACATAGAATCGTGTGCACTAATAATTCACATAAACCTGTCTGTAGACAAAAGGACATGTTTAAGCCAATTTCCCTAGGTTTTTGTTCGGTTTATCCATGTTAACAACGTTTCACTGGATAAATATAAATATATTTAAAACAAAAGTGCACCCGCTTTATAACCAACAATGTATATTAATATCAGATATCATTATAATTCAATTTTTATATAATTATTTATCGTGGTTTTTGTAAAATTAAATGTAATAAAGTAAAGAAAGTCTTATGCGCATGGATTTTTATTAACCTGAAGATGCTTATGTGGTTTTATACCCTTGGTCACCAGGAGGTCATCTGTAGCGGTATCCCATAATACAGTTCTGTCTCACAAGCTCGGGTACAGGGAGTGCAATGTGTACTGAGGCTTTCATTGTCGCCGAGCCTGGGAGGCCTGCAAACCCCTTTTGCAGCAGTGCCGCCATGTTAAGCAGAAACTCAGCATTCACATGTGCACCCGGCATCATTTTCCCATAATCCTCTACATGCATATCTACCTGCATCTTTACATTATATAAAAAGGAGCAGTCACATGGTTTTAGAAAAAGCAAATTAAAGCACTATAAATAATTCAAATCGAGTTACCTACTAAATTGATTCTCAGTTTCTACATTTATCCACAAAAGCAGGTTCATTTTATTTTATTTTTGTGTTTACTGGGGATTACAAACTATAAAATCACATGTGACATCGTTAAAGCATCAATTATAAAATTAATAGAATTACTGAGTGTTATCTAAAATCGGAAGATGAGAAATGAGGGAATACTACTTTACAGGAGGAGTAGTATATACCTGGAATAGCATTCCAGTGGAAGTAGCACATCATAACTACATGAAGGCATTCAAGAGAATTTGGAATGTGAATAGGAGTAAAAATTAATAGGCACTCTCATTCTTTCTTTTTTGCTTTAATGCATTAACTTGGCTCACCTCAATCTTAAAGAATAATCCAGACATGGACATGTGCTCACTGTGCCTAGAGGGATATCAGCTACACCTCACTGACAAGGCCCAAAGAAGGCCGAAACGATCGTCTGGGGTTGCTGTATCTCTCGTGCAGAGGGAACTTGCTGGCATTCCAGATCTGGACTGCCGTACGGGTGGGACCAGTCGGATATGCTTCAGATTTGTTCTCTCGGTAATGGCAGAAGTGAGCAAAAACAAATTTGAGACCTGAGTGGGGATGTACGGAAGGGCAGGCTATTGAGTTTACTGTAAGGTATTGTCCGTTCTCAGAGTTCTCATTCTTTCTTTTTTGCACACTACATAAACCTACATTATTATCATCTAAACCCCAGAATGTAATGAAATACCAGGCACATTATGGATTTAACTCCTTAAGGACCAAACTTCTAGAATAAAAGGGAATCATGACATGTCACACATGTCATGTGTCCTTAAGGGATTTGTCTATGCATTGTTCCTTAAAGGGTTAACGTACTATTCATTAGTCAGTGACAAAGACATTTCCATCTCTTGGCTCTAAGAATGGCTCTTAAAGGGACTGTGTCCGAGGCTATTTCCCTTTTTGATATGAAGGAAATGCTGGAATCAGCAGGAATTAGACTTCCTCGCAAACACGACCTCTGCCCTGTGTTCACTTCCCAAACATCCAGAGCATCAGTAATCAAAAACGGATTGTTTGCCAAACTGACCTTGGACTGAATTTTGTTTCTCAAAGAATTTCTAGGTTGAAGCAATATTTAAAAAAAATAAATAAAAAAAAAAATGGAAAAAGATTACTGGATGCCTTCCTCACAATTGTGCAGCCAACAGCGCAAGTCAACTGGCCTGTACTAGCCACTCATTTATTTATCCAGTTTTAATGCATATCAATCAATCAGCTGAGCTTGCTGTAACGCTACACTACGGAAGATGAAAATCTAGCAAAATTAAAAAAAGGAATTAATTAGATAATTAGCCAACCTAATGAGCAATGACATAGGATGCATTTCATGATATAAAGGGATTTGCCTAAACACAGTTTTTTGTGAATGTGATTGGTAAAATTCCACCTATCTACTCTAATTATTGGATGTTTAGATTATTACTTTTGACACACAGCGGTTTTATTCACAACCTGTGGGAAATCGACAAGACAATTTAAGAAACGTTTTGTTTTTTCCAAACTTGACACTTTGACCTCAAATTTGCAATCTGTCATATCAGTTCCATAAATACACCACGCAGAGTATATAACTTCAAATTATTCGTACAGCCCTGTATTGCTTTAATACGGGGGCTCTGCGCAAAGGAACTAACAATCTATAGAAGCGATAGAAAAACGCAATGAGACAAAAGTTTGCTCAGGTACAAGGTTGGCGGTTTAAAAGGTAATGCCATGTTTTTAAATAAAAATAATGAAATTCCTAATAGCACGGGCTTCTACATAATGGAAATATGCAATTTGGGACATGGCCTTTCTTGTAATAGTACTTTATCATATTTCCTGTTATCGTGCCAATTTTTATCTCCAGAGCCTAACCTCTTGTCGCACCACTTCTGCGAGGGTCAACACTCGAAAACACTCGAAAAGAACAGACACAGTGGTAAGGAAGTGCTACTCCACTTAAACGGTAATGGACGCAGCTTATCGCACATAAGTGGAGATAAGAGTTGCTAATTCAGTACATAGACAGTTAGTGATGAACATAAATAAATACTGCACATACTGAAAAATGCACGTATCAAACAGACAACCATGATTGATGGACAAAACGTTTGTAAATGTCAGCTTCATTTCAGATTTTTTATACGGAGAGAAAACAAACCTTTTCCTAAACTGAAATCATTCAGCCAATTTTTTGACTTCATATAAAGCGGTCAATAAACATATTAGAGACATAGCTGTCTTTTACAATAGAACAAGGCGGATGGGAACACAGGCATCACCCACTTAGAATCAGTTGGCAAAATTTACAGGAAGAGAAAAGCCTTGACAAGACTTTCTATCATATTCAAACTGGGCTGATGGTATACTGAAAGGAGGTTTTAGAGAATGGGCTATCCCAAAACAGATCTCATATGGACAATGAGAATTGTGTAAAGGAGCTGACAGATACTGGAAATAACCACATGTATTGCAACATCCGTACTAAATATGATTTTAAAAAGGTGATTCATACTCCTGATGATTTTAGCAGCATATTGCATAATGACTAAGAAACAATATTTACCATTTGCAGCTCTTTACAGCCAATACAATCAGGAAAGCATTTTCTCATAATTTATATTGATGTTAGAAATTAACTTATTTTCCTTTATGTTGAAGATCTACGTGCAATAGGAACCGAACCGTACCAAGTAGGAATATGAGCACTCGCCAGTGAGTCTTCAGAGAGAAAATGGGTTTTAAGCAAAAACTATGTTTTCATTATTAATGGATAGAATACTTCTCTTCAATAGTAGAAAATAAAAGCGTTAGTACAAACAGTGGATAAGAAGGGATAAACGTAACATGGCTACAGACTGGCTGCTAAATAAACAAAAAATATATATATTCCATTCTGAACCTGTCACGGCAGGTAGATAAGATTAAATTATGCCTTTAATTGATTATACAGAATGTGTAATAGGACAATAAAGAACTAAACATCCTTCTGTTAAATGGTGTTTTGTATGAAGTAGTATAGCATTTACCTTTTTTCCCCCCCATGAGTCAGCCCCTTTCCCGATTGCTTTTTTATATTGCATCCCAAGCATACCGTCAATTAAGAAAGCATGTCCTACCTTTTGATGAGTTTGATAGATTTAAACGCTTCATCCATATCTCCTACAGTAAGGAAGAAACTGAAATTAAGCATGGCTTCCCGTGTGGTCTTATCACACTCTTCGAGCCCAATAAAGTCACGCAGGGGTCTTTTTGACACCATCTGGGGGATTCGCGGTGTCACACTTTCTACCTCAGCAGACATCTCCTCTTCCCCAGGCTGCAAGATATGAGACAGAAAACGTCTGAGAATGATAGAATTCATTTTGAAACCATTACTTCAAAGATCAAATTATGGGTGATTTGCTTCTGTTGCTGTCCAAAATCTCTTCCGTGTCACGCAGCAGTAATTAATAGTTCTTCACTTCCTTCATTAGGTATACCACATCATTTATTGCTTTTTTATGTCTACTTCTCAAATTACCTCTGCTGGAGGGGGCTCGTGGGTAACGATGGATGGTCTATAATTAACCAACGGACAGTGCATGGAGGAAAGCAGAACAGGTAGCATTGAGATTATCAACCAGAATCTGTGTTTTGAGCAACATTTTATTTTTTGCTCCAGCTTCATTCCTCAGATCAGAGAGGCATGCTGTTAACTATTTATTTTGTCTTTTATATAAAACATCTGAGATAAAGCACAGATCTGGTGGTCTAGGTGCAGTGACACTGTCCTTTTAATCCTGCATTGTAATACATAGTAAATACAGGGTTATATACAATGCTATTTTATGGGGAAGCTTGGACGTGCAAATATTGCTCACTGGATATGCGTATCAGGTCCCCAATGTTCCTCTGTTGAGAGCATTGGATTGGACCATTGTGGGACAGGCCATACCTCCTCCATGACATGAGTCTCTGCACTGGAAAAGGTAAGTAAATAATTGATTTAATTCATTATTATGGCAAAGGCTGTGTGGGGCGACACCTGTATTTAGCTAGGAACAGGGGTCTTATAGCGTTAGCAAAACAGGTTGGTATTTCTAATGTTTTAATGTTCCTTTAAAGCTGATATGTGTTGCATTTGTGATTAAATTGTTATTGCATCCAGGAATTAAAGCTGACATGTGTTGCATTTGTGATTAAATTGTTATTGCATCCAGGAAATGGGTATCAGGTATGATAACTGTTCCTACAAATCTAGAACACTACATTGTAATACTATTACTAAGACTAACTAGGAAGCAATCAATATGTCATCTAAAGGAGCAGGAAGTTCTTATTTTACAGATGGCTTATTTGGTCGTAATTCTTTACTTCCTGGCAAAACCGGCAAATATTCAGTTTAATGAAAATGTAGGTTTTCAATTAGTATACGGATTACATCATTACTTATTACACTGGCTGTGGAAACATGCAGGGAAGCCGTGTATGAATGGCAAACATACTTACAACAGGCTGATAAGCACAGCCCCTCCGATACAACAACTGAAGGCAGACGGAAAAAAAAAAAGCAACAAAAAAATAAATAATAATAAATCAAAATAACAAAAAAAAAAAAAAACATGCACAAGGAAAAGCAGCAAACATATAAACGAATAGTAATATAATAAATGAAAACAATAAGGCATACATTGATGGGACCAAAGAAAGCATGGAATTATGATATGTAAGGAAGCAATCGAGTATATCATGAATACAGCAGGTATCCTTGAAAACTACATGATCCGAGCTAGATAAAGGCAAGCACTGTTGGTAGCACCCTGTCCAGGTCACGTAGTATGTTACTCGGTGATGCTACGGTCATCTAGAAAATAAACATTATATGATAGGTTTTATACATGTGAATACAAACAACCATTTGAAAAATGCAGACCTGGGTTAGAATACCAGCAGAACCTTGTGCAGCCAATAGGAAGGGGAATTCTGCCCATCATCTTTCCTACTGATTGGCGATAAGATATCTTTATTTAGAATGCTGACACACACATACACACTGATAGAACAGATAGAAAGATCTCCCAAGGGCAGGAAGTTACATTTATAATTGTTTTTTAAATAGCAAAGACAAACTTCAATGACCGAAAAGGCACATCTACTGTTTTTACATTTTTATTTGGGGGGATGGAGGGGTGGGCTGGGTTATACCTTCATTTGGAAATGTATAAATATTATATAAGCATGAAACCCTAGCAGAGAGATTTACACAGTTTTAGCTAAACTGACTTATTAGAACAAAAAAGCCGGTTTCCTGGCACTATAGAATCCTACAGTACCCCCTTCCCTTGCCCATGTTCGTATTCTTAACAGTATAGTCTTCCTTTAATGAAATTCAAAAAACAAAGAAAACAACAGAATGTTGATACAAAAAATAACTTCCAAATGTTTCTATAACGCCCAAGGAGTGCTCGCGCAGGCACATTTGGCTTGTAACCAGAGCTGTATGTACTATAACCTGGAGGATGGAAAACAGTTACAGATTTCTCTCCCATATTAAAAAACTAGTTGCGTCATTTACACATTGAAAGATGATCAAATAAATGGCATAGGTAAACACATTAACTTTGGGAATAAAGGTTTCATCACGTCATGGCAGCTGTGTGACAATATGTTAATAAAATCTCTACATTCCACCACACAATTCTATGGCAGTAGTGTGCCAACACAGCGAGTGGAACAGGCGGATTAATGCTAACCTTCTTAGTAAAGTAATAGTTTGGAACTTCAATGCCAAGAAGGGACTGGAGGACATCGGGACGCGGGAAGCTCTCCTGAAGCAGCAGTCCATGCTCCTGAGTGCTGAAAAAAGACATGACCAATATATCCTCCTGCAAACAAAGCAAGAGTCTGTTCAAAAGGATTGAAACAAATGTAAAGAAAGCATACCGTAACTCTATATGGGAGGACTCGGCATGGAAAGGTGGGAGTCATTTGATTTGAGTTTAGTCTTGTAATTTCAGGAACACTCCAACATTCACAGAGAAACACTCAGATACACCAACAATGATTCTCACAGAGAAGATGTTAAACCAATGCTTCTCTAGGAGAAACACTCAGATACACCAACAATGATTCTCACAGAGAACCAATGCTTCTCCAGGAGAAACACTCAGATCCACCAACAATGATTCTCACAGAGAAGATGTTAAACCAATGCTTCTATAGGAGAAACACTCAGATACACCAACAATGATTCTCACAGAGAAGATGTTAAACCAATGCTTCTCTAGGAGAAACACTCAGATACAGCAACAATGATTCTCACAGAGAAGATGTTAAACCAATGCTTCTCTAGGAGAAACACTCAGATACACCAACAATGATTCTCACAGAGAAGATGTTAAACCAACGCTTCTCTAGGAGAAACACTCAGATACACCAACAATGATTCTCACAGAGAAGATGTTAAACCAACGCTTCTCTAGGAGAAACACTCAGATACACCAACAATGATTCTCACAGAGAAGATGTTGAACCAATGCTTCTCTAGGAGAAACACTCAGATACACCAACAATGATTCTCACAGAGAACCAATGCTTCTCTAGGAGAAACACTCAGATACACCAACAATGATTCTCACAGAGAAGATGTTAAACCAATGCTTCTCTAGGAGAAACACTCAGATACACCAACAATGATTCTCACAGAGAAGATGTTAAACCAATGCTTCTCTAGGAGAAACACTCAGATACACCAACAATGATTCTCACAGAGAAGATGTTAAACCAGTGCTTCTCCAGGAGAAACACTCCGATACACCCAATGATTCTCACAGAGAAGATGTTAAACCAATGCTTCTCCAGGAGAAACACTCCGATACACCCAATGATTCTCACAGAGAAGATGTTAAACCAATGCTTCTCTAAGAGAAAGACTCAGATACACCAACAATGATTCTCAAAGAGAAGATGTTAAGCCAATGATTCTCTAGGAGAAGCACTCACTGCTGCTGAGGGAAATTATAAAAGTGCTGACTTCTCTTAAAATTTGAACTTTCATAAAATGATTATTGCATACCCACAATTTTTTAAAGAAGTCAATGGGAACTCAATACGGGATTCAGAGATGCTCAGCAAACAGAATTTAATTAAAACTGCCTTAGTAAGCGGCCATGAGCATATCAGAATTTCATTGAAGCCTAATAGTTCATCCCATAGACTTGTCACAGAAAGACAGCAGAAAAGGTATTTGGTATTTGACATTTCGATGTGTAACTTTCCATATTAATAGACGTGGCCCAAAAAGCTTGCACTGAACTAAAATTCAGGGGATAAAAATATTTGAGTCTGTAATTACTATACCATACAGAAAAATCATAACCTACACCACTGATGTACTGTAACAGAGCCAGTGCTTTCTTTTTGCATCAGTAAGGTTGCAAGACATATTTAAAGGAACACTCTGGTTACCAACATCAAAATAAAGTTCTTACGGTACCAGTAGGCCTTCAGGTGCTTTCTTACCTTAAGGGGTTAAACCGTTCTTGAACGCTTTAACCCCAAAGTCTACCTCCAGTGCCGGTTCTGCGGTTCCCCCAGCGGCATTCTGAAATTGAGATGTCCCTAGGCGCTGGCTCATGGCCCACCTTCCCTCCATCCCTGCGGACATCAGCCCTGCGGGGAAGATTTAATGTGCATGCATGGCAGTGGCCGCATTCGCGTTCGAACAGCCCCATAGGAAAGCATTATACCATGCTTTACTAAGAGGTTTCGGGTGACACTGTCCAGCGTCAGTTAGGAGACCAAAACTTGCCTAACGACCCTGAAGTCCCTCTAGTGGCTGTCTGGTAGACAACCACTAGAGGTGGAGTTAACCCACAAAGGTAATTATTGCAGTTTATCGAAAATTGCAATAATTACCTCTCCAGGGTTAAGGGACCTGGGACTATGCACCCAGACCACTTCAATGAGCTGAAGTGGTCTGGGTGCCTATAGTGTCCATCTAAGGTCAAAACTGCCAAACTTGAAAAATTCTCTATGCTTACATTTCAGGCCCTAAATTTGAAATCCCCTTTGAATTCTCCATTTACTAAATATCCATGATTGGATAGCAAAAATAGAGTATCTCATTTGGGATTAAAATGGCAGAACACTTTTTAGCTGACCATGTAATAACTTTCTACCTGCTAAGACCATAGTCATACCTTCCCATGAGAAGCATCGACAGGACTGTCCACTTGGTTCTTCGGTGACGTCTTTGTGGAATCTGGAATGGCCAGAATGGCCTCACATACAAGCAGTCGAGATTCACTCTGGTCCCAGAAATGACTGATTGGGGTCCGGTTTAGGAGCTTGGTGTTTTCAGTGAGATTCCTGCCAGGATATTAAGGCACAGACAAAGCTGGTTAATCCCCAAACAACTGGAAATACCATAACTGTTATACAAGATAGAACATGTACAACTCATCCCAGGAGTGACCTGAGCCTTAAAGTGGTCCAAGAAAGATGTAGATACACATACGTTACACATAATGGAATTTTGATTTACTACAACTCCAATGATTCTCGAGTCATCTGTTAAATTTAAAGAATTTGTGATTTGAAAGTCATAATATTGGAATTTGGGATGTTTCAGCCACATTTTCTGACAACACTATGCTAAGCATAATGAAAGTAAAAAGTAACCTTTTTAAATTAGAAACAGATAAAAATGTTGGTACACTCCATGTAAACATTGATAACAATGAGACAGCTTCTCCCACGCTCCCAAATTGTCATGCAACAACAAGCAAACTGGTGCACAGTGACAGACAGACGTTGGTCAGTAACCCTGCGTGTCTTACATATCGGAATCCTGGATAGACGGGGCCTCCACTTCTGCCTGCCCATTCCAAAAGTCAAAAAATGTCACTGTATCCAGCTCAACGTCATAGAAGTATATTTTGGAGTCCAGGTGACCATCAGTCTACAGAGAAAATGGTTAGAAACACTTTAAAGATAATTGTGTGCCATCTAGTGGTGATATAGACAAACTACACAGAGAGTTGGGTAAAGACCATTTTCAGCAATTCAGTGTGTTATTTACTGAAGTGAGAATTGTGGGGAAGTCAAAGTTAAATTCAAGTTTCACCCCTTAAGGACCAAACTTCTTGAATAAAAGGGAATCATGACATGTCACACATGTCATGTGTCCTTAAGGGGTTAAAGGCAAAAGCAGCTGAACTGGAAGCATAACTGATTTTTTTTCCATTTTAGTTATTTTGGATTTAAATTTGAATTCTCAAAAATTCTGACTTCAGTAAATCACCCTGATTGTGTTTTTCATATCTGCGTGTTTCTGTGCGAAGGGAGTGAATCGTGTCTTGTAATATGCGTGTCAGTAGCATTGCATGTCTCCCATGAAAATCCTGAATTAATGGGCTTTGCGCATGTGGAAAATGGAAATGTGTCTCATTTTGTTCAGATCAGAAACATCAGCAACACCGAGACGGTTTGTGAGCCCTGGGTGCTGATCTACATTCCTATAAACTCGCAGCTAACAGCGAATATATAATGAGGGTCATTATACGGTATAAATAGGAGTGTATGATGTGTTGCATTCTGCGTGTGTGTGTATCTATCAGAATGTGTGTATTAGCTGACGCAGAGTGATCGTGCAGTGACCAACTGACCAGTACTATAGCAGTGTTACTTCTGTCAGATTTTAGTCGACTAAAACTAAATCAATTTAGATGACTAAAATACGACTAAAACTAAAATGGCTTTTTAGTCAAAAGACCATAACTTAACTTTATATAAATTTGCACCCAAAATTAACCTTGGCGGGTAAGACACACGGAGGAGGGAGGAGAAAAAATTAGACATGGGGTGCTGGGGAAGGGGCAAAAGAGACAGATAGAGGCTTTTATTAAACCCATTAGATTTTAGTCATGTCGACTGGAGATTTAGTCAACTAAAAATAAAACAATTCAGATGACTAAAATACATCTAAAACGGTGTTTCAGTTAAAATACTAGGACTGAAACTAAATTGAAATTTGCTGCCAAAATTAACACTGTACCATAGATATTGATGTCCTTTTACACAGGAAAGAGAAAGGTCTAAACTTTGCCAGTAGACATTCTCTTTGCAATGAATACAGACACCAGGAGGGAGGCCTGAGAACTGATAACACGTACCCGGTTTGCTAGAATGCTGACTTTGCTGCCATTGGAGTTACACTTGACCGATACAATGCTTTCCACCGCTGGTACCAGCTCACACAGGTTTTTGCAGTTGCTGTGAGATTTGGCTTCCCTTTGAATGAAAACACAATGACATGATTCAAACCCTGACATCTTAATCTGCTCTGGCAGATACTGGCATTTTAATGTTAATGCATCAGATTTTAAAGATGATATTTCAGAATTCTATCAAAATAAAGGGACACTTCATGCACCAAAAGATCTTATCTCCTTGCATCAGTTTAAACAGGACTTTATTAACCTCATGATTGTAACTGCTGCTCTATACTGATCTGCTTAGAATGGACGTGCTAAGTTTGGTGAGAGGTGTCAGCTAGTTCCTAGTTTGTGCAGAGTTTGCTGTAGGAAGCTAGAAACCCTGGGGATTTTAAGCAAATGCAGGAAATTTAAAAGTGGCTATTTTTATCTTTTAAATGATCTATATAATGTATTGGATGGATGTGCTCAAACTCAGCAGGGAGTGTCCTTTTAAATTAACTTTTGCACAGTCTTTACAATTTTTTACATTCAGGTTGTTAACAGTGTGATTGCTTTATAATTTTTTTGCAATACAAGTGTGTTACACTTTCTTATTTATTGGAGCGTGTTTTCACTCTCTCCAACCATTTGTATCAAATTTTCTCTTTGGTCTCATCCCATTTCACTTTCTTTTTTATATAGATCTTTTTTTTGGGGGGTGGGGGTTTATTAAACGGTTACAAGGTTTTATTAAAGTCCCAAGGATCAATCTCTTTTAAATCTATAAACAAACAAAAAAGATAATTTTATATATCTTTTTAACTTATCTACATGTAATAAAATCATACTTACAACAACAAAAAATTAAAAAAAAATAAAGCAGACAATATTTTGGGGGGACTATGGACCAGGGGGAAACAGAGAGAACCATGATCTCTTCGAAAACATTACAATAGACATTCCAAGTCATACGGTGGAAAGACCAGCAGATAGCCGGATCCAGTTCTCGGATGTCAGTCAAGGGTTGTAATATTAATGTATAGGGATATTCACCAAAGTATTTATTATCAGGAATTCAAAGTGAATTTCAAATTTAAGGCCAATAAAGAAAACTGGAAAAATATCTCAAGAGACAGCATTGGTACCAGTTTGGCTATTTTGGATTTTAAGGGTTAATTCAACCAGGAAGGTTGTCCATGAAACTAATTATGTCGTTCACATACCCCCAGCCACTTGCCCCCTCTCAATATTAGGCCTGCCCAAGTTGAACGTTCTATAATAAGCTATCACAAGCTCACACAAAAGTGAGACCTAAACAGATTATCTGAAAATTGATTTGACTCTGTATTAGTGTGTGCCAGGTCCGCTCTAACCAAAATCTTGTGGTCGGTTATGCTTATATGTTCCTCAGTGAAACCAGATGTAAATGAACAAGGCTTAAGTGTTCTTGAAGCTGCTTGCAACCGCGACTTTACCTTCTTGAGAGATCAAAGACTTTGAAGTAAGCAGTGTCTGTGGCTACCACCAGGAAGCTCCCACAAATGTGCAACATGAACGGGTTACCCTCCGGTTTGGAGAACGACAGCAGTTGTTTCACTGTACCCTGATTAAAAGAATATTACAACAAAACAAGTGAAAATGGTGATTCACACTCTACCATTACAATATGATTTCAGCTCAGCCTTTGGAATCAGTCACGTATGAATGTTGTGGGACATTATAAGAAATAACGAAGATAAGAAAACACGGCAGTGTACTTTTCAAATTGTAAAAATACAGGGTTTTAGGCTCACCTGCAGTGTGCGAATCTGAACTCTATTAGGTTCTACTGTATAAATGTTCTCCTCGTGCATTGCAAGCACTGGTGAGTCACTGGCAAAGGAACCTTAACCAAACAAAATTAAAAAGTCATGCATTGGGTATTCAGTAACCTGGAAGTACATATAATGGATGAGATATGTACAGATTGCTAACAGTAAAGGGACAATTCAAGCATTCACAGATATTTGATGTTAGCAATGTGTTGGCTAGCTTACATTCAGAACTGACTCGGAAACATAACTCCTGACAGTTCCGGAGTCTGCAGGAAAGTACGGACTTTAGGCTCATGTCACACACTTCCAGGTTTGCTTCAGGTGTAAAGTTTTTGGGGACACCAGGAAAATGTTCCCAGAAAGTACATAATTAGAAGTGATCACACTGCACAAACCGCACTCAGGTTATTCAGTCCAAGCAGGAGTGCCTCAGTGTGGCCCGGGCAAGTGCAGCAATCAGTCAGCCTAGTGTGCATTTAACCGAGGCTACAGCATCCTCTTTTTGGGCAAAACCACCCCTTTTGCTGGCCAAACCACCAACTTGTGTCACATGATTGGCTGACAGACATCAGCCATTTACTAGTTCTAGAAGTGTTCACTGCAAGAACCCCAAATCCCTGCGGAAACAAAGGTTTGCCTTTTCAGTAAGTAGAACACTTCAGAGGCACATCTAACAGACCCCTCAGAGGCACATCTAACAGACCCCTCAGAGGCACATCTAACAGACCCCTCAGGGGCACATCTAACAGACCCCTCAGGGGCACATCTAACAGACCCCTCAGGGGCACATCTAACAGACCCCTCAGGGGCACATCTAACAGATCCCTCAGGGGCACATCTAACAGACCCCTCAGGGGCACATCTAACAGACCCCTCAGGGGCACATCATCCATAGATCCCCTAGCAGATCTAACAGATCCCCTCAGGGGCAGATCTAACAGACCTCAGGGGCAGATCTTAAACATCCCCTGGGGTACATTCAATAGACCTCAAAGCACATCTAATAGACCCTCAGTAGGGCACATCCACAGATCCCCAGGGGTCATCTAACAAGATCCCCTTCAGGGCACATCTAACAGACCTCAGGCACATCTAACAGATCCCCTCAGTACCGCCTAATAGATCCCACAGAGGCACGCCTAACAGACCCCTCAGGGCACATTCAACAGACCTTCAGCAACGTGCCCATCAGATCTCCTCAGGGACACGCCTAACAGATCCCTCAGGGGCCCATCTAACAGATCCCTCAGGGGCCCATCTAACAGATCCCTCAACAGATCCCTCAGGGGCCCATCTAACAGATCCCTCAGGGGCCCATCTAACAGATCCCTCAGGGGCCCATCTAACAGATCCCTCAGGGGCCCATCTAACAGATCCCTCAGGGGCCCATCTAACAGATCCCTCAGGGGCCCATCTAACAGATCCCTCAGGGGCCCATCTTACAGACCTCTCAGAGGCACATCTAACAGATCTCTCAGGGGCACAACTAATAGATCTCTCAGGGGCACCTCTAATAGACCCAACGGGTACACATCTAATAGACCCCTCGGGTACACATCTAATAGACCCCTTGGGGACACATCTAATAGACCCCTCGGGGACACATCTAACCATCTTACCTGTATTTCTCAATGTTGCTCCTGACAGTTCATACACCGTGACTTGTTTCCGGTTCCATACTGCGATTGATTCCTGCAAATAATACAGACATAAATCAGAAATGCAACAATAAACCACTTAAAAGAACCACATACCTAGAAAGAAACGGACCTGCCACGTTTATAACTCTGAGCATACTATAAGGTGTTGCTCTGGTTTTAGGGCCCTAAGTGAAATATTAGGTGCAATCATTTGGTGCAAATTGTGAGTTGTATTGTACTCTTCTGTTGCTTAATTAAATGTTTTTACAAAAACAATACAAGAATGTATTAGGGATAAAGTTCTGTAACCTCTACAAAGATCTCTCACCTTAATATTATGAGCAGCCCAAACAGACCAATGTATGTTGTAAGAGGATAATGAAAGTAGCACTCTAATTTTAGAAATACAACTTTAGAGTATACTCCTGCTGATTTAGACATTTGAATCTCTTGTAATAAAAAAAAGGGAACAAACTGTACTGACCTTTATTCCCACGCCACGCTGGTCTCACCTGGCGGAGATCATCATTAGTGATGATCTCAGCCAATCCAATGCCTCCTTATTGGAAGGGTCTAATGCGAATAGCAATCCCATAGCTAATTTTTATTGATATAAGTGACAGTGCCTTTCTAAAGGGGAACTTATCACAATGGCTCACTGCAGTGGATATGGTGTCAGAAGTCTCCATGCACCGTTCACTGACAAAGTGAAAACAAGTTTGCAAACAGTTTTTTTTTTACCCAGGTCCCCCAGCTGCTTCTTGATTCTACAATTTATCTATATTCTTTTTGTAGGTGTTTAATGCTTTGTAGCAGCTGCAGGGACTTTAAAGGGAAGTATATTTTTCTCTATATAATATTATATAAGTTATAGTGTATAAAGTGCCACAGAATTATTTATATATTTTTAATAATAGACACTTTCTCCATAATTCCCAGTTTAGTGAATTAACCTCTTTGGGAGAGAAAATCACAAGTGTGTTTACTTTAACTCTAGAGCTGGATTGCTCACCTTAGTGACAAAGACTCCTTTAATGTGCATATCGGTTCTCAAGTTATGTGTTGCTCCGGTGTTGAAGTAGGTCACATTGAGCTGAGAGGGAGCAACCTGTATGGCCGCAACTTGCTGGTGGAAGTGAGAGCACATGACATGTTCGCTGAGAATCACTACGGAGCTCACATTGTTGACTGCGAGGAGGTTCTTGGAGGAGCCCCACTGCATGGAGATAGAAATGGTCAGAAGAGTCATCAACTATCAAACAGTTGTATACATTCACACTCCCACAAATACACCATGCCGTAGACACATACACACAAATTCCCAAACACACACACAGTTCTGTTAACTGCAAGATAATGCAGGCACAAAGCATTGCCCCTGCCAGCAGCCTCCTGTGTGAGATATGATAGGTATTGTCCCAGGAATAAATAAGAGTTCTTGAAAGCCTGCAGATTTGGAACATTTGAGAGCACACATTTTACTATTGGTATTGCAACCCCCTCCGCATATAATTTGTAAAAGGTCAATTATTTAATAAGGTTATAAAAAATGTCCCCCATGTATTTTCATAGCTTCCAAATGTTTTTGGGCTATATTAACTATTGGCTTCTCAATAGGTGTGTGTATGTGTGTGTTAAGCGTTTATAATATGCGCTATTATGCTCCCTATGTCCACAATGCTTCTTCACGGGAAGTATTTGATTGGACATTGCCCATTAAAAAGAAGGAAGTTCACTGAAAAAAGGGGCAAATCAGCTTGGCAGCAGAAGCATGTTTTGTGGCTAAGAAATGGCCGCATTTTAGGCCACCTGAAAATAGCTTTATGAAAACCAGTAAATGCGTGTATATTTTTTTTAACTGCATTGTTCATATGCATTTTAATTCAAACATATTGGCTCATGGGATGACTCACTACTTCGCAGAAAGTTTAGACCCTCACTGGAAACCAGTCTATTTATGTGGCAACAGGATCTGCTGAAAACAGAATTCAAAAAAACATTTCATGTCTTGATCACAGCAAATACTGTAGTAGCTTGGAATCCTCCCACATCTCACTAGAAGGGGAATTTATTCACCGAATTTCTCTAAACTGTCATATGATACGATGACGAATATGCAGGTACAACCTCCAGGAGAACAAGTACAACCTCCAGGAGATGGCCAGATTGTTTGTACTATTGACTACAAAAGAAATAGCCATGAGGCTTTCTGTAGTCCGCACTGGATTATTTTCAGCCCATTGAAATGTATAATATACAAATATTCTCTGTCTGGTTTTCCCCATAGTAGATGTTTCTATACGCAATAGATGACAATCATATTATCAACCTTTGAAATTGGTATATTTTATGTACAATGCAAGACTCACTTCAATTCAATAAAAATTGGCAAATTGACAAGAAAGAGGAAAAAAAGTAATGCATTTTGTAGTGCATTTTGTAATCCTTATCTATTGTTTATTTACCATAAAATGAAAACATAGCATGGAAAGAATACACAGCTAATACGAGGTATAGGTGATTTTCAATAATTTATTACATGGTGGAATTTTCAAAATTAGTGATGATTCCTCTTTAAAAAATATTTAATGATCTTTTATCAGTTAAGCAAAAAACAATTCACTACATTCATGAGCAAAGTGGCACTGAGGACAAATAAAGGCTGTGAATAATGGCAATATATAACTCTGTTAGATTTTCTCACCTTAATCTGAGTGATGGATCCCTCAAGTTCTGCTGGCGGCTTAAGTTTCCAACTCTCCTTTCCATCTGTCCTAGAAGATTTCTGTCCAGTAGATGGCGCTTTTCCCCACATAGCTATTCTGCCCTTATTGGTTCCAGCTGCCAATATACCTACATGGGCAAAACAAAACGTGTTAAAAATTTAACCTTAGAGGGGCACTATACTCACCAAACCCACTAAAGCTTGAAGTAGTGGTTCTGGGGCATACGATATGTCCCTGCAAGGTCAGGAATGTAAACAATGCTTTTTCAGAGAAAAGGCTGTTTTTACACTGTGGCCTAAGTTCACCTCTAGTGGCTGTTTCCACATTGAGATACATTGAGTCAAAGTTTCTCAATGAGGAGCTGCCGATTGGCGCAGACTGGCGATTTGTCGCATATGTGCACTAGCCTCCCAATGTTCCAATGAGGAAGAATTGGTTTGGCTTAAATTATAAAGAGCAGCATGGAGGCTGGTGTGGCAAGGGCTAAAAGTTAAATAAAATGTTATTTGTTTTTGGCTTGGTAGTGGGGGGGATTCTATTGTGTTTCTTTAATATTTAATGAGTTTCCAAATCCCCAATATAGGAGTGAGAGAGGGGGATATACAGAGAAAGACAGGCAGACCGGAAATCGTGTCATCAGCAGAGAGGCCAAGCTTTGGGTGCTGGGAAGGTTTATCAAAACTCATTGACCCACACAATAAGCTGGTTGCGTTCCCTTAATAGTGATGACTGTTTTTACAGTTACACCCCATATCATTTAATACCATAGAGCCCTGGGGTGACTGCATGTGACTCTACCTTTAGCTCTGCAGTAAGAAATGCAATTGAGGTTTTCTCCAGATTCATATCCCAATTGCTCGTCCAGGAAAAGCACATAATTGTCATCCCGCTCCAGATCCCAGAACCTAAAGAGAAACTAATATTAGAAAGATAGCGGCCATGGATATCATGATTAATCCCACTCCAGATCCCAGATAGTGGCCATGGATATCATGATTAATCCCACTCCAGATCCCAGATAGCGGCCATGGATATCATGATTAATCCCACTCCAGATCCCAGATAGCGGCCGTGGATATCATGATTAATCCCGCTCCAGATCCAAGATAGCGGCCGTGGATGTCATGATTAATCCCACTCCAGATCCCAGATAGCGGCCATGGATATCATGATTACTCCCGCTCCAGATACCAGATAGCGGCTGTGGATATCATGATTAATCCCACCCCAGATAGCGGCCGTGGATGTCATGATTACTCCCACCCTAGATCCCAGATAGCGGCCGTGGATATCATGATTACTCCCGCTCCAGATCCCAGATAGCGGCTGTGGATATCATGATTAATCCCACCCCAGATAGCGGCCGTGGATGTCATGATTACTCCCACCCTAGATCCCAGATAGCGGCCGTGGATATCATGATTACTCCCGCTCCAGATCCCAGATAGCGGCCGTGGATGTCATGATTACTCCCACTCCAGATCCCAGATAGCGGCTGTGGATATCATGATTAATCCCACCCCAGATAGCGGCCGTGGATGTCATGATTACTCCCACCCTAGATCCCAGATAGCGGCCGTGGATATCATGATTACTCCCGCTCCAGATCCCAGATAGCGGCCGTGGATGTCATGATTACTCCCACTCCAGATCCCAGATAGCGGCTGTGGATATCATGATTAATCCCACCCCAGATAGCGGCCGTGGATGTCATGATTACTCCCACCCTAGATCCCAGATAGCGGCTGTGAATATCATGATTAATCCCACCCCAGATAGCGGCCGTGGATGTCACGATTACTCCCACCCTAGATCCCAGATAGCGGCCGTGGATATCATGATTACTCCCACCCTAGATCCCAGATAGCGGCTGTGAATATCATGATTAATCCCACCCCAGATAGCGGCCGTGGATGTCATGATTACTCCCACCCCAGATCCCAGATAGCGGCCGTGGATGTCATGATTACTCCCACTCCAGATCCCAGATAAATAGGTGAGCATTCTCTCCCTCCATAGTGAGCAGCAAGAAATCCAGTGTTATTACACAATAACATATACTATAGTACAAGTCTTAAATAGCGAACCATAATATTTCACACTGATAAATTATAAACAACACGGTGTCTGCTACCACCATTAATTGAGATGGAAAATATTGGAGTATGAAGTTGGAGCATGAATAAACCCTGGATGATGGGAGAATTTACCGTATAACACTTTCCCCGGTGGCTGTAATTAAGAGGCTGCGGTCAACCCAGAGGATGTCGGCTGCTTGACCAGTCTTCCCAGTTAGTTTCACCTGTTCAAACAATGTATGAAATTAATTCAATACGTTATGTACACATTGAACTACAGTTATAACTGGGATACAACATACAGCTGCACCGCGCTGCATAACAGCCTTACTAGAATAACATATCACCCCCTAGTGGTAAATATGTGGGAAAGCCCATGTCACTGCAACTGTCACAATTTATAAATGTAATCAGTGTTATTTTTATACTGTGATCCATAACTCCTGTTCAGTATATCTTATGGTTAATTCCTGAACTCTGACATTGGCTATGTAGGAGATGGCAGCACACCCTATGCATCTACCGTAACGTTTGACCTCCTAAAATATTACAGTGATTCTTGGTAGGATTTCAGTTTGAACATTACTTCTGTGGAATTTCCTGGGATAATATAGTATCTGCTTTACTGTAGATTTAAGGAAGTTAAAGTAATGGTTTTATAACCTTTTCCAGCTTCATAATACACACTCTTATTTATGAGATCCTACTTTTAAAGAAACACTCCATTAAAATAAATTAAAAATAAAAATGTAATTGATATACCCCTAAAGAACATATGCATGCATTTTGTTCAGTATATTTTCTTTGGGGGTATATAAAATCATGGTTTGCAAAAAGCTGCAGAAGTATCTGCAGCCTTTACAAGCCCTCCCCTTCTTTCCCCGCCCAGACTTTCTGTGGATGTCCAATCACAGACATCCCAATGCAGCTCAGTGAGAAGTCTTTCCAAGACAGGTGCTCTGGGAAATTGCTGCCTCTTGAGCTTAGCTCCACTTAGATAAATAAACCGGGATGTAACAGGGCCTGTTGTCTGATCTGACAGGTAGGGATGTATAACAAGATTAATGTATAAAAATGCAAATTTCTATTGGAATCTTCACTTTTTGTAAAATGAAAAACAGGACATACAATTCACACATAAAGCACTTCGGCAAGCTAAACTATTTGAGGTGTTTAAAGAGTTCCTTTAACAAGGATATGATTTATTGCACAAAAACATGAGTCATGTGAGAAAGATTCTGATGTCAGCAATCAACATTTGTATGTATATTTTATGGAGAAGTGTCCCTCAAACACACACCTGATTGTCAGCTCCTTGAAAGGAACATTGGATTTAAATAACCACTTAATGCACCTGATTATCAGAGGGTCCCGTACGATTTCAAAAGAGACAGTAAATTTGGGATAAGTTTGCCGACTAAAAATATTTGTTTTATCAGACTATTATCAATGTTTAGGTCAACTTAATGCAGAAACACAAAAAAAAAAAAATCAACAATTCTGAGGATTCATAAACTCTCTTTCCACGTCTTACCTTTGAGGTCTCATCAGCTTCGGCTTCTGGGCCGACAAAAAACTGTGATAGCACTAGGTTCTCAGTGATCACCACTAGTATGGATTTCTTCTCTACAAAGATCAGCTTTTGTATTGGACTGTCCATGCTCACTACTTGACTGCTTTTTCCTTGCTCATTCACCCAATACACTGAACCTACAACCAAAAAAGGTTAATACCATAAGAAAAGAAACAAAAGCACATGTTTTGCCACATAATGTGATGATGTGTGCCAAAGCATAGCAGTCGCAGGCAATGTGTGAGGGTTACAGGGGCTTTAAAAGAGCAAACTGCAGGCAATAAGAGGGGGGGAGCATCTGCTTTGTCTTTTTACAGCAGTGATTCCCTACACAGTCTTCTAAGAACATCCACAATTCAGTTCCAATGGGCATACTAACAAAACCTGGACCCGTTGCTGTACCTTGAGGTACTGAGTTCTGGAGCAAGGTTTAATATTTCACTTTTTACTAGAATTGTCTAAAACTTGCTCACCTACTCAAACTTTAACTGCATTTTGTTTTGTTTTTTTAATTGTGTCTGTTGTTTATTTAGTAAACACCACATTTTAGTGACTTAAACCCAAATGGCAAACTTAAGACTAAAATAACTGATTAAGAAAGAAATGTCAACATCGGCTATGGTTGCTGCTCAGGTATTTTAGCCATTTGCATATAATTTGCTGGTTTCAGAATAATGTTCTGAGTGTGTGTTAATGGTAAACCGTATTTGTGTTTAGGGTCAACGTATGTTATTTATTTTCTTTAATTGTGGAGATACACTGCGAATTTGATTGCACCATTAAAACAGAGACATTTTTCCTCTCAGCTCTAGGAAAAAATATTTTCTTCAAACTGAAACTTCATTATTAATATTCATCCCAAAATGATACATGCGCACACATACATGTGCATGTCTTTAGTGTTAACAAAAATAATCAAAGTTAATTTGTAATAGTAACTTACTTATGTGAGTTGTGTCTAAAAAAGTATTCTTGAAACGCTCTCTGTAAAGCTAGGGAGATCGTTCAATTTCTAAGTGCACCAACTGCAATTTCTCTATGTATACAACTATGCTTGCGATTCCCAATATATTCATACATTGGTTGAGATGCTGCGTACACACCCAAATACAATGGAGAGACAAGAATGGTACATGGCATGGAGCATGTACTGCAAATACACTGATCAGCCACAACATTAAAACCACCTGCCTAATATCATGTAGGTTTCCCTCGTGCTGCCAAAACAGCTCTGATGCGTTGAGGCATGAACTCCACAAGACCTCTGAATGTGTCCTGTAGCAGTATCATGTGTCAATCAGACTGAGGTCTGGAGAATTTAGAGGCCAAGGCAATACCTTGAACTCTTTGTCATGTTCTTCAATCCATTCCAGAACAATTTTTGCAGTGTGGCAGGGTGCATAATTCTGCTGGAAGAAGCCAGTGCCATCAGCGAACACCATTGCCATGAAGTGGTGTACTTGGGCTGCAACAATCTTTAGGTAGGTGATACGTGTCAAGGTAACATCCACATAAATGGTGGAATCCAAGGTACCCCAGCAGAATATTACCCAGAGTATAACACTGCCTCTGCCAACCTGCTTTCTTCCCATAGTGAATCCTGCTGCAATCTCTTCCCCAGGCAAATGACACACACACACCCAGCCATCTACCTGATCTAAAAGAAAATGTGATTCATCAGACCAGAGAACCTTCTTCCATTGCTCCATGGTCCAGTGCTGAAGCTCGTGTCCCCACTGGAGGCACTATCAATGGTGGGCAGTGGATCCCTTTGACCGGCTAGCCTTTGCTCCCCAAGGCACACATGATCCTGAAGTCTGTTCATTGGTTGTCCTTCCTTGCACCACTTTTGGTAGATACTAACCACTGCAAACCGGGAAAACCCCACAAGACTTGTCGTTTTGGAGATGCGCTGACCCAGTCATCTAGTCAAAATCACTCAGATATTTTCACTTGCCCATTTTTCCTAATTCCAAACACATGTAATTCAAGAACTGGCTGTTCACTTCCAGCCTAATATATCCCATCCCTTGACAGGTGCAATTGTAACGATATAATAATGTTATTCACTTCACCCGTCAGTGGTTTTAATGTTGTGACTAATCGGTGTATATAGCCATTACAAAGCAGGTATACACATACGCACAGCTCAGAATCCATCTTACCATCTCCTGTTGTGACAAAAAAGGAGAACTCCTGTTGAGATCTTGCCTTAGAGGGAGAACCCTTTTCAGATCTCTTCCAGTTAAACATGTCCAGAGCTCGCTCATCCCCACTGACTGCTGCCTTGGCTAACTGAGCCAGGTCCCTGCACAAGGAGGAGGGAGCAAATTAAGAGGTGATATATAACTATGAGAAATATAATTACGGAGGACTTCCAAGGAAGTGAGAATGTTATGGCCACTAAGTCCACATTAAAAAAAAAAAATTTCCACTTGTCAAAACAAGAAAAAGATGCATGGAAATGGAAACATACTATTGTTGTAGGTTGAAATCTGTTTAGGTCATAAACCGAAAAACTGGCACTTACTCATCAGGAGCTAAAGGCTTGAAAAGGCAGTGAGTCAGAGGTTTGCGATACTCATGCTTCAATAAAGGCATCCCTTGAACACGTCCCCGCTGGTCCAACTTCCATACCACTAACACTCCAAGCTATAACAAGACAAGAAATAAAATAAAGTGTCCACCCAACATTGGATAGTACAACGCAGAAAAGGAAACACAATAAAGAACTATCTTTCAAGTTATTCAGTAATTATTGAAAGACAACCATAATGAATGGTTAGTGAGTAATGTGCTTAAAGATTACGTGATAAAAAATAAAAATAAAAAAACAAGTAGACTCAAGTCCAGTGACACTGGAACTATCTTCTTCAACATTGTGCTAGACATTTATTTAACCATTTTTCCATAATTGTCACACTTCCCCTCCTTATATCGACCTTTTGGTTTTTACACCATTCCTGAATATGTTTGCTGTCCTGACCTTTACCAAGATATCTTTGTTGCTTGCCCTAAACCTTGAACATCAACTCTGCTATTATTATTTTTGGTCTCACTCTTGGAACACACAGTTAGTCAGTGGATCCCCCAAAGTGCACTGGTCACAAAAATCAGGAGATTTGATCGCTTGTAGTATCAGTTATAAACTCCACTGCATTGACTAGGGAACCTTGAATTCACCCATTATCTTTTACCACCACACTGAGGGTGTACGCTCCTTGGACCGCAATTTTCCATGTTTGAAAAAAAAACGAAACTTTTTTTCTTTCATGATAATAAATGAATTAAACTGGAGCTTGGAATAAAAGAAACGTTGAATTTTCTTTTCCATCACGTACTCATGTTTCTAAAATGCAGGACATGCCCATTGCCCACCCAAGACTCTCTCTGTAAGACTCCCAGAAGCAGTGTTAGTGAGACACATCAAATGCAGTTACCTGGTCTCCTGAGATTAAGTGGTTGTTGTTATTATTACTCCATTCGAGCATGGTGACCTCGGCCCCATGTATGGGTGGCATAGCATACTGCTCCTTCTCCTGTTCATTGAAAACCACCAATTCTCCTGTAGACCAGCCCACAGCCAGGATACACCTCGTTGGATGCCAGCTGAGTATGGTAGGCTGATAGGACCTTTCAATATGTGCGTCATTTATATGTTCACCCTGCACAAGACAAAAAAAGGTTTAGTAACAAATTTAAATAAAATAGATTTTATGCAAAGCTTTATGGCACTAACTTATTGAGGTGGTCATTATTATAAATGGGGTTAATCACATTTAAAATAGCCAAAATGTAAAAATTCAGCTTTGCTTTTATTTTGGCTAGTCTGGCCTTCAATCTGAAAAACCTTAAAATTTTCACGTTAGTAAAGAAAGATGAAAGACATTATTAACAGTTAGTTGATCCAAGGAAAGATTTGATAGGCAGGACTCAAGGAGGATTTTTTTTTCTCTTTTAGAAACAAAACAGTATCGCTTCAATTTAAAAAAAAAAAAAAAAGCATCTTTTGATGCTTTTTCAGCCTATATAAATTTTACTGTGCACGCAACTTATCAAGAAGACAAATTTGTCCTTTTTTACATAAACCAGTTTTTTATTGATGGTTTGAAGAAATACTTTGCAATAAAAAAAAAAAATGTAGTGACAGAATTATTAAACTGTTACAAAAGACTTCTTGAGTTTGTCAATATCAGCATCTCTAACTATTAAAGCGGCACTGTCATGCCGAACTTACCTTTCCCCAATCGATTCCTCTTCTCTCCCTCTCTCAGGATCTGTTCTTCATTTCTTCCTATCTGCTCTAGTTTTCTTTAAAAATTAAGACAAAGTAGGGACTATTTCTCTTCTGGAGGTTTCCTACACCATGACCAGCGGAGGAGCAAAGTGTGCTTCATTTCCGGTGGTCAAAGCAATTTTCCCATAATCCTTCGTTTTCCTCCCTGTCAGTATTGACGAACGTCCTGTCACTTAGACAGAACGCCGGCAAAACTGACGAATTGTGTTCTAATAGAATGAACAGTTTCTCCGTTCGTGTTAGAAGGCAATTCGGGACTTTGTTCGGATTCGCAATTTCATTTGAATGAATTAAACTCCGATCCTATTCGTGCTGTGGCTGCATCTTGCAGCCGCTTAGTAGATAACACCCTAATTTCCACGGTATTAGGGAGCTATCTACCAAAAGGCTGAAAGACCTAAATTGGAATTTCAGCCACATGTACTAATACTAAGTAAAGATTACTTAGTATTAGTAAATTCAGCCCCTACTCGCTATACCGCGAGTAGGGGCATGTCTAGTAAACAGTGAGCAGCCAGTGGCTGCTCACTGTAAAAAATAAATAAAAAAAAACCTATTCTGATAAATGAATGGATGAAATTCCCATTCGCATGTCCAAGTGTTTCACTGGGCATGTGCGGGAATCTCACAGCGCTATCTAGTGTGGGCAGATGACGTGTCCCAAAGGAACTTCCTCTACTAAAACAAAGATGGTGGCGTCCAGAATATAGATCGGCCATGGCAGTGCCGCTTTAAGGGATATTTCCTGGTACTTAGCATTCATGGAAACATGAAACATTTTTTATTTATACAAAATAAACATTATTGTTACAGTTGAAACACATATTGTGAGCTATATTGCCGTGAATATGTTATATACCCGTAAACATTGCCGGTTACTAAGGTGATACTGATAAACAGTGCACAATAATATGAGTAAGCAAATCCCACCCAACACTTGCAGCCAACCATAGCCATCCAAGTTGGAATGGTAATGCAGAAGAATAATGTCCACATTATCAGAGCTCCATGTGAGAGGCTGGTCTTTAGGTGCTGGGTGGGAGAAAAATAAACAAAAAACCTAAAGGCTCTTCAAACTATAACATGCGCAATGAACTGTAGTGGTTATATCGCTTCGAGTTTCCCTTTAAAAACTCTAAAAGGTCTTAGAGGTCGCCAAAGTAGGAAGGGGGTCCCAAAGCAGGAATGTGATTCCTTGGAGGTAAGGATCATTAAAATTATACTGTTTTCTATGAAGCTATAAATAGGTCAAACCTTAAAAAGAAAATTAGATTGGTTTATTGATTTCCAAATGTCACGGCACACTAAGAGATTAGGATGCACAAGTGTGCGTGGACTCTGAAAGCCAGGTGTAAACTACTGGAGATGGTGCGGTGGAACATCGTAATCTAGATTAAAGATAATTTCTAGAATGAGGGGGGGAAAAGTCTTTATTGCAACTCAAAGGGGAAAATAGTATATTTACTTATCTCCTATATTTAGCAAATATGTGTTTGTGAGGTATGACAAAATACAATTAAAATGTAGAAATACGCATAGTTTTTATTAAGCTCTATCTTGGAAATGTAAAAACATCTTACCAATTCACTGTATATATCTACACGGCCCCCGGCTGTTGAACTGGAGGCCACAGCCAGCATTGCATGGTGACGGTGCCAGGAGATATTGGATGGAGATGATTCAGCATCCTGAGGCTCTATTCGATGGTCAAAGTACACAGCCATTGTGAGATGCTCTCTCTATCATGGACCAACCTTTTTTTACAAACAGAAATCAGTTATCATTGTTTGAATATTCTTCTGTTCTATATTTGCATAATTGATAACTGTCTCAAATTTGCTGTGAGAGTTCCATGTTTTGAGTTCATGTCCCAGCAGCCAGGGGTACAGCCAATGTCACTGGTCCAGGGCCCACAGAAAGGTGCCTAGAAATATGTGTTTTCATTCTTTAATTGTGTGTGTGTATATCTGTCAGTGTGCATATATCTCTGTATCTGTGGACATCTGTTTGCATACTTGCTGCCAAAGTGCTTCTGGATTTTTTTTTATGGCAGAACATGTGTATGTGAGTCCATTACTGATAGGGGAATCCCAGAAGAACAGTCAGGAAAGAACTACGACTTAAACACTCATGTTAGATAGCATCACAGTTATAGATGTATTTAATTTAATCTTACTTACCTGGCTTTGTATTTAATATCAGACAGTAATAAAAATGTAATACAAAAATTTAGCAGCTTATCAGGGTTTTTATTTCTGCAGCAGCACAAGAAGAGATAAAACTAATCTAACAAATTTTGTCATTATGTGAAATTTATCCAAAACGGGGAGATTACAAAATATAAACATATTTTCTTTATGTGACCCATGCATTTTTTTTAGATGGTAGTGGCAGATGGTAGTGACAGATTATACAAAATGACCAAGCCTTATTTTAGTGGTCACTGATGTAAGGTTAGCCTAAACAAGGTCCGCCCCTATTAATTTTCAGTTTCAGATCAGTTTGCCCCCCTTGAAGACACTATAGGACGTATGACTGGCGGACTATCATAGGGGTTGTAATTCTAAGACAGCAGTGGGCGGTTACCTATTGGCCATCCCTAGCCTAGTTAGGGCAGCTAGACCCATCATGTAATCCTGGACACCCAGCACTTATACACATAGAGGGGCAGCACGTGTAGAATGGGCAGTCTCCTCTAGACTGTAAGCTCATTTCAGCAGGGTCCTCAACTACCTATTGTTCCTGTTACATTTTGTTATTGTCTCATTTGGTAAATTCCATTATTATTGTAAAGCGCTGCAGAATAAGCTGGCACTATATAAATACTACTACTACTACTACTACTACTACTACTAATAATAATAATAATAATAATAATAATAATATGTAGGATAGGCAGTATGTAGAATGGGCAGTATGGAGGAAGGGTGGTATGTAGAATGGGTGGTATGTAGGATGGGCAGCATCTAGGATGGTATATAGGATGGGCAGTATGTAGGATGGGCTGTATATAGGATGGGCAACATGTAGAATGGGCAGTATATAGGACGGGCAGCGTGTAGGGTGGGCAGTGTGTAGGGTGGGCAGCGTGTAGGGTGGGCAGCGTGTAGGGTGGGCAGCGTGTAGGGTGGGCCGTATGTAGGGTGGGCCGTATGTAGGGTGGGCAGTATGTAGGGTGGGCAGTATGTAGGGTGGGCAGTATGTAGGGGGGCAGTATGTAGGGTGAGCAGTATGTAGGATGGGCAGTATGTAGGGTGGGCAGTATGTAGGATGGGCAGTATGTAGGATGGGCAGTATGTAGGGGGGCAGTATGTAGGATGGGCAGTATGTAGGGTGAGCAGTATGTAGGATGGGCAGTATGTAGCATGGGCAGTATGTATGATGGGCAGTATGTAGGGTGGGCAGTATGTATGATGGGCAGTATGTAGGGCGGGCAGCGTGTAGGGTGAGCAGCGTGTAGGGTGAGCAGCGTGTAGGGTGAGCAGCGTGTAGGGCGGGCAGCGTGTAGGGCGGGCAGCGTGTAGGGCGGGCAGCATGTAGGGCGGGCAGCATGTAGGGCGGGCAGCATGTAGGGTGAGCAGTATGTAGGGTGGGCAGCATGTAGGGTGAGCAGTATGTAGGGTGAGCAGTATGTAGGGTGGGCAGCATGTAGGACGGGCAGCATGTAGGGCGGGCAGCATGTAGGGTGGGCAGCATGTAGGGTGGGCAGCATGTAGGGTGAGCAGTATGTAGAATTCACATGCTGCTGGATGACACCCATGTCATTAATCAAGGATGCAGCATATGAACAGTGCATACTGCAGGAATACACTTGTCATGTTCTGCACATCGACAGTAATGAGTGAGATGTGTCCAGGGGAACATGATGGACCTGCAAATCTTCCCCTGAACACAGCATCCCAGTGGCAGCCATGGCTGAGATTACTGACTGTGCCATGGGTGGGCTCAATGCATGTCTGCCAGTACCGGCCCCGGGTTTCCCCGCGGTCAGTCCGGGTCTGGTCTTACCCTGCTCCGTTAATCCCCCTTGGCTGCTCTGCTGAGGCTCCAAGCTGCACCGCAGGCCGCTTCGCTTCCCGTTACCCCTGACAACGGGCTGGGAGCGTCACGTGACAGCCCTTCACCAACAGCGGCCGAGGGAGAGCCGAGCGCTCTCCGGAAATTGCCGAATGTTTCCGAAAATACCATGTGAAACGCAGCTATGGACTACGTTTCCCATGATCCTCATCCAGACTATTGTGTGTTTTCTTGATAACGCCATAGAAAGCCCAGACCGCAGCTAATGTTGTTTTAAAATAAATTCCCAGCTGTAAAAATTCCCCTTCAGTTCTCAATGAGATATGGGCTTGAAAGAGTTAATTATACACAAACACCCACCACACCCTGCTGTTTGTATAATAAGACACAGCACTGAATGCTAATTATCACATTATAGTAATATCATTAAATTAACTGTATAGAAGGAGCACTTTATCCAGACACATTTAGGCTGCATGTATGAAGTAATTTTACTTTCAATTTCAAAATATACCTTCAATTCCTCACAATTCACACACAAAAAAATTAGATTAAAAAAAATATCTGATTTTGGAAAAGTTCTCCAACTAATTTATATTTAAAGCTTGGCTGGTTTACCGATAATTTGCATTTGCAATTTATTTTTTTTTGTATTCAATGCAGTTTTATATTTACAGGGTTATTCGCTAAAGTCAGATTCCAAAGTGAATTTAAAATTTAAATTCAAATTAACCAAACCGTAAACTTTCTCTAAATCAGCTAGTCTGGCAGTCCGGCTACTTTGGACTTAGATTTGAAATTCACTTTGAATGCTCACTTTAGGAAATAATCCTGTCAGTAAATAAACCACAACTGTTGGCGCTATGTAAATCATTTGCATTGTTGTCTCCTCTACACCCATTCTCTCAAATATATTTAAAAAAAAAAAAAACCTTTAGTATTTACAAATCATAAAACAGACTAGGCTTTGTTAGACAGTTCCACATTAAAATTTCACCATGCCCAGAATAGCTCAAATTCCACATGCCAATTAATTAACTGTAGAGACAACCATATTAAAATAGCTGTATTCTTGTATTCTACTGGCATCGTATGAATTCTACATACAGCCAAGTAGAACTATTCATGTGCCTTCCAACAGCACATAGAACAAATGACTGGAATGTGGCTCAGTTGGCAAATCCATTACAGCTAAACGGCGCTTCAAGGGGAAATTAAATTTTCAGGGACATGGGCAAATAAATAAATATTTCATAGGGTTACGGCCCTAATGCATATCGTTATCATGACTAGTATAAGATTGTTTTATAAATTGTGACGTTAATTATTTTCAGGAAAATCCAGATTCCCACTCTATCGAATCTGGCAATAGACAGCTTCTTCGTGGAATCATCCCAGACTAAGTCATTGGTGGTACATAGGTGTAGGAAGCTGAAGTAACTACTTATTCAACTGCCTTGTCAGTGACAGGGTCTGGTACTGCGTTTTTTTTCATCTTGAGATCAAGGTCCATTTTATCAGCACAAAATACAGTTTGATCAAAAAGCCAGCTCCTGTCCCTTCCTGCTCTAGTCTGATACCAGTTAAAATACCTGTGTTCTGGTGCGGTTTATGTCTCGCATCTATAGATGTACAGTTAAGGAATAGTGAGCATAATTGAAGACTGGATTTGCCAATATCATACCTCCCCAGTGACTCTTTTTAGGAGGGACAGTCCCTATTCTGGACCCAAATCCCTCGTTTCTATCTTAATTTATGTCTGAGTGTATAACAGAGCTCCACAGCAATAATGCTCACAGTAATGTGTCTTTAAACTACAATAACTATGTTTAGAAATTAATCTGTGTAAATAAGATACATTGTTCTCGTTCGAAGTTACATTTTAGTTGCATAAATTGTTATTAGCAAGTCACTTAAACATCACGTAACAGCCCCGCCTCTGGTCACACCCCCAATCACTCCCTTAAAATGAAAGTGTCCGTCTTTGTCCATTTTGAAATGTTGGGAGGTATGCTGAGTAGACAACTGTCTGTAGGCACCTCTCTGCCCCTGCCTTGTAAATGCAATAATAATTTTTTTTCTTCTTTATTTTTAACTTTGCCACTTTACCATTTTAATTTTTAGAACATTTAAAAAAGTAATTAAAATTAATAAGAACAGCTGTATATTACTTTCTGAATAGGAATACATAGGACTCATATGATCGAGCATACAATGATAGTTTGCTTTTTATATAAAATAAATAATAATAACAAATTCAGGGTGAATACCAGTAATATTTGGCTAGTCAAATGTATAGATGGAATGTTATTGCAAATCTCGTGGCTCCAGATAATGTCTTCATAATGTTCACTGTAACAATGGATTCTTTCATATTACGTTGGCTGAATTAAAGAGGGGCGAATCTAGGGGGCGGGCAAATCACCAGCAAGTCCATCAGACTGACTTACACTGACTAACACTGACTGCCCTTGATGAACAGGAAACTGTAAGGGTTAATGGGGAATTCAGACTTTTGCTTTTCAGCAGAGGCGGTTAGGGCGGTAGAGTTTTGGTGATGGGGATTTGGCAAAATGCTGGAAAACCTCAGCGCTGAAAAAAAAAAAAGATTCTGTACCCATAGTGTTTTAGCACCATAACCACTATAATAAGCTATTTTATTTATTGTGTTGTCAATCCCTTTAAACTGGGCCTGTTACGTTGTTAGTACAGGCACATTGTAATAGTTTTACTTCAATTTACCTATTAGTTTAGCTTTTACTTAAAAAAATATGTCAGTATTATATTTTTATCTGGAAAGAGCACCAAGTTATATAGGCACAGCATGGCATTCCATGCAAATTGAAAATGCCCCATGATTCCACATGGCCTGTAACTATAGATGTAGAGGTAGTCATGGGACAATGATGTTCTTTGTACACAGTATTTCAAGGATATGGCACTACAAATTGACCCAGGATGGAAGAATAATAAATCTTCCAGATTTGTACAGTAGGAATGTATGACACCGTAACTCCATAAACCATTCACTTGCAATTTCTGTGGTTAAGAGAAATTGAACGGTCCCCAAAAGAAAAATGGCAGTTCTTCTTTTAAACATTAATAAACTATAAAAGAAAACTGTCCTTGTGTTCAATAATTAATGATAATATATGATTACATATCATATAGCATCTGTGTGTTTGTTATTTTGTAACGCATACATATAAGCAGTGCCGACACCAGGGTTGGTGTCACCTGGTGCAGGGACTCATGGTGTATTGACCCCCACCAGTACCAGAACATATGAGATCCCTAGTGGAATATGCAAGGCCTGCACATAACATAACAAGACCCCGAAAGTAATTAAGATGATTGGGGTTCAATCTTGGTGTTGGAAATCAAGGCAATATGTAACCCCTTAAGGACCAAACTTCTGGAATAAAAGGGAATCATGACATGTCACACATGTCATGGGTCCTTAAGGGGTTAAGGATGGTGTTATGTGTCACTGTGTGTGAATAATCAAGTGTGAGCTTTCTTTTAGGCACGCTTATGGCTGAGTATGACAATTTATAACGTGAGATGGGGGAGGAGGACGGTCTTTCCTTTCATCACAAGTTTCCTGCAATAAAATGAGCATATGGTGACTAATTCTTCTTTGATCCTCAAGTAAACCCTGTTTATGTTAATTTAAAGGTAATAAGAAATAAGGTACTGCATGGGATCACCTGAAAGATGGGGGAACCATGGGTTTCGTGTCTGTAAGAGATTTTTGAAGATCTTTGCATTTGGGGTCAATGCGCACAGCATGATGACGCTAAATGAGTTGGATTCATCAATATATAATTTTTACAACAGTGAAACCAGTTATCGAAAGTTGAAAATATAACACATTATATTTATTTTTTTACATTTATAGAGTTTTCCTTTAAGCTATGCGCTCATTCACACTGATAAAAGGTGATGCAGGCAGCCAACAAACGATGGTTTCTGTTTAGTTACTATAGATATCTGTTAAGTTTTGATCAGAGAAAAGGGCTATTGCTGTGGGTACACTAGGAAAAAAGCAAACAGCTGATGGAGGATGTATAGCTCTCAAGTGCCCTTATTTAGGAGGAACAGTCCCTATTTTGAACCCAAATCTCTCTGTCCCTCTTTTCTAGGAGCTCCATATTGTTGGTGTGTCTTTGTTTAGAATCAGTCTGTGTAAATAGCATACATTGCTCATTACATTACATTTTAGTTATTTAAGTTGTGATTATCACCTAAAATCTATCAGAACAGCTCTGCCCCTGGTCAGGATGTAGCAAGGCCAACTCAATGGACTCATCTGTGATGGAAGCTTTTTTGGGGGGGGGTGATGCCTAAATGGCAAGTGAGTGTGCCAGAGCATCATGGGTTACACATCTACAGTGAAAGTATGTGTGGGTTGTTGTTGTTTTTTTGGTTTGTTTGGGTTTTGTTTTGTTGACAATCTTTATTTAGTTTCTTTTTTTTTTTTTTATTATATATACAACAACAAAAAAGTGACGATGGGCAAATATGACTCCATAGAAGTTTAGAAATAAAATCTAAATTAACAAAACAAATTCCATAAAATATGTGAGGTGAGTCATAGCAACTCTGCGATCAAGTAAAGTACAGAATCGCTCTGCTGAGCCAATCAGTCCAAATTTTAGAATCCAGAAAGAAAAATGTCCAGCTCACATCAATGGATGAAAAAGCACTCCAGATTGGATGAGGTCCCCAGATCAAGATGCACAACATTCCTCAATAGAAAGACCTATTGTTTGGTGAAAACGTTGTCCAGCTAGCAATGGGGACCTCAATAAATCGCTTTCCACCCATTGATGCGTGTTGGACATTATTCTTTTTGGATTCTACATTGAATGGGTTCAGAGCCAGAGTTCAAAGAGTGAGTACATATGTATGAATGGGTGCTGGTGGTGCTTTTCGTATATCCAGTGCAGTTTTTAGGTATAAAAAGAGGAAGAAATGAAAAAGAAAGTAAAAATAAAAGGGGTTGGGGGACTGGTGAAAGGAAGAGAAGGGAAAACGGGACAGGTGCACTCTATCTATTTATCCTTTCTCTATGTATGTATCATCTATCTATCAATCTGTCCTTTCTCTATGTATCTATCTATCTGTCTATCTATCTGTCTATCTATCAATCTATCCTTTCTCTATGTATGTATGTATCTATCTATCTGTCCTTTCTCTATGTATCTATCTATCTATCTGTCTATCTATCTATCTATCTATCTGTCCTTTCTCTATGTATCTATCTATCTATCTATCTATCTATCTATCTATCTGTCTATCTATCCTTTCTCTATGTATCTATCTATCTATCTATCTATCTATCCTTTCTCTATGTATCTATCTATCTATCAATTTATTCTTTCTCTATCTATCTATCCTTTCTCTATGTATTTATCTATTTATCCTTTGAGCCATGATTACCTAAGCAAATAATAGATAGTATACTCTAAGGAGGAAACTAAAGAAATATAAGAGCTGCAGGCATAGCGAACTCTTCTGGGAAATGAACGTCAAAGCAATATGTTCCTGTTAACACTGCTCTTTGGAGCGATGAATTTTGTTTAAACCCGCACTCCACAATAAATACACACAGTTATAATGAGAATCTGAACACAAATTATTAGGGAAGTGGCCAAATAGTACATAATTGCAGCAAGTCCTTTCAATCACCAGTAGTAGGAAGTAGTGAATGGACTGATTTACACTATTGAGCATTACACATGCCAGTGTAGTGGTTATGGTGCCATTAAACTTCAGCCCTCGTCCTCCGGTTCTTGGTCATACTGATTTTTGTCCAATACTGGGGATCCCTGAGGAGCTCATGGCTTGATCTCCTGTTAAATAAGAAACATTAATTTTGTTCACATTTCAAAGCCATTCATTGGTTGAGCATGTCATCGGACCAACTTAGCCAATTAATGCCTTTCAATTATGAAAGAAATTGATATTGCAAAATGGGAAGTGAAAATTTCATGTTGATAATAGGCAGGGACGGATTAAGAGGTCATTGGGCTTGATGCTGACAATTACAATAGGACCTAATTACAAATTTCTTATCGACGGAAAACACTAAAACAGTCATACTTCCCAAGCATCATGTATTTGATAGCTGTGGTGCTGGAGGGAAACTCGCGTTTATAATGTTTATTGGATGTACTGTTTTCTGACCTCGGCGTGTTTAACCATTCTTGCTCTCTGTTTTCCTGACCTTGGACACACTATCAATTCTGTGTAGCTGTGTAGCGTTTATTCTCTGTCTGCTGGAAGACATTTCCTTTATCTGTCTTAGGCACTAGCTCGGCCACTTTAAGGACCTTAACTATTTCCTTTAGGTTTGTGTATTAAGGTATCTCCATTCCTGCAAGTGCTCAAAACGTCACTAATGGAGGAATATTTTATGTCCATAACCAACATTCGAGTTATTCGCTCCAGAACTCATATTTTTCTTTTTTTTTTACCAAAATTGCCCAAATGAAAACTTAGATTACTTTTAGTTTGAATACGTTTGTTAAGAATGTAATGTTCACTTTGAAATTTCGACAATTCACGTTTTGAAAAAAAAGCAAATTGCAGAATTATCTTTTGTATGCCAAAACAGCAAAAAGCAGAGATTTTTTTTTTTTTTCCCTTTTTTCAAAAAAAATAAAATACTTCTAATAAATTTGAATTCATGGAAAACTCAAAAGAAAAAAAAAAGTACAATAAATAAATAAATAGCTAGCTATATAAATAGAGCAATCCCTATGAATGTGCCTATAGGAATAACAAGGTCATTGTCAATGTGATGGAATCCAATGTTACACTTTCTGCCCACACTGTAACCATGAATGACACGACTTCCGGCACGCCCATCACCAGTGACGTCACACCGCCGACCAATCGGAGCGAGGATGAGGGCATCCACACTGACCGTGACCGCGCCCTTTTTCTTTTTTAAAAAACGTCCCGCGATTGGCCAGGCTCGCCAGCCAATCGGCGAAATGAGACGGTCTTCCTTGACGTCATCATCAGTCACCGCCCACCAAGCCCATGGATCGCAGCGCTGGTCGTGGCGTCGCGCCGTGTCATTGGTTGCTCTCCTTTAGGCCCCGCCTGCCCTAGCGCCGCCGTCCAATGGGAGCGTTTGTTTGGGTTCCACGGGGCGGGGTTTATTTTGGCAGTCTGTCTTGGCGCGGGTTGTTGTCAGATGGGGACACGGTGTGACAGGGGAAGGTGTTTGCCGGTTGGATAACGAGCATTTACCGGACACCGAGCTGTCTGAGCGCTCCCGTTACCCCCCAGGGGTCTCTGGGTAAACCTGACTGGAGCTCCAGGCCCTGTGTGAGCTGGGATAGGCCTCAGGGCCTGGATCACACAGCCTGCAGCCCTGGGCGAGCTATAGCAGGCCGAGCCAGGAGAACCACCAATACTACATGTGCCAGGTAGGTAAGCACCCTGTATACCTGCTGGGGGTCGGAGAGCCAGCCCCTACAGGGGCTCTAATAATGTCCCATCATCATAATAATATTCAATAATAATAATGCCATAATAATATTCAATAATAATAATGTCATAATAATGATCAATAATAATAATGTCATCATCATCATAATAATAATATTCAATAATAATAATGTCATCATCATAATATTCAATAAAATAATGTCTCATCATAATAATCAATAAAATAATGTCTCATAATAATATTCAATAAAGTAATGTCTCATAATAATAATCAATAAAATAATGTCTCATAATGGTGAATAATCATATGTCCAATAATGTATAATAATAATGGCCAATTATAATGTATAATAATCACATGTCCAATAATGTATAATAATCACATGTCCAATAATGGTGAATAATCATATCTAATAATTGCCAATTTATCATGTATAATAATATCCAATAAAATAATGTCTAATCATGATAATGGGCAATAATCACAATATATCCAATTATAATGGCTAATAATAATGTCCAATAATCATAATATAATATGTCCAGTAATAATATAATATTGTCCAATAGTAATGGCGATCAATACTGCTATGGGTTTATGCAGTCAGTGGCTGTCCAACTTAATAGCCATAATCAATAACTGTATCAATGTTTATACATTCTATCAGTGGAATGTTAATACAGTGTTTTCCTATCCGTAATCTGTCAATCACTGTGTAACTAAATGTAATGTTTGGTCCAAGTGGAAATGTTTCTATAAAGTGTCAGTAGTAAGTTGATCCAAATATATATCCATATTTAATCCATGATTGTTCTAGAAAAGTACTGTGGCTTATATAATACATATTTAGTGCTAGATCTAGTTGTATTTTATTTTTTTTCTGTTGAATGTATGTGTGTATGTAACTGGAACCAGCACTAACCATGGTTTATTTGATGAATTTCAACCTCTTGTAAGAGGGTAACTCATTGGTGTCCTGAACTAATGGGAAGTTGTCACTTAGATGTTATGAGTAGTTGTCATTAGATATAGACTCATGTCTGGGCGTTGTTACTGGATTATTGGATTAGGATTTGTGACGAGATCCCAAATTTGATTGATATTGAGGAAGCTTGAGAATTATTATTCATGACAACTTTGGTTTCATATCTTCTCATTTCAGTGATAAACATCCCATTCTCTATAGTATTTATACTTCTATCTGATTCCATATCTCTTGGCATCCCTTAAAGCTATCCAGAATTTGAATGCCATGAAAGAGGATAATTATATCTCCCATCTCCAGTTATTTAATTTCTCAGTATTGAATTCATGGGTTCTGTGTTTTGACTATTGTAGAAATAACGTGGATTTTATACCAAACACCAAGAGAGTTTATAAAGAGGAAACAGGTGTGCTCTATGGGTGTGATGGCTGACAGCAGCTGTTGATTTTGGGCATCTGTTAAATTTATATTTCCAGAATGTGCTCTGTTAATACACATCAAGCTTAAAATGGGTCACCTTGGTTTTAAATATTTAGCTGTAGAAACCAGTAAACTACAGGAGATTAGGCTTAAGCACAAAATACTCCCTTGATATAAAATCTGTTGCCATTTACAATATTGGCACTCACTGGAACCTCTCCTAACATGCTACATTTATTTGACTGTGTTTGGTGCAGTTTTTAAAAGTGTGTTTTTAATGTAAACCTCATTCTGTAATTTGGCACTGTGATGGTTTTTATAGATTGGTTAGTTCTCATTTTATGCAGTTCCTAAAGCCATCATTTAAACTATATTCATTGTTATTGATATCTGTTGTTGCATTTTATTCTGACTTTGCATTCTCATAACATCTCTAATTCTATGATAAACTATATTTTTTTATAATCCCCATTAAATGTCTGATCATTAAATTTGATATCACCATGAAAGGCAATGTCTGCATGAGCAATGACTCTGGGTTTGTTGTTGTTGTTTTGAAAACAATGATGTCTTTTTAGATAGAAAAGGAAAAATGCATGAAAAATAGTTGCAACAATCTATAATCTCATTTTGTAACATCAGTCATTTATCAGAGGGTTCTGCAATTTCATTGATCATTTTAATACAGCTGAAATGGATGTTGAAAGATCTTGATTTATCTGCTTATGTGAACCAGGGCTGCAAAACCAGTTTTCTGTTATTGAGATCTGTATTCCTGTGCATAGTGTAACATTTATATAATATCTTTTCATTCCTGGGCTACTTGCATTTCTGTATGTCTTGCTGGTGGGATGCAATTAAAAAAATATATAAAAATTTTTTTCCCCTAAAAACCTAATTAATGCCCATTTAATTTAAATTACTGGGGAGGTGATGACGTAGCAAAGCAAAGTTCAGCTTCACGCCAGCCTTAGCTCTAACGCCCCAATCCATGTGCCTCAATTTGGGCAGCTCCCTGTTTCGAAACGGGAGATCGTGCATGGGAGCGGGGCACGGGGTTTGAAAGCCCAGAGTCTCAGCTTTAATTTGCCCCCGGTCTGGGGTCTGTGCGACCAAGCGATCTGGAGATATTGGGGTTTGAGTGAGGGGACCCCCTCCGCCTCCTCCTGCGCCATAAGGTTTGGATGCGAGTTTCCAGCCCCAGCCGGAGACACACACGGCGAGGCAGCTCCCTGCTCCCCCGATATGAGCGGCGATCCCGGGCGGAGGGAGGCTCGGGGCAGGGCCGATCCATGGTGAGGAGGAAGCCGACACCCCAAGGGTGCGAGGGACCCCGGGATGGGTAGGGGTCGGTGGGCAGAAATCACTTTTTTCGGTGGTTTTCCGTGGCTGGCGAGCGAGCAGGGAGAGAGGCGGCTGCAGCAGCGCCTGATCATGTCGGCTCAGCCAGACACGACAACAACAAAACAGCTCCTTCCAGCCTGGCCCCCGGGCCAGCACTGCCTCCCCCGGCCTGGCCCCCGGGCCAGGAGACCCCTCTACCCCTGCCCCAGCCAGGGGGGCCCATCCCGGGGAGCCTGGCCCAATTCTAGCCCGGGTTAGACCAGCAGGACAGAGGGAGAGGATTTGTCAGTAACAATGGCGGCCATGTTGTTCTGGAGCTTTTTTGCTCCCTGTGTGTCTCTCTCTATATAACTTCTTTTTCTGCCCTGATTTTGGGGGGCTTGGGGGTTTTCAGGGGCAGGTTGTGGTCTGTAGGCTCTTTATGGGGGGTTTGATGTGTTTTTTTTGGAACATTGTTGTATTTTATTTTTGTATTTTTTATTTTTTTTGGTATTTTTTTTTTTTGCAGCATGACAGTGAAACTGAAGACTGGAGAGGAGAGGTTGAAAAAATCAAATAAGAGAGCACCGGGACCTGAGGAATTGGAAGAGACGACAGAAGTGGAAGATCCAGGTGTAAAAGGGGCAGGTGAACCCCTTCCTGAGACCACGGATAAAGATCCCCAAGAGGCACTGACCCCCAGCCAGCCGCCTGCAACTCCGCAGGACCAGCATCATTTTCTGAGATCCAGCGTCCGGCCACACAGCAAAAGGATAAAGAAGGATCACTTTGGCAATGCAGCGAGTACCAGTACTAAAAGCAAAGGTATTAGACGCACCTTATATACATTTTAGGGGGAATGGGATGTGAGGGTACAGAAAACATGCTCCCCCAAGTGTTTGAAATGTGGCAGAATTTAAATGTTTTTTTTTTATTTTACACAGTTTTAGAGATTTTATGGGTTTTGCTTCTGAAAGTGTGGATTCACGCAGTGTTTTAAAGTTAGATGCATATTTTTGCACCCTACTTAAAAGGTGAGTTAATAACGCAGATGGCGCTAAATTTTTATGATGGACATAGCACATTCCTTCAGACTCATTTTCTGTATTCGATTTAAAAAAAAAAAAAAAAAGTGGCACAGTGGGTAAAACTTATACATAGAAATACATAAAATCTAAAACGGTGGAATTTTTAAGCAAAATAATTGGAGTTGCATGATATTTTTTGGAGTACTAGAATTTTTTCTGATAAATACACATCATTGGTGTTGTTTTTTATTTATTTATATATATAATGTTTTTTATAATTTTTTTTTGCTTTGTTTATTTAAAAAAAAAAATCCCCCCCCCATTTCAAAAGACTAGCGACTTAGTTGTCTGAAATACAAGATTTGTATACAACTTTTTTCAAAATAACACATTATATTTTCATTACGTTTTATTATTTTATCTTTTCTTTATGTTTGTATTTTCAGTTTTTTGTTTTCCTTTCATTGATTCTAATGCCTGAGTTATCTAATTCTCTCTGTTTTTATCCCCGCCCTAAAAGCTTTAAGATGTTGACGCTCCTCACTTATAGCTATGGCAACTGTCAACATTGCAGGCCATGCTATTAAATTTCTTTTTAAATTAATTTAAAATAAATATTTAAAATCAGAATTTCTCTACCAGTTTTTAGTAAGTTATTTAATTGTGCGCATATTTATATTTTTGCACTAGGTAATTTTTTAATTTTGATTTAAACACACGTTGTGCCACCGGAGACCCCTTAGCGGTGATGTTTATCCAAACGAACTACCTATACATACTATGAAGTTGAATTTCCTTTATATAAATGTAACATCCTATGTTACAATATAACAATTGTGTAGAGCTCAGTATTCTGCTGTACCGTGTGTTTTCAAACAATATGTAAAAAACAAGCCAATGGTTGGCTTTATTTTCTAAGATTAATTTAAGGGGTATTTACATTTTATTTATCCTTATGTCTAACCTTGACAAGCCTATAATATTTCCATTTATTAATTAGGCTCTTATGTAAATAATGATTAATAAAGTGCACAATATATACACGGTTTATTCTTAACTAGGCGGTTGACATTTGATCTGTAGCCTATGCAAATTAATTTTAATAGTTTTATTTTTAATAATATCATCCATCAGAGAGATTTTTTGCCTGTTTATTAGACCTAAATCATGCATTTGAGTAACTTCGCATTGACCCTTGCATAGTATATGCTCTGTTTCTTGGCAGTATAGATCTGTTTTTTTTCCTGAAACTTCAGATTTATATTATATGGAGTCTGTGATGTAAATTTTAAGGGATTGGAAGCGCCTTTGAACTCTGATAGAATTGGATATTTTGGACTTGGTGTACTGCTGTTCCTGTATATATTTTTGAGTTAAATATTAAGATGCATACCTAAAGCCCCTCTCCGTCATCAGAATTATAAAATAAATTTTGTTACCTCATTATTCTTCTAAAATGGACAGCATATAGATTAAGTCAAGGACTTTAATTACTGCAAGAAAGGAGAATAAGCATATATAGGCAATATTTAAAAAAATTAAATATTCTCAGATCACAAGTCAAGTTATTGGGGAGTTGTTTCACTATTTGATCTCTTTGATATTTTTATTTTTTTATTTTTTTTAAATGATGTTTCAGTGTTACCAGACCTTCAAACTTGAACTAAGCTATTGCTACATTTGTGAGCCCAAGAAAGTCGACTTAGTCTGTGCACAGTCTGACTGTGGTCTGACTAGATCATAACTTAAGCATTAGCCTAAAATTATAGCAGCTTATTGCTATGAGAACCTACAAAACATGTGGGTTTGGAATCTATAACATAGACCGTGTACATTTGTATTTCACTCGATATAATGAACAAACAGCTGAATTGGATCATTTTTCCAGCTCCCTTATTTTTGCTTGGAATTTGCAATACTCTTGAGGTTTCTCCTCCATTTAAACTGCTTTCTTATTTCTTTTACTGCTTTGTTTATGAATGTATGTTTTAGAATTTGCATGAATCTGAAGGGAGTTCTACTACCGTTGGCCTTATCAGTTTATAATATTATGTTAGAGATGGTGTTGATTAAAAACGTTTATAACCAGCCGAATCCACTTTATTTTGAGCAAAAGAAGGCATTATGACTAATTGACCAGAGAATTTCCAAAATATCCGAAATTGAAAAATTCTCCACCCGAGTTTTTTTTTTTTTTTTTGTGATGATCTGATGCCATACATATGATGCTGTGCACGCCAGCACTGCGACGGGTACATGCTCTTTTGGCACCATGGAAAGAATGGCTTAGCATTTCTTAGCAGAATCCCTGAGCATCATGGGATGAGGATGAAACCCTGGGCACGGCAGTGCTGTACAGGTAAGTATGTTAAAGATATAACCCTGCTGCACCGTTATTACAGTAATTTCTTCAATAAAGTTTACTTCTGTGAGAGAATGAGAATAAGGAACTGTCTCTTGCAGAGACGTGACAAACACTCTTTAAAAACGGCAGCTCCCATGAAGCTTGGCCAGGAGATGTGCTAAAAAAGGGTGTTAACTTCTATAGAACGCTACAAGATAATACAGCTTATATCACATATAATATTGTAGTTTTTAAAATAGGATAATGAATAATAGTTTTCCTTTAAAGGTACACTCCAGGCACAGCTTGCTTTGATGTGCTTCATGTGCCTGGAGTCTGTCATATTTATAAAACTGCTGATTTTGATAGAAATAATTACTTTTATATTTGGGGCAGAAACATCTCCCTTGCTCTCAATTAGACAACCGGGGAGGTTTTCTTCTGCTTCCATTGGCTCCACAGAGCGAACAGAAGTGGCTGATGTGCTGCTCTAGTGCTCCTGCTTGCCCCCCTTTTCTATGAGCTGTATTACAGATCATTGATGAGCGTAGAAAAGCCAGGCTCCAGCAAAGAGGCTTCTTAATGAGAAGCGAGAGCTTGCAGAGGCTCAGACAGATCTGCAGCTTTTGCTACCTTTTTTTTCTTCTTTTTTCCATATACCCCAAAGAAAACATACAGGTAAAATGACATGCACATTTCTGTTGGGGATATATCTACTAAAATATATATTAAAAAAAAAAAAAAAGTAATGGCTAAACTCGCACTGCAGAAGTTTGTGAACGACATTTACTATGGTGACTAGCTTGTCTTACGTTTTTATTCCTCTTTAGTGCTAAGGTTAACCATCACTGCTATAAATGCTACAAAAGCGTGACTGCGCTGTTTTAATATTTCGTATTCATTTTCTTTGACTTGAAACGGATTTGGATAATTGGCAGTTGTCACATGCTACTAGATTTTTGTATTGGTTTAAATGAATTTCACTTTATACTAAGCACAATGACGTGTGGGTGGAGTGCCATCTAGTGGAATAGAATGACATTTCATTGTAAATTCCAAAACATCTCTTTTGGGATGGTGTGTTTTTTTATTACTCTTAAAGACCAAGGGGAATGCAAGTTATGTTCCGTGGTGACCTCATTTTCTGATCACTTTGGCTCATAGCAGATGTCTGTACACAAAGCACATTTTCCCTTTATGTTGTCCATCTGCGTTTCATATAATTTTCCTGTTCTAGCCTTACTAAAGGTTATCTGAGCTTGCCGAGAATTGTAGTTCACAAACAATTGCCCTTGGTGGTAATTACTATTTGAAACTATGCTTTGTATTAATTATTACAAAATGTCTACCTGTAAATATATAATCTGTTGCATCGATCTTACCTGTGTATATTCTGTCAGTGTGGTCTTAATAGATCGCTCACCACAGTAGCAGTATGTAGTTTGTAGGATATTTTGCCGCAACTCTGGTGTTTTTTGCACCCATAGTTTGTTTAATTCTCCCTTGTTTGAATTATTTATTTTCTAAAAAGTAGAATGGATCTCGCTAGGAAGGCAGCTTAGTGTAAGATCTTTCTCTTGAAATATGCAAAAGGTGCTAAAATTCAGAATGCAATGATAAAATATATAAATGTTAAAAAGGCAGAGCTGCACCTTTAGGGTGTTTTTTGAGCTATTTCACTGCTAACAACCTCAAGCAATAAAAGATTAAAAAAAGTACACATAAAATTGTAAATAAATAGATGAAATAAGACTCACAAGGAGAGAGAGCCCCCCCCCCCTTTTTTTTCCCCTCTCATTTATGCATTATGTTCCTACATACCTCTGGAAGGAATATTGTGATACTCCAATTTTAGGAGATTATTAGTAAGTTTCTCTAGTAGACGTATCACTTAATGCACTTGTGAATTTGCACACTTATTTAATTTATTGATTTTGTATTGCTTGCACTATATTGTGCATTGCACTGACACTTTTCAGGTGCACATCATATAGTATTATAAAGGTATATGGCACCTTTATTAAACTTTTTTTATTGCGTAAGATCTGTCTCTGTATGTCGGGGCTCACTGTGCGCTCTGCGGCCTGCGAAGAGGGCAGTACTGTACACCGTGTGTTCCATTTTATTTGGGCTAAAAATACACTGTGACTTCATTCTGCAGTTCCACTGCCGTTTTTCTGTACAGCTCCATAGCACAGATCCATCCTGATAGTCGTTATGTATGATGCGCAGTCAGCCTTGACGCTTAGCATCATGGGAACTGTATTTCACAAGTGGCTGGGATGCCTATGTTGGTCATTGATTATATGGACTGTGCTCAAAGCTTACTTGGGCAGTATTGTTGTGAAATGGTTTACCACAGATTGAAACGAGCGATGCAGAAATATTGTAGAGCTGAATATAATGCATTTTTTTAGCGTGTTTGTCTAGGTGTGTGTTTTGTAAGAAAACATTTCTTACTAGTGTAACAGTTTGCAGGCTACCTACTCCAAGTTAAACATCAGATAGGGCTGGATCCATAGAGATCAATCTAAAATACAATTTGGGGACACATGGCTGCTTGGCTTCTTACATTTTTCTAGCACCGCACATAGTTGTTTATAGTTAAGGGGTTTTTTTGGGGTTTTTTTCTTCTTTCTTTCTTTTTATCAGTGTTCATACACTGCGTTCCAACTGAGATTTGTAATATGTTAATTGACAATTTGATTTGAATTCATTGATTAATTACTCCAAACTTTCATTTATTTAATGAGTATATTTCTGTTGTGTATCAGTGATAAGGTCCATGACAATTGATGTTAAGGCCATGCGGGTAATCTGTTTGCATAATGTTTAGTATACAATGTATGTATACTTATTTTTGCTCTTGTATTTTTCAAGCACCAGACAATGCAACTCCCTCTTCAACTAGCTGCTCCACTGTGGCCCCCAGTGCTCCCAAGGCATCAGGTCGAAACATAGCGCCCCCACCTGCTGAGAAAGATGATGGAAGCCAGAAAAAAGTGCGGCGGCAGTGGGAGTCATGGAGTACCGAAGATAAAAACATGTTCTTTGATGCACTGTTTGAAGTGAGTCCTGAGTGCATCTCCAGCACTGCCAATGTTTAACTGGAATTTCAGTATTTCTATGCCAGTTATAGGGTGGCCTTCTAACTGGGGAAGGACTTCCACATCCTCTCTTCAGCTTGTTATTCTGTTTATCTGACTCTATATTGAAGAATGTCCAGAGCGTTTGTATGAGGAAAGAAAAAATGCTGCACTAATCTCAGACCATGAACTTCAACAAGCATTTTATTAAAGGGGCATTTCACTGTCCAAATACAAAATAAATATCACTATTAGGAGATATACCCCAATTAAATATGCAGGAATTTAGTTATGCTTTTTTCTCATTGGGGATATATATATCTCTCTCTATATATCTATCTGACTTGCAAAAGCTGCAGATCTCTTGTCTGCAGCCTTTGCAAGCCCACTGACCTTTTGTAAAATGGTTGGGAGGGGAGGGAGGACACACTCTTAATATTTAATGCTTTTTAGCGAGCTGAAGTGTTCTTTTAAGAGTAACAGATCATTTTGTATTGTAGTTTAGGACACCTAGTAATTTATTGCTGCATTTTATAGGTCTGTTAATTAAATGCTGAATCGTGCTGCAGCTGATTTGGTCACTTTCATTTGGCTCAGTTTTCTGATAATGGTCATTGTGAGCATATCCACCCAGTATTGAAAAGAAATTGATGGGGTTTTTTTGGCCGCGCATTGTTTGAATAATGACAGTTCGTCTATAAGGTCTTCTGTGCCGGGAGTGAAGCCTGGAAGACCACAGAGGATAACAATAGGTTTTAAAGCACTGTCCAACCAAAGCTGTTTGTATATGGCCGAAGGATCCAGATGTGTACTAAAGACGGGGATGAGTTTGTGTGTACGGTTCCCCTACCCATCCCAACCCAAATAATTTCCTTTCAAAACTAGATGAGAAACTGTCTTAAAATATGTTTGAGGTGACCGTATCACATTGAGCTAAATGGGTACCTGCTTTCTTCAAATGTATCTCATTGCTTCCAGAAGATTATTTTTGAAATAGCTCTGCCGAATTGCAGCGGCAAAGTTTATTTTTGTTAAAAGGAAGAAAAAACCAGTAGGCTAGAGTGAAGGCGGTGGGGGTAGCATTAGGGTGGCTTTGGGGTTAGGGTGCAGTTCCTTTGGTCTGTGTCAGCGAGTTAGATAAAATGAATACGAGGAATTTGATTGGAGTTCAGCTCTTTCTGAAAAGTAGAATCAGAAAACTTCCATAGCGATTCGACCGATTGTAATGGCGAACAGAATGGCAACCTTTGGCAAACTTTCAGTAGAAACTGTGGAATTTGGGGCGATCAAATACAATTTGGTCCCTTTTTTTTTTTTTTCTTTAGTGATCTGACCCCGTATATTTCTGTTAATTCTTTATTCATTGAGGGCTGTTTATAACGTGTTTGTTCACTTTAAACATAGATTTTGTTCTCACGCCTTGTGTTTTTAATCTTAGCACGGGAAGGACTTTGAAGCTATTCGAAATAATATCGCCCTGAAATACAAAAAGAAAGCCAAGCCTGCAAGCATGGTGAAAAACAAGGAGCAGATTCGGCATTTTTACTACCGGACGTGGCACAAGATTTCCAAGTACATAGACTTCAACAATGGTGAGACAGGGCTCCTCTGACTTAGAATCTCTTGAATCCTGTTTCTGTTCTCTCTCTCGATATTTTTTTTTTTTTTTCTCTCTCACGCACACAGATTCATGTCTTCACACTGTGTTTTAGGTTTGCAAAAACAACTCTCATTTTTCGGTGGCACGGTTAGAAACTGTTGTGTTTTTTTTTTGTTTTTTTAACAGCACGAGATACATTTGTGAAATATTGATGATGGGCTGATTGGTTTTCAGATCGTTATCATGCATCTATCTAAATATGGAACTGTCACTTTTTGTTGTTGTTGTAGTATTTTCTTGCGGTCTGAAGAAGTCTTCACAGGAACTTTATGGGCTGATCTGTTACGGGGAGCTCCGGAAGAAGATTGGTGGCTGTAAGTCTCTTTAATTTCTCTTTATTTTGCCATATAATTAAATTGATTTGCTCCTAGAGATACCAGTAGCATTACTGTGTTCATACTTTTATGGAATCTCTTCAAGCACCATAACCACATCAGCTCTTTGCATAGCTTATGGTGCGATGAATCTCCTGTGCCCACGCACATAGTTATTTATAACTTCATCGGAAGTGCCACTGTTTTGATGTGTAATGTCAGGGGTAGGGCATTAACTAATTACATCAGGTTGGTAAGTTAGAGCATGGTTTGCAATTGCAGTGAGTTTTGCCAAATTGCTGCAGTTCTGAGCAACCGTGTGTGCATGGAAACAGGAACCAGAGACATCTTTGCATCATAGCGTATGCAAATAAAAAAAAAAAGCCTTTGCAAACAGCATTGCTTGATATGGTTCTTGGAGAATCCATTGAACATGTCGTTGCGTATTTTATCTGCCTGGCAGGCTCTGCTTTGTTAGTATACCCTTCATTCAATGCCCCAGCCCTGTTAAATTTGTAATGGCTATGTAAGCCATTCATAATAAAAATAAGGTGAAATTACCAGATCAGCCAGTTAAAATGACGCAAATGTCATGTGATTATAAACACATTCTATTCCCATATTCCAGTGTGAATTGTAAAAGGAAATGTGGAGTAAAAGTTGTGTACTGGGTTTATGGCTTGGTGTTGCTTGGTTATCTTTAGTTTACATACATTATTTTTATGTGACATGGCTCCAGTTTTTTGCCATTTACCGTCATTTTCTCCAATAAGACCTGAGAGGAGAGTTTTTTTTTTTTTTGTTTGTTTGTTTTTTTCATAGGCAAGCGGTCTTGGATGCCAGAAAACCATTTCCTACTATTGAAATATGTTCCACCTGGAAATATATTTAGTTAAACAGTTTCGTGTTGCCATGGGATACTTATCTGAGTGAGCATGTGCAACACAAGCACAATCTGTGCTTATTCTGAGAAACCGTGAATGCTTCACACTGAAAACAATACTCTAAGCACCTGGATAATATGCCTGCATATTGCTTTAGCTTGTGGGAAGAAACGTTACCTTTCTTAAAGGGATATTCTCAGTGCTGTCACCACTGCAGCACACTGTAGTGGTTATAGTGTCAGGATTGTTTAGTAAGAGGTCAAACCGTTTCTTACCTGGGCCTTCTTAGGCTCCACAGATTATAGCTTCAGCTATATCCGGTGTGGCTAGGGCTGCATGGGCAGAAGCAATGTGCCATCTTGAAGCGATAGTCAGAAACGGTTTACCTGCCGACTAAACAAGATCTGAGATTGGAAGCGGAGTTACAGCTACACTATGATATTTTTTTGATGTTTCTCTTATTTTTCCACTCTGCAGGTATGGATAATAAGAATGCCGCCAAACTGAATGAACTCATACAGCTTGGGTGAGTTATGACATGGTGTGTACTGGAGATTTCACACAATATGCTGTCTCTACATAGTGTGCAGATATAGAGGTGTGAAACGATAACCTAAAATTAAAAACTATTAGTCCAACATGAAAGAATGCACCCATAATACTTAAAAATAAACAAAAGAACAGATTTATTTTAAGCAGACGGCATTTGCATTTAATCAATGTTTTAGTCCAACTTCCTTGACATTTTAAGCAAAGTTTGGTAACCGGACTGAAATGGTGAATGTATGCTGTTGCACAGATAAAAAAAAAAAAAGACGTTATCTTGTTTATTTTGAAGTCCTATGAGTGTACGTTTTTTGTTAAATATTTGCCAATACGTGCTCACTACATACATGTTCTATTTGAATGAAATGTTTGGGTGTATTTTGTGTGTGTGTGTGTAAATATTATAGGCATAATTCAATTTTTTATATATATATATGTATGTACATTTATGCATGGCATTGGTTGGAATTCAGAGTATAAAATAATCAAGCTGCTATTTAATTTATTGTTGTATATTCATAGAATGGTGCTGGAGTGTAACGTGAAATATTATGTTCACTGTTCACGTTGTAACTGGCTTTTTTTGTAGTTTTGAGAGAGCCACTATATAACATATATGATAAATGGTAATTCCATATTGTCATATGGCAATATTTAGTATGTATTTAAATCTCTGCAGCTATTCTAAATCGAATGAAGAGGAAATGGAGCTCCATAACGTATTTTGGGGCATTGCTAAAGCTTGGAGAGTATTTGCAAAGTTCTGCTCAGAATTTATTATCTCCTGGTAGTGAAACAAGTCACTTATTGTGTCATTGAACCCAAAGATAAGTTTGTTTGACCATTCCATTTTAAATCAGTTCTGCACACTTTTTCATTTTAAATTTGATCCATTTACAGAATAACCACGGTTCGGTACAAAGGCAGGAACTTGCGGATCAAAACACCCATGTGTCGCGCGTTGAAGAAGCTGTGTGACCCGGAAGGAAAGACAGGTACTATGAGAGCCTTTCTTGGGAGAACCATTTTGTTTTAATGTAATGCTGCTATTATAAGCTGATGTCCGCAGAGAGCGAGCGAGGTTGACGGTCCTCTGCACATAACTTTGCAATTAAGCATAGGTATTGGGTGCTTCGTTTTGATCCTTTTAATATAAGTGGTTCGTTTACCTATGTATTTTATAGTCCAAATGTGTTTTCTAAGAGAATTAAGGCTAATTCAGCTGTAGACTTGTTACTACTTTTAATACGGCAGAAGTGTATAAACGCCATGTAATTTAGTGTAAGTAGACAGATATTATTAGCTAGAAATTTTTAAAATTCTTCTTCTTCCAATTCCTCCCTACATTTTCCCAGGTGTGAGCGATGAAGAAGATCAAAAGCCAGTGAGACTTCCCCTTAAAGTGCCTATAGAACTTCAGCCTCGGAACAATGAAGCTTGGGCTAGAGTGCAGAGCTTGGCTCAGAATCCCCGACTAAGGTAAACAAAGGTTGTCTACCATTTGGTCCAGGAGAGTTTCCCCCCCTGCTACTTAGCATATACTAATACATCTACACATGTGAAAGGCTAGAAATAAATTCTTAGACCACAAACCTTAACATGAAAATTGCTGAAGATGAAAAGTTTGCCAGTCTCTTAGGCAAGCACATATCTGTCCTGGCATGACCATTAATGATATGTTCTGTTATTGCATTTTCTCTCCTTAGGATGATTGTCGAATTGCACCGGAAGGTTTCAAGCCTCATCGAGTTTCTCAAACAGAAGTGGGTGCTGCATGAGACCCGCGTTGTATCCTTTTTGTCAGTGGAATCTAAATTACCTCTTGAGATGAGGTTTATACCAAAATCATAAATCAGGCAGTGAAATAAGAGGACTAGGTTGTATCTTGGTGTTGTCTCTCAAAGTGTGCATTATGGATGATCTGTGGTCATGGCACATTAAACGGAAAACCTTTTAACTTATTGTTTGCAACGCTTTTCTTAGGTTAGTATGTTGCATTCAATGCTTGTGGACCTCTTCCCATCAGTAAACAGAAATCGTATTGTGTTTCTTTTTTTCTTAACTGTGTTCATCTCAGAGGAAAACGGTTGAGGATCAGCAGCAGTCTGAGCCGAAGCCACAAGAACCCGAGGAGGAGTTGTCCCTTTTCCCGTTAGAGTCAGTCATGCTGACTCCTTTGCCTGGCGTAGCCAGGGTAGTTCACTCCAAGGCCTTTTGTACCGTCCATTGGCAAGAGACTGGCAAGTGCAAGCAAAGTTCTAAAGATATGTATCTCCTTCCTCCTGCTCAAATTCTTGGCATCCAAACTGGGCAAGGCACAGCTAGGGTACAGCTGAAGTGTCCCCGAGGTGGCACAGAAAGTAAGCAGGGGAACAAGGTCGATGGCGTTACTGATACCTCTCAAGAAAGGACTCAAACAGTGGAAAATGGCTCCCTGGATAATGTGTCATCTGAAGTGGTTACACATTGTCCAAGGACTCCCGATGAAGTTCCCCCTGAGCTTGTGGACTCCCCAACAGAGGCAGCTCTTGATGTGGCTGGAAGCCAGCCTCCTGCCATAGAGGAGCTCTCACTAATGGATCCAGTCCCTCCTTACCTAAAGTCCTGCCAGAATCTTATTATTCCAGAGGAAAGTATTTGCACAGACAAAGTACCTTCAAGCTCCCCTAAATCTCCAGAGACACTTCCTACAGCTTCAGAAGAAGTAAATGTAGGCCAAGAGTCAAAAGAAAGCCAGACAGGAAATATCCAACCAGATCCTTGCACTACAGAAACTTCAGGAATGGACACTCAGGAGAAGGATTGTGGTTCGTCTAAAACTCCCAGAATGGACTCTAAACAGTTCACTGAGCACTTGCTCCAGGAAGGCTGGAACCATCGGACATCGGGAAATCTGACATTGGCCGAGGTCTACCTCATGCTTGGGAAACCAGGAAAATTGCAACTGGAATACGAATGGCTTTTGCCTTCCAGTCCAGATGGTCAGAGGTCTCCTCTGCACCATAAGCAGAGACTTCTGAACTGCCTTTTACGCCTCATCTCTACTGAGTTGAACCCCAAAACTGTAAGTGATGAGCCTTGGTTTTTGGTGGTTTGTTTTGTCCAATATGCAAGATGTCCCTTATTATCAACAAGATAATGTAGAAAGTTAGTAAACCTAAAAAATGCATCATATAAGAACATGGCTGGGGAATCATAGAGTCCTGGTGGTTCTGTTTCCTGCCAGACATACACTGAACCCTCAGTAGTTTAAACAATCCAGAAGTCTGAGACCCTTTTCATTAACTTCTTGCCAGACTATGGTTGTAATGTCTCTCTCTTTCCCAGCTGGATGCTATTATGGGAATAGGTGGAATGTAAAATTCTGTTATCCGTGCTGTTTTATTGCTATTCTGACCCAAGGCTAATGAGTTGTGTTGTGAAATTATTTGTTTGCCTTTAAATTTTTTTTTTTTTTTTTAAATGGTGGTTTCTCTGATACTAGAATATTTAAACACTATTAGTATGTGAGGTGACTACATTTTGAAGGCTGCTTTTCCATCTTGCATGGTTTCTCATTTTCCTTTTCTTTTGCTCCTTGACCCTCACATTGATTTTCTTACTGTTTTTACCACCAAAACAGCTCTCCCTTTCTTCTCTCTTAACTCGTTGCCCACTCTCTAACCATAACTCTCTCTCCTAGATATTGTTCTAAACCAGTGAGTTTTGCTCAATTGTCCCACTTTGTTTTCCCCTAGTGCCTTCTTAGACCTCCTACACACTGGCCAACGTGACTGTTTCAAGCAGAAAGGTCATTCGAAATTCTGCCCTTTGCTCGATTTTATGTAAAAGTTATAGGGCATGACTTTGGAGATAACTGTACTATGCGGTGGTGAACTCAATTAAAAGGAAAAATTGTGGTGGAATGAAAGCTTCCAAATTGCTAATTTTCAGCAAAGTGAAAGGATAGATCTGGAAGATCTTCAATATGTTTACTACAGATTACGAAAATGCAGAAATGGCAATTACTTTTTATTTGGGGGTGTTTATAGGGACAATATAGTCACTAGAACCACTAGAGCTTAATGTAGTTGTTCTGGTGAGTATAATCATTGCCTTTAGGCATTTTTATGCAAACACTACCTTTTCAGAGAAAAGGCAGTGTTTACATTGCCCCTAGGGACACCTCCAAGTGGCCACTCCTCAGATGGCCACTGGAGGTGCTTCCTGGCTCAGTGCTGCAGAGTAGGCAGCAATACCGGTCAGCATCTCCACATCCTGCATGGGGACGCTGAATTTTCCTCTTAGAGATGCACTGATTCAAAACTGCATTTGGCCCTGCCGCCTTGCTGATTTTAGCCAATCCAATGCTCTCCCATGGGAAAGCATTGGATTGGCTAAAAATCTGCAATTCTGATGTCACAAAGGGGGCGGGGCTAGCACCAGCAGGTCCAAGCGGCGTTGGAATTAAGGTGAGTTTTAATTCCTTCTAGAGGGCTAAGGGGGGGCAAGCCACCTAAATGGTGGTTTAAACACTATAGGGTCAGGAATACATGTTTGTGTTCCTGACCCTATAGTGATCCTTTAATTCTGGTTGTTGAGGTCATTTTAAAGTAGTGCCTGGACCAACATATTTTTTTCATGTAATCTGATGCTCATTTCTTGCTTATATAAATTTTTTTTATTATTTATTTATTTATTTATTTATTTATTTATTTTGTAGGGTCCTGAAACTGCCTCCGTGGCCACTTCCCCTCTTAAACTGCCCTCTCAGGAGCAAACAGTGGCACCAAGACGGAAAGTTGTGACTTTACTGTCCAGGAACCCTGATATCCTGACGACGCAGTCTGTGCCACAGATCCACGCTACGTTCACTCCTCAATCCAGTACCTCAGGTAAAGGACAATCACAATGTTACATCAGTGCTTGCACGCTGAGAGGCCTTTAATAGGCTGTGTGGTAATGAAAATCAACTGATGATAGGTAATAGTCTATGAAAAGCAGCACAAATGTGATAAAAGTTTGAATTTAGTTTACACAGAGTCATATCCACTAGAGCTTTTTGGAGTGGTTATGGTACTATACTATAAATCTGTGGTTTCTTTGTGTGAAGCTATTTTGACAACACCTATTCATTTATAGCGCCATAATGGCTACAGTGAGCTGTAGTGCTTAGGGTGCTTATTGTGCCCCTTTAAACGTCTTAAACTGTCCTCTTTCCTCTTCCCCCAGCAGTTTGTGGCAGTCTTGCAGGGGTTTTTCTTAACATTTTCGAATTTGCTTGATACTGCAAATTTTATGGAAGATCTCTCAAGAGAATTGCTTGCTGGCGTGATGTTCCCTCTTTTTTTCATTTGTTATAAACCACATTGGTACATCTGGCAAGGAGATGTCTGATAATTCCACCGTTCATGATCTTAGTTTGTCTGTATGCTTAATGCCGTCTCTGCAGATTAGTTTAATATTTTGCTAAATTCTAAGTTTTTGTTCTAGGTTTCACAAATCTGCCCCGTCCTCTGTTGATTAGAGGACCTTTGGCGGCGGTGCCAACTAGCAGTGACGTGGGAGTATTTGCCGTTCCTACAATGTTGCCCCCCAACAGCCGCCATACTAAACCTCCTTCCCCTGGTAAAGAATCGGAAATCCCAAACCACCAACAGCTGGATGCTATCAATGTGAGTATATGAGAAATGTTTAAAGAAAATAAATAAAAAAATAGAAAATAACATGGAAATGGCTGATACTTGGGATTCCCCCCATCTTTTTATTATTTACCTGTTTTTTTAATTTGTTTTGCCCCTGTGATTTGATTAGAACTTTTGGTTGGTTAATATTTTAAACCTTCTCAAACATGCATTTATTAATGTTCTGTTGTGCAGTGAATATAAAGGTACAATTTAACCACAGTGGTTATGGTACCAGTATGCCTCTTGCCTTATTCCCCAGTTATGTCAAACCATATAGAACAGTTTGACCCAAACAGAAGGTCCCAAGAACGGTTTTACTCCTTGAGGTAAGAGCCTCCAACCGCCTGCCACCATCCCAACTTAATTTAGATTAAGTTGTTTTGGTGCCTGTAGTGTCCCTTTTAAACAAGAAGAAATAATGATATCCTAACATATAGTGACTTAATTTGTATTTTCAATGAAATGTCCCACTATTTATGATTTTATGCAAAACATGGATAACCTTGTGTTAATATAATCATAATATATTGTTTGCCGTCATCTGATCAAAAAGCAAAATCCTTGAAAAATATAAGTACATTTATCTTCTATCCCAATGCAATTTGCTTCCACATTATGCTCCAAACCTTTACAGTACGCTAAAAGTACCCTAACATTGAGAAAATCTGCTGTTCATTCAATGCATGCTAATGTTTTAGTTTATCACACTTCTCGTTGATCTCATTACATTTGCAGTCTGATTTCTTCTTGCCGAAGGCCAAGAAGCCCAGAAGTAGACACCCACGGAAGCCCTTGGTAGTCCAGGTAAGTTGCAAAGAGTTTGCCGTGATTTCCGTCTGTACCCCCAAGCAATTTTAAATGCATTAAAAGACATATGAAATAAAAACGTGAATAAGCTGGTGCATTGAGCTCAGCACAGACCAGGAAAAGTTGCACGTTTGCAGCTAATCCAGAGTTGGCTTAGTTTAGAACACTCCCACAGTCAGCAGGACAAACAGTAGCTACCCTTTCCTGTCCGTGTTCCATGCATTTCTTGTTCTTGAGGAGTAATGATTGGCCCTAGTGGTTAATTTCCTGTGCAGTGCCAAAGTTATGTACGTACACCGTTGAGTAAGAAATGTTTAAAATGGAGAGGCTGTAGCAAAGGTAAACATCAGGCGGAGAATGATATAGAACGTTTTTTTATTAAGATAAACAAGATTGAGACCTGTGCATGATAAAATACAGCATATTATCAAAGCCAAAACCTGTAAAATGAAATTCAGCTGCCTGGCTTATCCCTTTAATAGTCTTATTCATCTTGTCCTGCTGGGATAACTCCTTATTGGGAGATATTGAAATCTAATAGTTTTTTTCCTCCTTTTGCAGCGGACTCTGCTCCAGCGACCGTCTGTTAACTCCTCCCCCCACGTGTGCTCTTTCTCCATCCTGACAAACTCTGCTGTGGCAGGTACAATAACAACTATCTGTGTGGGAACTGTAAATGCATTTAAATATGACTCTTCTAGTATGACAAGTCATCAACAGTCAATTGCAATTGGGTAATATGGTGTCAATAAAATAAACCTCAACTGGGTCCCATTTACCGATTTAAACCTCAATTTTAATATTATACGCTCGTCAAGAGATTTCATGTTTTTGGATACATTTTTAAATTGGTGTAGGATTTTTATATTTCGTACATTGATTTATTTTTTTTATACAAAATATTTTTTAATATTTTGAAAAAAATACATTTAAAAAAGTTTATCCAACAATATTAAATAATGTTAAAATGGTCTGGTATGCCTATTGCAACACCTAGAGGTGAGGGAGTCCGACTTGTAGTGAAATGTCTCAAACTGGATATGGGCAGAAGTTTCACCAAATACTCCGCCTTAAGTTAAAAGTAGCTTGATATGCTCCTGAGATTAGGTGCAATAGGGTCCAGGAGTCAATTCACTTGAAAAGGCTTCTCTATGTTAGAATAATTAGGAGGAATACACAACTATTATATATGGGGTGTATGACTTTAAATCTGCTAAGAGCAGAATCAAATTATTACACACCAAATTGCTCTACTTAAAGCTTCAAGATGTAAACTGTAATAATAAAAAATATAGGAAAACCGTATGAGGAACTGTTTCCTATATGGTAGAAAGCTTATACAGTTAGAGATGTATATATCTTTAAATCTGTAACTAATAGAATGTGGCAAAACCTATGTCAGTATCACATATTGTGATGCAGATCAAAAAGTATAAAAACTAAGTGCAAGGTATATTTGATTATACTATTAGGTAGTATAATCACAATATAGTGATCTACCTAATAGTATAATCAAATATACCTTGCACTTAGTTTTTATACTTTTTGATCTGCATCACAATATGTGATACTGACATAGGTTTTGCCACATTCTATTAGTTACAGATTTAAAGATATATACATCTCTAACTGTATAAGCTTTCTACCATATAGGAAACAGTTCCTCATACGGTTTTCCTATATTTTTTATTATTACAGTTTACATCTTGAAGCTTTAAGTAGAGCAATTTGGTGTGTAATAATTAGATTCTGCTCTTAGCAGATTTAAAGTCATACACCCCATATATAATAGTTGTGTAATCCTCCTAACTATTCTAACATAGAGAAGCCTTTTCAAGTGAATTGACTCCTGGACCCTATTGCACCTAATCTCAGGAGCATATCAAGCTACTTTTAATATTAAATAATGACCTATATTTATAAATGAGCAAAACTCTCTCATTAACCTCCCATCCCTTTCCAACGAATACTGCTGATTGGCCGGTGAGCACACTGATGCAGACTCTCCAAGACTCCGGGGTTAAATGACCATATATTTCTAAATGAAGTGTTCCACAAACATATGGGTCTGTTTTGTTGCACATATACTGCACAATTAATTTAACTTTGTGCTTTTCTTGAAGTAGCTAAACATGAAATGATAATTGTCACCTGAAAACTATTTTTTAATCGAATAATCCTTTTATAATTTTTTTTAAAGGAAATAGATTAAAACCTATAAGTATGTGTAAAAAATGAGAAATAAACTCATCCCTACCATATTACAAGAGTGTGTGTGTGTCTGTCTCTGTCTCTCACACACCCCTCCCCCCTAAACCATAGAGACTGTTCCAAACATTGTTTGACCCAAATGGCATGTATATGGTTTATTTTTTACATGTACTGTATTTTATTTTTTTAAATCTATTTCCTTTCAAGACTTGATAAAAGGACTATTATATTATATATAGTTTTGCGAGATTTTAATGCTTTCTATTTTTTCTTTCCATTTCAGGCAGGGGCTCCTTTAGACCTATCCATTCCTCCAACAGCAAGACACATCCAATTGTTCCTAAGCCTCCCCCAATCGCCAATTCTCTAGCCAGTGAGTACATTGCTGTTTAATAACTAAACAGAAACACAAGGTCTATCTAGAAATGGAAATGTTAATCTCTTGCAACATAACCGCTTTGGACTGTATTGATTTCACAGTGAACTAATGGAAGCCAGTGAATCTTGTTTAGTCTGTGTGTACAGAGCTGATTTCACTGATTTGGTGTTGCTTCTTCTGTAGGTGCCATTGATCTCGCTGCTAAGAGTGCGGGTATTATCCCAGGAAATGTGCTTCCGGTACTAGACACAGGTGGCTTGACTGGCATTGGCATATCTGGCACAGCTCAGGAATCTCTAACTAACCGTGTCAGTGGAAGTGCAATGCAAGCAGTGACTGTTTGTGCTGAGGTATGTATAATGTCTCATACTTTCTACGGGTTTTAGTTATATGTAATCTGGAGTGGGCTTATACAGGGAAAAAATGTGCCAGGACATTTGTGAAGAATATTACATCCAACAAAAAACCCAAAACATAAACTTCCTGAACCGTCAATCCTTAAAACAAGAATGCACACGCTCTGAACCTTTTTTCTAAGAATAATAAAACACAAAATCGAGGAGAATAAAACATAACCAACATACAAAAGGAATTGGAAAAGTAGGAGTGAAGTAAGGAAAGGGTAGGAGGGAGAGTAAGTGTTCATAGCCATCAGGCCCAAGGGAATTTTTTTTATTTTTATTTTTTTTACTATGGAAACATTTTCCCCTGAGACAGGAGTTCTTAAAACTGCAGCTTAGTCACTGGAGAGGGTAGGATTTGCCACCGAGAATAAAAAGGCAGAAACGCCGAGTATATGGGCCTAGTTATATTCAGTGTTAGTTTGGGAATGATTATAAATAGCAGCTCCACATAGGAGGAGAAACTGGGTTAACCTCAGAAGGCACTGTGGTGGCAATCCAAATATATTTCCTGACAGAAAGGCCTTGACTAGTCTTTGCTTTAATGTTTCATTTACAGGCTAATAAAAATAATCACATTTTGTCTGAATATTCATAGAATGTTCACTTGGCCCTTATTGATTTTAATGTTACTCGGGTTCTGGATTTATAAGTAAAATTTCAGTAAATTCATGACCACATGCAGAATAAGAGAGGTCTCCTCATATATGATATTATTGCTTGAAGCTTAAAGGGACACTCAGTCCCTTATAGCAGTTTAGCTTGCTGAAGTGCTTTATGTGTGAAGAGTGGGCCTCTTTGTAAAATGAGAAAAAAAAGTGCAGATATAATAGAAATTGGCAGTTTTATAAATTAAAATTGTTGCTTTCCCTGGAAAGAAGGGGAGATCTTGCAAAGGCTTCCGATTATCTGTTTTTAGATATACCATCAATAGAAAAAACATAAATGTTTGTTTTTGTTGGGGTATAGCTACTAAACAGTGATTTATTTTATTTCGGCAGCAGAGTATCCCTTAGATGTATATTTATATTAGCACACAGTGCTTCAGGGCACTGCTGGCAAGGTCTAGCAGGAAGTGGGGGAGACAGAAGATGAGTTGCTTCGATTGGATGATTGAATGGCTAGGATATCTTAGGGAATTGGATTTGCAGAGTGGTGTAAAATGGTCTATGGCAGAGATAGATAGGACATTTTCAGATATTGATTGAAGCTGTGGAATGTGGGGGGGGAGAATCTGATTGCGATGTAAGAATCTTAGAGAATAGGTGCAGCATGGAACAATTCCTGGAGGTTGGTGGAATAGAAGAAGAGTTTTCTTTTGTGTCCATGCCTCATGCATTCCTAAAGGGTTTTTATTTGTTTCTATCTTTCCTGCAGAACACTATCCCTTTCATCGCCCTCTCGTCACCATCTGTACAGGATCCAAACCAGTCATTCCAGGTACTTGGATTCGGCAGCTCATTGTACGCTTTGGGAGCAGTGAAGGCATTTTGTTATGTTCCCAATAATTAAGTGTGATCAACACATGCTATATAACCAGCAAACGCTATAAACTGCTAATGGAAGACCTTTATTTATTGGGAATAAGATACTAGTGAGCTACTTCTTGGGACCTTGTATATTTCTAATAAACTCATTTTGGTTAGGAAAACAACACATTTGGGGTTTATATGCAAAAGAAAAATGTTCAACCTTTTGGGTTGAGAAATCGTTTTGTGTCCCAGGCATAAGCCTTTATATTCCTCAAGCTGTGTTGGTTCCTTTTTTTCAGAATGTTAGTCTTGTGCAGAGCTGCCTGTATGTTATGTTGGAATTGCCTTAAAATACCAGCACAAGCAAAAGATATTAAGATCATGTGTGCGTTGCTTTTACTTCTGTTTAACTATGATAATGCCAAAACAAATATTCATTTTAACAAGGCATAATGAGTAACGAATGGAGTGCAAAGGGATCTTTTGTGATCTGTTTAGATGCTTGTAGCATGATTAAAGTCCATACTGCAGGCTCTTCCAAAGCAGCAGCCCCCCTTGGATAATGTTAATATGCCATTGTGTTTATTTACTAAGCCAGGACTTGTGGTGATTTGACAAGGAAATGTACAATTTTAGGGCAGAAAAGTCAATTTTATTTTGGCGTCCGCTGTTTTGATTCCAAAGGTGCAGTTTCCTGGTCAGTTCTCCAGTTTCTCATTTAGTAAACGACTCCCAAATGTTACAATCTGCACTAGGTTGAGAAGGACCTCTTGGTTGTCTCCTGTGGGTTCCATTCCCTACTGATTACCTGTATTTTCGGTTTCAGACCTCCTCCGTCCTGTCCTTGGCTCCACTGTCCCAGAATCCTGTGCAGAATGGTCCAGACGATATGTCCAGCTGCAAGCCATCCAGTGGCAGTGCCTGCATTTCTCCACCCAATGTTTCCACATTGCTGGACATCTCATTGCCTGGCCCTCCAGATGACGTGCTATCACAAGGAGAACCTGTCACGCACATCAGTGATTCAATTATTGAAATAGCCATTAGCTCGGGGCAGTTTGGTGAGTCTTAAGTTATTTGTAGGCATGATAGCTCAGTTGGTTAATGCATCAAACCTCAGGACCACAAGTTCTATGCCTAGCAGAAAGAATTCGGTCTATCATTTGCTGGGTTAGTTAGAAGGTTACTCCAACCACTATGACCTCTTCAGTGATTTAAAATGCTCATTGTTGTAGGAGTCTGTGCAGCATTCTGTTTGAATCGCTGCGCATACAGAGATCTGCACTTTTTGTGCTAGGAGCTAGTTGCACGCCTGAGCCTGAGTAGGCAGCTACTTAATTTTAATTCTGTGCAAAAAATATTGCAAGTCAGTGCGATGGCGAGAGATGTAGCTTGATCTCTGTAGCGGAACCTGGGTAACCCGGCTGGTTACCTCCGCTATTAATAAATGAACAGATCCATTTCCCTCCCAGTAACTGGACGACACACAGTTCCAGGGGTACAACAACAACTTTATTGGCCACACTCTGCTTTCTACTTTACTCACGCAAGGGGTGGAACACACATGAAGACAATGTCCCCTCCCAGGGTTCCTTCCCCCCACCGGGGGTCGTATAACGGAACCAGAACCCCAGTCTCTTTGTCCCCTATTCCAGCCACTCAGTGTCCCCTCCAAGGGCCCTCCCTCTCCCACGGGTCTTCTTCCCAGAGTTCTATGCATCTGGGGGGGTCGTAGCATGGGAAACTTCCCACCGCTTTACCTCCCAGCGACAGAGAGCCCGCCAGCCTCCACCATTGTCCCCACAGGATGTCCCCACCAATCTCAGAGACCGTGAGAACGGTAACTGCCACAAACAGCCTTCGTTCGTGGGGTCCCTGTGTGAAGCCCGGCAAGAGAAGCGTCTCTTTCGGGATGTGAATGCTCCCCCTAGCCGGCATTCGTCTGTACGAACTGCGGCCACCCAGAGAAGCACTCTTTAATTACTTCCCTTGCAGTTTCACACTATGTTGAGAGTTGCCAACGTTCCATTTGATTGGTATGAACGTTCTAATGGGTGCCGGGGACTCTAAGTACTAAAATAACAAGCAATTTTAGTTTGTAAATCATGTCTGCAGTATCACTGCTCAATTATCTGCCATTTAGGAGCTAAATCACCTTTTTTTTTCTGTTTATGCAGCCCTAACCACACACACCTGGCTGTGACTCCTAGAGCCTACATGAAAAGAAATGCTTTAATATTCAGTCAGATCTAACAACACTGTGTGTTTACTTTAGAAGTACTTGTTTCCTGCTACAATGCACTTAATAGTCTGTATTTGTGCATGCTCGTCTTCTTTATCAAATATATGCATACACCTCAGCCACCAAACAGCACTGAGTGATCTGAACTAGGCAGCAACCTGCATTAGAAAGAGAGGACACAGAGGGAGGCAAATAATAAGGATATAAACTACCTGTTTGTAGTTTCTCTGTCTGCAGCCAGGTTGTGAATTCAAAGCCGTTTACTCTGTGCTGTTAGTGGTTGAGTTGTGTACATACATTTGATAAGGAAGTCTTTTTCTGTAGTGAGGGGGCATGGCTAAGGAGGTAGGTTTATGGTGCTGCATTGTGCAAAGAATGCAGCATATGAATGAGGCCTAAACAACCTCACATACAATAAAATTATATTGGTACCTGATATATATCTTCATTTTCCTGTTCCTGGTTCTTAAGGGTTGTTTGTGTCCATGCGTGTATATTTTTTAATGATGATATAATTTAAATATTTACAGGGGAAGCTGTCCCGTTGTCACCAGCCAAGCTGAACGACAGTTCCAAGAGTCTTCCTTCCCCCTCCCTGAGTCCACAGCAGAACTGGATCGCATCTCCTAGCCATGACCCTCAGTGGTACCCCAATGATTCCACGGATTCCTCCCTCAGCAGCCTGTTCTGTAAGTGAAACTCCTTCATTTCCCAAAACTTAGAAATGTTTTTACATTCAAGTGTAAATTATTCCAAAGTACAAGGGATTTTTAAAGCAGGACTAATATCAAGTTTTTATACACACTCCTTAAAATGAAAACTGACCCTGAATTTTTAAATACGTTAAAATTAATGCAAAAGAGGGGGCGGAGCCTGTCAGCCAGGCAGACCAGACTAGCTCAAAGGGAGCTCCTTCATCTGGCAACGAATATCGGGGTGTGTTCCCTGACTGAGTGCACCTTTTCACCACAGCCTTCACTAATCTTGCCCAGGAGACGCTGCTGTATCTGGCATTACACCACGCGGGCTCCTACTCGTCTGGACAATCCTACTCGAGGCTTGCGGCCTACACGAGGCATAACCATGGAGAGGCGACAGCTTTCCTGGTTCTTTAGCAGAAGCTGGGACTTCTGTGTATTACCTCTCCCCGCCCTCCCCGCCCTCCCCACCCCCTTTGCACCCGGCAGGGCATATCCCAGTCCCCACTCACCTCACTGCACACAGGCAACTGAAACTACACAGGCTCAAGCGGTGAACTCTGAAACCGCCAGCCAGTGTACCCACTGAAATGATGACAGCCAAACATCAGCTGATAGTTAACAGAGCAGTTCCACTTGTCTTATACATCCTATGGTATAGGAGTTCACTCAACATGTGCTGTCTAGGTTGGTAGTTAGTTTCTATCTATCACAAATGTATTATAATGCTCTGTTTCTTTAACAAAAGTAAGACTAATTAATGGGGGAGGCTTAACTATAAAGATGGATATTTCCAAATTCAATAAGTAAGGATAAAACATTTTATTAAATTGATGCTTCCTTTCTGTTCACTGTATGACTGTCTACTTTTCTGCCCACAGCTAGCTTTATTTCACCTGAGAAGGGTCGGAAGACCTTGCCAGCAGCCCATGGTGCAACCAGTGGCACATCCTTACTGGGACCCACCTTGCTGGATGGCAGCTCCCGGGATTCATTTGTATCTCGCTCACTGTCGGATGTCACTGAGGTCTGTATGGAACAATATACCTTTATGCTTTATAGATAATTTTACCAATATACTAAAATATGCAGTTTCCTAGCCGTTTGGTGACCTATAATCATATGAAGTATTTGTCAGTCATATTTTTTTTTTGGTGCTGTTCACAATGCCCATGAGGTGCAAAGCACCTCTGTTTATTGCACATGTGAGCATGCCTGCCCCTGCGCAATTAGTGTTACTCTTTAAGGACTAGTGACAGAAAAAACCTGTCAAGATGCTTTAAAAAAAAAAAAAAAAAAAACTGTCCTCTTCCACTCTGGGTTGATAAGGACTGTTTTAAAGGAGCACTATAGGGTCAGGAACACAAACGTATTCCTGACCCTATAGGGTTAAAACTACCATCTAGCCACCCTGGTCCCCTCATGCCTCCCTAAATATAGTAAAATCTTACTTGTATTCAATTCTGCAGCTGTTTACTTTGTCCATGTTTCCTCTAGACCTGCCTGCTGACATCAGCAGAAGTGGTAGCCTGATCCAATTACAATGCTTCCCCATAGGATTGGCTGAGACTGACAAAGAGACAGATCAGGGGCAGAGCCAGCATGATTCAAACACAGCCCTGGCCAATCAGCATCTCCTCATAGAGATTAATTGAATCAATGAATCTCTATGAGGAGAGTTCGGTGTCTGCATGCCGAGGGAGGAGACACTGAATGTTTGGATGCATTTTAGGCAGCCATGACCCAGGAAGGAACTCTAACAGCCATCTGAGGAGTGTCCAGTGAAGTTATCATTAGGCTGTAATGTAAACACTGCATTTTCTCTGAAAAGACAGTGTTTACAGCAAAAAGCCTGAAGGTAATGATTCTACTCACCAGAACAAATTCAATAAGCTGTAGTTGTTCTGGTGACTATAGTGTCCCTTTAACTTCCACCGGAATCTTAAAACATAAATTGGCACAAAAGTAAACATCACAATCAAATCATGTAATAATATAGGAAGAGCAAGAAAATATTGTACATAAGGGATCTATCTTTTGGCAACCCATGTTTAGAGAAATGTAGTTTACAAATAGTGCCACTAATACCATCACTGCTGTAGATATTGGAGTATGAATCACTCTGTACCCTTGTTCTCCTTTCTTGATTAATAATTTCAATATGTAAAGAACAATGACTAAAGTAAACTGGACGGAAGCATGACCAATAATAATGTTTCTTTTTATAATGGCATGCTCTGTCTGTCTCCTTCATTCCTGTAGATTGAACCTAATGCAGTCATTACAGCTGTTTTTCTTTCTTTATTTCCAGGTAGTTGATTCTCAGCTGGCTTGCTTGATGAACGAGAATAGCATTGACTACATCTCTCGCTTTAATGACTTGGCACAGGAGCTTTCTGGCACAGATTCCTCACGCAAAGAATCCATTGAAGTGGACACTCCATCTGTGACCTGACCGAGGGAGAACTCATGTTTTATACCATGTGGCAAAAAGGAAAAAAACCCAGGGGCAACTTTTTATAAATTTTTTTCCCCCCTTCTTTCTATGTTCCGGCTAAAGGTGCTGCATTGTACACTGATAAAGAGTTGATAGTAGGACTGATGATGTTTTCACGTTGTCAATGATTGTAAGAGTCCGGTTATTTGCCATTTCTCCTAGCCGTCTTTCAGTGAGGTATTTTATACCCTATATGTAAGACTTTGCTACATACATATACAGTTTTACTGAATTCATCTCAAATCATTGTTTCTCATCAGCGCACAGACCATATCGGGGGAATAATCATATTTTTTTTTACAGTGCAGTAAATACCAAATGGATAGAAAGACTATTTTCTGGAAACCATCCTTTTTTTTTCTTTTCTTTTTTTTTTGATGTCATCTGTGATGGCTGTTTATGATGTTCAATTAGGGACATCATGCAGAAAGGCACTAAAGCAGTTTGAACATCATCAAACTAGTCTCCAGGACACTATAATTGAACTGATGAGATATTGGAATGCTACAACTTTGTGTATACACAGAACACATTGTGCAAGCTCATTCGAGGATTACGCTGGAGTGTTCTCTCATTGTCTGTCAACTGGCCAGCACAACAACAGAACTAGGCTTTCAGTGCATCTTGTTTATGACTGGCTGGCTTACTGGGATTGAGCAAGCGGGCAACTGTGCTTTCCAGATCTAAAATCAACCCTGAAGAAGGATCATATTTGTCTTTGTACATATTACTGTGTTTATGTATATATGTGTGCGCGTGGATGCAGTTTTTTTTTTTTTTTTTTAAAACCCCTGGGTGCCAGACAAGTCTAACCTTGCCCTTCTTGCACACAGAGCGTTCACACACTTTGATGCTGAATTTAGGGTTTGATCAGGTGAGCCGTCAGTGGGTTATATATCTTTACAGCAATGCATTACTCTACAGTGAAAATGAAGCCATACAATAATAAATGTGATTTTTATTTAGATATGTGTGTATTTATATGGGCTTGGTTTGAAATATATATGCAATTATTTTTATGTTGTGGTTTATATGCCTAGGGTATGTTAAATAAGCACTCACTAAAACGAGAGTATTGAAATCAGAAGCTTGTAAACCTGGACTGTATAACCTTTCCCACAGTTTTGTCACCTGTCGGGCAGCTGCTGGAGGGCCACGGCCAGACACCCCATTCCTAAATAAATGTAACGCCATAATCTGTGCATGGACGAATACTACCCTTTTTGCCATGTTCTTGTACCACTTACCTAAATATTTATTCTAAATGTTGGTGATGAATACCCCCTCGTATGAAGCATCAGTGATAGCTTCCTTGTCGTACCAGAGAACGCTGGGTCGGCGGGATTAAGCAAACAATATGAAAAGCGGCAATGGGTGGAGTTTACCTTTGCATAGGAATCCTGATTTTCACATTGCGCACTTTGGAGAATTTAGTATGAATGATTTGAAACCTCCAGGCATTGACATTTTTAAAGTAAAAATGCAGTTTTACTCTTGACTCCAGTCCGAAACATGCTCTGCTACAAACTGATTTCAGTAAATTTCTATATCTTGGTTTTATAATTTCTATAAAAATCTGTATAAAAGTATCACAACTCTGTAGCCTTTTGAATATTAATATGGTTTATTGACCATTGTTTTGTAATATATTGTATATTTAAGTTATTTACATTTTTTTTTGGGGGGGGAGGGGGGGGTTGGCATTTGTTTTCTGCAGAGGCATATGGGTTATTTAATAAGAATGGATGCTATTTAACTCTTTGTTGTGTTAAGCTTAAAATCTTACAAAAAAAAAATAATTTTATTTTATTTCCAAGTTGAATTTGTAAAAAAAAAAAAAAAAAATTTAATAAATTTTTTTTTGTTTTTTTCTCCCCCCCCCAGATTTTTGAGATAGCACAAGCCTGTATTTATTTAGGTGTTCAAAGTAGATTTAGGCGCAAGTTGAAGGTGTAGAACGAAGTCAAACGGGAGCCTATGATTGTTTTATAAATCATCAAATGAAATATAGTTGTACAATAATTGAGGTAGGGGTCACTACTATTTGGCCACCCTGGAATAAAATATTCCACAGTCAAGACTTCAAAGCAGGGGTCAGCAACCTATGGTCCCTGCACCGTATAAGGCCCACCTCATGCAATTTTCTGGCCTACAAATAAATTGTAGACATCCATCCCTGCGGAGGGCCGACATAAACGTATCACTTGCCCGGAGCTGGTGTAAAAACTGAACTGTGCTCTGGCACAGCAGGTGCCTACAATGCCCAAGTATATAGATCAGGAAGGGATATGGTTGGTAAGGGAGCAGTGTACTTATTGGGCACTTCTTGCACTTTTCTATCCCGTGCCTTGTGACACTGCCCTGGCCTTAGCATGACTAAGCATAATAGGAGCTGTGCAGAAAGAGGAAGAGCACCGTGATCCAAGGAAACCCACTGTAATGCAGGGAGAGGGTCCATTCCATCCGTCAAAAGCGCAGAACAGTAGCGGACTTGGAGAATTTATTCCAGCTTGGCTCGTTTTAACCTTCAATTTGAAATTCACGTAGAATTACTGACAATTCTCACACCTTGACTGCTTCCTAAACAGTTCAAAATCAGACTCTATGCTTTAATGGTTTAAAGTGATTTAGGGAAAGGTATTTTCTGGTGACACTTTAAAGAGATTCTCTACTTTTCAGAATCAGAAACCCAGTAACCCTAGAAGTGCTGAATGTTTTGCTTGCTTTACATAAGACCAATTTTGGGTGGGCCGGGGCAAAGTCTGTTAACATTTAGAAGTGCAGTAAGACAAAAACATGCAATTGTATTTTCAGTAGTAGATAGGGGAATTCACAAACACTTGTAAGACAAGCTGTGGGTGCGCAGTCCTGCCTATGTCATGCCCCCATCTAAAGTAGAAAAAAAAGAAAAGTACAAAATTGCACTTGCAGGTGTGCTCCGAGCTCTGTGTGCAAGATTAGAATTCAACCATGTCACATGATTTTGGCACAGATTTAACGTTGGAACATATGCACTGGGTGCGTAACTAGTCCTGGCACAAAAGTGTGCAGCGTTTGAAGCAGAAATTCTGCAGATACAGGTTCATTTTAAAAGGAGAAATAGTCATGGTGGGTATAGGACCCTGCTAAAGTCCACTTACAGTTAAAGGGAAGTGTGGTATAATTACAGGACATTTCTTTGGTTTTTACTTTAAAGTAAAATGTATTTTATACAAAGCACAAAAAAGTGGTTGCAAGGAGAGTTTACAATAAAATGAGATCTTGAATGTTACATTACGCAGTTGGGGAAGTGGAAGTAAAATTGGTTACTGATGTGTCAGGAGGGATTTTTCTCAGTGATCTCATTTTTGCTTGATCAAAGGAATGGAGGCTTGGGTAAAGTCTAGTGTAGGGGGAAACAAAGCTCCAGCCTTAGAAGTCTTAAAGGTGAAAGTATGAGGTGCAAGTTCAAGCAGAGGACTGACACAGGTCTTTTGCACAGCAGGTGAGGCTGGATGGGGCAGATGCCTTGGAAAAGGAGGCAGCAAAAGAGTGCTGGAACAAATAAGACAATCATGAAAGATTAGTCATTTTGACCGACAAAGTGTCAAAAGGAGGAGTTGAAAACAAGTCAATGATCACATTAGTCCGAACTGTTTCAAAAGTATTAAGAGACTAGAAAACTAAATGAAATTAGTCAAGCAGTTGTATCTGCTGTTCACAACCTTTCAAGATACTAGGAGGCGAACAGGGAGTTTGGATCATGGTTGGTGTAATGGATCCCCTGTTCTCCGACTGAGTATATCCGCTGTAGTTCTCCTAAATCCCAAGAGAAAAGCTCTGAGCACCCAAACATCAGCCTAGACTTGATGAAAGGTACAACAGGAATCATTTATTCTGGCCAGATGGCCTGCTTTTATACACATCAGGGTTACACTAAACACGCCCATGAATTTCTGAGTCAGGATGACTAAGCATAAAACATAAAAATCCCCCCAAACATCATAAAAATATATAATCAGCCCTCAAAAATGGCATCCTTAAATAGCCTTAAACTGACTGGACAAGTTCTCCAAATAGAGCTCAGATCCATGCAGTGTAGGGGAAACACCACCGTGTCAAAATTCTGACCGCACAGATGGTCCTATGCCCAAAACAGTTCCAGGGCATTTGGTGCTTTGGCCGGTCAACTTTTGGGAGCTCCTGTGATCGCAATACGGGGTGCTCCGCCTGGGTGTCGGATAGCATTTGTTCCCCTTAGTCTCAGGCACCTTCCCTCCAAAAAGCGCTGTCCTGGCGGTTTTTAAAAGTTGTTTAAAACCGCAAACCAAGTTGTCCGGGAACCGCCTAGTCACCTCATGCCGTAAACGGTTCCATAACATTTGCGGTCAAGTCCCGCTGAGGAGACTGAGAACCCACAAAGTCCTCATGCCGAAATTTGTTCCATAGCAGTCGCGGCTAAGCACCGCTGGGACTATTCATGGGTTTGGTTCACGCCAACGGCTGCCAGAGAGCCAGCTTTCGATTCAATTCGCATGAAGGGAAGCCAGGGGCCCAGAGGGCAAGCTACTAATGGCAGTTGGGGAGATTTAACTTCCAAACAGGGTCTTTATTTACATAGTCAGTGGGCAGAAAGCCAGCTTCTACACTCCTCCATGAATTTGTGGCAAACGTCCACGGCAAGGAGCATTTGTCACAGTTGGGCTTTTTTTTAAATTGGAGTGATGCATACAAGACAAGGAAGGGGAGGGTGCGCTAAACAGTATGAAAACAATATATGTATACTTATCAGTAGAGTGGTACACTGAGATCAAGAGACAGTGTAAATTAGGGCAACCAAGACTAAAAAATTGAAGGAATAGTTTCAAGGGAATCAGTGGAAGGTGGACAGAAAAAGAGCAGAGAGGTCCTCTTCTGTAATAGGTATCATAAATTAGAGGGAGCACCTTGCTTGCATCTGTACACAGTGGAAGAGAGAGCAAAAGCGCCAAGGAACAGAATTGCTTGCAAACAACCGCTCTGGAACATACTCATAATCAACTCTGACTGACAATTCTTCTAAGCAGGGCCGGCCCAAGACATTGTGCTGCCTAGGTCGAAGGATGAAATGCTGCCCCCTATTACTCCCTACTGTTGAATGGCATTTGGCTTCTGCCGAAGCTGAGTGCCGATCATGCCATTCACTGACTTGCTGAGAGAGTCAGCAGCGCTCTTAGCCGATGAATTAACTTCTGGGCATGGAATTTACACAAAATTAACACTAAAGAGACACTATAGTCATAAGAACAAGCTTTAAGTAGTGGTACTGGTGAGTATAATCATTCCCTTCAGGCATTTTCTTGTAAACACTGCCTTTTTGCCCCTAGGGACACCTCAAGTGGTCACTCCTCAGATGGCCTTTGGAGGTGCTTTCTGGGGTAGTGCTGCACAGTAGGCAGCACTGCCGTTCAGCATGGAGACGCTGAATTTTCCTCATAGAGATGGGTTGATTCAATGCATCTCTACGAGAAGTTGTTAATTGGCCAAGCCAGCATTTGGCCCAGCCCTGTCCTGCCTCCTTGCCTATTTCAGCCAATACATAGGATTGAATAAAAATCGTAAATTTTGATGATGTCAGTAAGAAGGCGGATCAGGGACGGGCCATTGGCGGTGGACCCGTGTGGTGCTGGAAATAAGGTTAGTTGTTTATTATTTTATAATGGACCTAAGAGGGGGCAAGCCACCTAAATAGGGGTTTTAACACTATACGGTGTCAGGATACTAGTTGATCCAGCACGCAGAACTGTGTCACACCTAGGACTAAAGGTAACATCTTACCGGGCCTTAGAATGGCTGGACTTACTGTACCAGAGAATAGTCAGGATACTTGCCGAGGTCGGGGACACAGAGGGAGACACAATGATGAGGGAAAAGCCGAAGGCCAAGGATACCAGAATACAGGGAAGTCGAAAAGAAGCCAAAGTAAAAAAACAGAAATAAACGCTCAGGAACACGCTCGTATAACCTACTAAGGTAAACCATAACAGGGCAATGAGGAAAAGGAAAAAGGAGTTTAAATAAGCCTCCCTAAGATCCGATTGGCCATATCTGGCCTTTGACCCCAGAATGTGGGTGCGCGTCCTTTGCGTGATGTCACGCACATTGATGTCGTCAATACCGTGGTTGGACATGGGGTTACAAATAGGAATGGATCCGCAGGAGTCAGATACACCGGTACAGGGCTGCTGAGTAGCACCTCCATCCATGCCAGAAAGACATTTGTTATTACAGACACCACGAGGTGAGGATAAACATGTGACATAGGGTCAGGAATACATGTTTGTGTTCCTGCCCCTATAGTGTTCCTTTAATTAACCAGCCCTAACGCTTGTTCTGGTCTGCGTATTGTAAGCTGCCATAGGTGGAGGTACACCTATGGCCAGCAATTCATATTGAAACTCTGCTTGCACATGGTTCCTACACCATGACCACTTACAAACACAAAAGTGGTTATGGTGCTGGAGTAACCCTTAAAGTGTTATGAGTGCCCACCTCAGTAAATATATTGTAAGGAGATTGATAGCAGGGCAGCACTAGCAAGAATGGGAGATGTGTGAGATTATTTCCTAAATGATCTAGATCTAAAGTGCAAAATTTAGGCTAAAACTGCTATTCTGTGGTCGAGTTGTAGATTTGTGTCCTGATTAACCATTTTGACCTAAATATTGCTAATTGAATTTTCATTTGCTTCAGTTAGAAAATTAGTGAATAACCCTGTGTGGATTATGAAGGCCATGCTGCTTATTATTAATACATTAACACGTGTTTATTATATTCATTTTTTGTACATCATGGTATATAAAAATTAAGCTTACTTTATATACAGATATAGATATTAATACACAAAATGCATGCATTAATATGCAAATATGCATATTACTCTGAGAAATCTAAAAAAAAAAAAAATGTTGAATATTTTTTTAGAATAAACTTTGTCCTTTTCATTGGCCCATATTTGTGCACACATTCACACTGACCCATGCAGCTACACATACTCACTCACACAGGCTCAGTGACCCATACACACAAGCACATTCACAGAGACACATATACACACACTCGGTGAACACCCCCAAATTCCCTTACAATTAGTGATCTATACACACACTCAGTGACTCACACAGACACAGATGCATGCAGACACTCACATAGTGACCCATACAGAAACACACACACACCACTCAGTTACCCATACAGAAACACACACACACCACTTAGTTACCCATACAGAAACACGCACACACAAATTTGGTTTGAATATGCTGTCCTGGATCTCCTTGCTGTATACAAACCCTAGTGGACGTATCCACATCAATGGCGTTCTGTCTGAACCCTTCTGCATCCGAAATGGTACTTTTGGCAAACTACCCTTTATACCCAAGTTTGCCACGAGCTCCTGGACGACGCCTGCTTGCCTGCTTGCCTGCCTCCTGCCCACAGACTATGGGCCCTGCAGGGAAACCTGTAAAAGACTACCGAACTTGACCAACTGTTAGCACTGATTTCCCTGGAACTGTTTTGGGCATAGGACCATGTGCACGGTTCGTCAAAACTATGACTTCCAGGAAATTCCTGAACCCCTGAACCGATATGGATGATTTTTGGATATGTAGTTCACACAGATCGGGGCTATCAGGGGATGTAACAATGGGGTTTTATGTGTTTTTAAGGTACTTTTTGGGGTTTCATAAAATTGTATGTTTTTCTGTGCTTGGAGATAATTGGGTTAGATTAGTACAGTTCCTGATTCAATTATCTCCCAAGCAGGAGGGATTCTATTGTTTGTGTATGGGAGTGTCTTACTGTATGACTCTTGTTTTCATTGGTTTGGTCACTTTGTGTCCCTGTGCCCAACAAGGTCCACCTGGGTGTCGTCCTTGTTGGGAAACTTGCATAAAAGGCCAGTGTGCCTCCATTAAAATATATTCCAGCTAACACTCCAAATCTGTGTGTCGTCCTGTTATTGGAGAGAAAGAAGATTTACTCCTGTATCTGCTGTGTGTATTCCAGGGAGAGAAGTGTGTCACCCTTCCTCCCCAGCGGCAGAGTGTGTTACAGGGAGTGGGGACAACAGGTCTCACTCCCCAGCGACAGTGTGTATGCCAGGGAGAGAAGTGTGTCGTCCAACTCCCCAGCGGCAGAGTGTGTTACTGGGAGTGGAGACAGCCGGTCTCACTCCCCAGCGGTAGTGTATCCTACAGGGAGTGGAGACAATCTGTATCACTCCTCAGCGGCAGTGTGTATTCCAGGGAGAGAAGTGTGTCACCCTTCCTCCTCAGCGGCAGAGTGTATTATTGGGATAGGAGAAGGTCGGTCTCTCTCCCCAGCGGCAGAGTGTTTTACAGGGAGAAGAGTGTGTCGTCCTTCCTCCTGCGGCAGAGTGTATTATTGGGAGAGGAGACGGTCAGTCTTTCTCCCCAGCGGCAGAGTGTGTTACAGGGAGCGGAGTGTGTTGTCCTTCCTGCCTAGCGGCAGTATGAGGTCCAGGGAACAGAGACACGCAGTCTTGTTCCCCAGTGGCAGTGTATTTTACAGGGAGTGGAGACAATCGGTTTCACTCCCCAGCAGAATGTGTTACAGGGAGGGGAGACAACCGGTCTCACTCCCCAGCGGCACTATGCATCATGAGGAGAGAAGTGTATCGTCCTTCATCCCCAGTGGCAGAGTATATTATTGGGAGAGGAGACAGTCAGTCTCTCTCCCCAGCGGCAGAGTGCGTTACAGAGAGCTGAGACAGCCGGTCTCACTCCCCAGCGGCAGAGTGTGTTACAGGGAGTGGGAGTGGAGACAACCGGTCTCACTCCCCAGCGGCTGTGTATCCGACAGGGAGTGGAGACAATCGGTCTCACTTCCCAGCAGCAGTGTGCAGTACAGGGAGCGGAGTGTGTCGTCCTTCCTCCCCAGCAGCAGAGTGTGTTACAGGGAGTGGAGATAACAGGTCTCACTCCCCAGCTGCAGTGTATCCTACAGGGAGTGGAGACAATTGGTCCCACTCCCCAACAGCAGTGTGCAGTACAGGGAGCGGAGTGTGTCGTACCTCCTCCTCAGCGGCTGAGTGTATTATTGGGAGAGGAGCCGGGCGGTCCCTCTCCCCTGCGAAGGTGTGTGTTATAGGGAGTGGAGACAGTCGGTCTCCCTCCCCAGCGGCCGCCAGAGACACCTTGGGAGGGGACGGTTGATCCCCCTCCCCAGCAGCTGGGGCTGTCATCCAGGAACAAGCCCCATAGCATGGATAGTGCAGATGTGACCGAGGTCTCTGCACCAGCCAGGGATGCTGGGCAGCCTACCCAGATCCCTAACTGCCCATTCCCAACCATGGTCCAGGTGTAGAAGAGGGAACTACGGCCTCTACTGACCTCCTTCCAGCAGCAGAGCTGGCATCAGGGCAGAGCTCAGCTGGCTTCTGCCCTACCTACCCCTTTATTCTGGGGCCTGACCACCCACCAACCAACCCAGCTGAACCACTGGCTACAGGGCAGAGCGCCGCTGGCCTCTGCCCAACAGGCACGGATGAGGGAAACTGCACCTGCCACCCCCAGGGACAACTTTATCCAACCAGGGGGGAGTGCGTCCAGGTTGATTCCCCGCAGGACACTGGATCTACAAATGGGCACTTGTGGCAGGAGGTCGTCTGGACAACTATGCCTTTTGGGAAAGGCCACCAGACTATCACAGACCCAGACCGATTGGATGTCTGGGGTCTGGATAGTCTCCCCGGGAGGGAGAAGATATGTGGCAAACTCCCCTTTTTACTCGAGTTTCCCACGAGCTCCTGGAGAAGCCTGCTTGCCAGCCTCCTGCCCACAGACTATGGGCCCTATTCACTCCTACTCACCCATACATTACCTCATATAATATTGGACTTTTCCGAAATGGAATGCATGGTGGAATGCACACGTCACCATGCAAACACGACAGATACTCGGATGAAGCTGGGACTGTGGAACGCATAAACGCTGCTCCGCACGGAACGTGATAACGTAGAACATTTCAAAGCAGGAAGTAATTAAGACCTGATCGCGTCCAGCCGGAACATCACAGAAGGAGCCTATGGAAAGGAATTGTGAACTGATTGTGGGGTGTATTTAGGAGGGAGGGAGGGGAGGGATATTTTTATGTATTTTGTACCTGTCTTTTGAAAGAGAAACAGTCCCTGAGTGGGATGAAACGCGTTGGATTGATTTTACGTGTATTTGATGCAAGCTGTTTTTTTTACTTCTGTGTAAGTAAATATATTTTTATACTATATATTAGATCTTCAGTTATCTCACTTTGGATGCACTTTATTTTTCATGTTATTGAGACCTGCAATATCAAGAATCAAGAAAGAGACACAACTTAAGATCTCCAAAGATTGCTTTTTTCAGTACAAAGTGTGAGTGACCCATTGGCACAAAATATTATTTTATTTGGGTTCCACAGAGTTGCACTATGTTTTATTCGTATCTCCCCTAGGTGGATTCACCCTATATATTGTATGCATACTAGTTGAAGATTTGAGGAGATCTTTGGGTTATATCCAATACTAGAAGGGAAGTTAAATATATATATTTCTTATATGCACCTTCAACTCACTTAAGCACTTTACTATTTTAATTGGTGCTACCATAAGTAAAAACACTATATTGTATTTAAATTATTCACTGTCTATTTTTGTGATATAGTGAAAGAATCTGCACTTTTTTCTATATAAATACAGAAGTCGTCTGCATGAAGAGAACTGCTACATTTGGAGCGATAAGGTTAGTTGAATGGCAGTGGGGTAAAGCAATGAGTGATATTAATTAAATATCAAATTCTGATGAATTAAATCCAAACATCAAAATTGAGGCTTACAATAGCCAAGCCACGAAAAATATGAGATTTTTTCAGTGCAAGTATTTTAGCCTAAATGTTCCTATTCAGATTTAATCATCTAAACTTCTGATTTTACTGTATAATCTTGAATGAGTTGAATTTTGAAAGAGGCGTTTGCGTTATGTGTGGTTATAACGGAAGTACTCGAATAATATACGATGCCAAAGTTGTTGTTGTGATTGTTTTCGAGATCCTAACGTTGAAGGCGTTATATATTCTAGTAAAGGATAAAAGCTTAAAAATATCCCAATACTGTCAGAGACCAAGAAAATAGGAAGAGGGGCTATCCCATTATTATCTCTTTCGTCATGACCTATGATATGAAGGAAAACAATATGTCTGTCACCATGGAAACCAGTTCAGCCAGCAGGCGCATCCATGTTTACGCCACATCTCAGAACAGACACTTTTTATTCTCATAGCAGGTATCTCAGGTACTTCCTTAACTATTTGGCTGCTTCAAATTTGCCTCATACCAAAACAGATGGAACTGAAAACAGACTCATGGAACTAAAAAACGGACACAGAAACTCCTGAACACCGCTGGACTTCCAGAATCACCTGCGTTCGGTTTGACAACACTTAGAAAGACACTGTTCGATGGATAGGTTCCCACAAACAAGGGGAAAAGGCTCAAGGATAAGACTATTGACTATATTTGGTAGTTTGTTCATTTTTAAACTACCGAACTAGACTGACCGAGAGCCCTGATTCTCTGCCCCAAATCGTACCCGCCAGCATGGACAACCAACACCACAGGCCTTGAGACAAACCTACGCAGCGCTATGCACTCCGGGTATACCTGTTGCCAAAGGAGACCCCTAACATCCTTGCATCTAACCCGTGCTACCTCAAATGCAAACCCCAAGTTCCGTCCATAGGTGCGGTCTTCTGCTCGTCGAGCAGTCCAGTATACGAAGGAGTGCCCTAAAATCCAGACATACCGGGGCCTCGCACCTACAGCAAGAAGAACATTACAACATTTGAGGTCTAACGTACGACTTAAAGCTCCCCGACTCCCAATGCACTTAATGTCCGCTGCCGAGTAGCCCAACAAACTCGCCTGAGTAGTGGCCCCAATTCAAAAGGATTGTGCATTCACCCTGCAGGCTGCCAACGCCCTACAGAGCATATCAGTGAATTGGTACCGAGTGAGCGGTGACCCATCTGCATGCTCCAGCAGAGGGCCCCCCCTTTCCAACCGCACCCTTAAGAACCCGAGAAAGGCCCCAACAGGACAGACCTCTCCCCCCATCGCCCCAATACGTACTCAAGCACTGTGGGTAGCTTGGTCCGTCTTGGATCACCACACGAAAATATCGATGGATGACTCTGACCACCTAACCTCCAAAAGAGACAACGGCGAAGCTGCCCGCCGGTTGGGCGCCACTAACTCGCCAATGCGGAAAGCCCCAAAAACCAGAACAAGAAGACTATAGTCCCATTTTGTCATATTGTATTCATGTAGTCCCATCCCCTTATTTTAGTCATGTCCCCCTCTTCCTTATCAGTCCAGGGAGGGTCTTCATCCTCTTCTACATACCTTCCTTCTTCTTTTGTTTTTAATCTAACTACTCCTGGTTTTACTTTCTTTTTCTCATTTATGTATCTAAAAAATGTTTTGTCCCCCTTTTTTTTTACTGAGTTTTTTTTTTTCTATTCTGTGTGTGACTTGGAAGCTATTATAACTTGCTTAGCCTCTTTCTGCCTGATCTTATAAATCTGTCTATCTTCCTCACTCTGGGTTTTTTTATAATTACCAAATGCTAACTTTTTGTTTTTAACTATTTTGGCCACATCTGAGTACCACAGTGGTTTCTTGAATTTTTCGCTTTTACTGACAAGCCTAATGCAATTTTCTGTTGCCTTCAGTAGTGCAACTTTTAAATAATCCCATTTCTCTTGGACTCCATTTAAATTGCTCCAGACTGATAATGACTCCTCTACACATATTCTAATTTTAGAAAAGTCTGTTTTTCTAAAGTCTAAAACTTTTGTTGACTGATGATCACTGGATCCTAAACTTTCACCTACAGTAATATCTGATACCAAATCTCCATTTGTTAACACTAAATCTAGTATGGCCTCTTTATGAGTTGGCTCCTCAACGACTTGTTTTAGAGACAATCCCAGTAGAGAGTTTAGAATATGTGTGTTCCTGGCACAAGCAGCTATTTTTGTTTTCCAATTCAGATCAGGAAGATTAAAGTCACCCATGATGATAACTTCCCCCTTCATTGTCATTTTAGCTATTTCCTCAACTAGTAGATTATCTAACTCTTCAATTTGTCCTGGGGGCCTATAAATCACACCTACACGAGTTATTGTGTGATTACCAAATTCTAACGTAACCCAAACGGACTCTATGTTCGCCTCACTAACTTTTATTAGGCTAGATTTTATGCTATCCTTCACATACAGGGCCACCACTCCCCCTTTCTTGTCTTCCCTGTCTTTTCTATATAGAGAGTACCCTGGTATTGCTATGTCCCAGTCATTTTTCTCATTAAACCATGTCTCAGTAACATCGACTAAATCTACACTATCAGTTGCCATTATTGCCACAAGTTCATGGATCTTATTCCCTAAACTGCGAGCATTTGTAGACATGACTCTAAGCTTATCATTTTTTAACTAGCTTGCTACAGGCACCTTCTGTCCTTGTTTTGGGGGACAATTGGATTGATGTTTTATCACCCTTTTGCCCCCCACCTCCTAGTTTAAATACATCCTATCAAAACCTCTGAACTGCTCACTGAGAACATTTGTTCCCTTTTGAGAAAGATGCAAACCATCTTTTTTGTACAGGTTATTTCCATTCCAAACAGAGCTACCATGAGAAATAAAGCCAAATCCTTGCTCCCGACACCATTCACCAAGCCACAAGTTAAAGTCCCTAATACGCATCCACCTTTCGTTCTGAGTGTTATACACAGGCAGAACTTCAGAGAATGACAGTGTGGAAGCAACCTGCCGTATTTCATTGGCAAAAACACTTAAAACTTCCTTAACCTCTGAATCCTCATTGCAAGCCAAGTCATTTGTCCCTAGATGGACAAGTACATCCAATTCCCCTTCCTGCTTTGCTCGCTTAACAATATTACAGATACGTCTCCTGTCTCTGTGAGCAGTAGTTTCAGGAAGACAACTCACAAGACCACCATTGTCCATCTCCACACCTCTTATGATGGAATCCCCAACAACAACTGCTTTCTATTAGGCCTCACCATAGTCTCCAACCCTGTCTCCACAACACAACTAGCCTCAGTGCCTCTCTCCACAACACCACTAGCCTCAGTGCCTCTCTCCACAACACCATTACACTCTGAAAGTGCAGAAAATGAATTATGTAGAGCAACAGACTGTGCAATATGCCTTTTATCCAAAACTCTAAGTCTACCAGATCCTACAGTAATCCATCTGCCATTCCTAGTATGTCTCTGCGGCAGTGGCTTTGCCGCAGTTCCAGTCTGAGTTTGTTTACCAGATAATTTACAAATTACAGACTTCAAGAATACAATCTCCTGCCGCAAGATAGAGAACTGTCTACAGATTAGACAACAACCAAACCTCCAAAAAGTGGAACGTGAAACAAATGCATAGCAACTATTACACTGAACTAAGTCTGCCATTCCAATGAGGTGAATAATTTAAATCAAATGAATCTTAACTTTTTATTTATCCTCCTGAACACCTCAGATTACCTCCTGGTTATCTCCAGAATATCTCCAACCACACACTTAGAAGCAACACTCTCCAGAATATCTCTAACCACACACTTAAAGCAGCACTCTCCAGAATATCTCCAATAGTGATGTCCCGAACGGTTCGCTGGCGAATAGTTCCTGGCGAACATAGCGTGTTCGCGTTCGCCACCGACGCGAACATATGCGATGTTCGGTCCGCCCCCTATTAATTTACTAATACTAAGTAAAAATTACTTAGTATTAGTAAATTGTGCCCCTACTCGCAATACCGCCTGTGGCTGCTCACTGTTTAAAAAAAAAAGGACCTATTGTCCTCCCCCCGGCCCCCACCCCTGAGCGGTGGGTGGGGGCCCTAAAAATACCAATAAGGGGGGGACCTATTGTCCCCCCCCCCCGGCCCCCACCCCTGAGCGGTGGGTGGGGGCCCTAAAATGAAAAATAAGGGGGGGGAAATTCCAAAGAAAATTCTTTGGAATTTTCCCACGTTGTGTAAAATGACACAGAGCACTGTGATTGGATGGATTTCAAGCCATCCAATCACAGTGCTCTGTGTCATTTTACACAGCGTGGGAAAGTTCTTTTGAATTTTCCCACGCTGTGTAAAATGACAAAAAGCACTCTGATTGGCTTAAACCCACCAATCAGAGTGTTCTTAGCCTAATTGCAGGGCGTGGAAGGGCTTTATAAGCCTTCCCCCGCCCTGCAGAGCTCAGTCTGCGCGGAGCCCTCCATGGGTGAAGATGGATTATTTTTTTGCGCTTGGGTTTTTTCTTTTTCGTCTGGTTTTTTTTTTTGCGCTCAGGATTTTTATTTTATTTTCAATTCGACGGTTATGATGGTTTTTTATTTGGCCTTTTTTGGGGCTGAAAAAAGAAGATTTGAGAAAAAAGAAGACGTCGAATGGTAAGTTTACTTTTATTTTACAGGTTAGTTATTTTATTCCCCCCTCACTATTTTTTAGGGTGAGGGGGGTAGGTAGGGACTTTTTATTTGGGGCGGGGGTGACTAGGGGCTTGGGGACCCCTAGTCACCTTGGGGGGGGGATTTACTTAGGGCCCCCACCCGCAGCCCAGTGGTGGGGGCCGGGGGGGGCGGGAGGACAGTAGGTCCCCCCTCATTATCTTTGTGGCCCCCACCCGCAGCCCAGGGGGGGGGAGGACAGTAGGTCCCCCCCCCAATTATCTTTGTGGCCCCCACCCGCAGCCCAGGGGACAAAGGACTAAATGGCATCTTAAAGTCTAAACATCTTATGTATTTATTGGGTAAGATGTCCGATTGATAAGAAAAGAAACATTCTAACAACTTGTCAGTTTGCAAAATCTCTTAAAGACATAGTACACAGTTTAAGCATACAACGTTTCATTCTAAAACGTGTAATATTTGCATTTGCCCGTTAACACTTGTTTTCAGTAATATCCCAGGTCGAGATCTTTGTGCTGCCATGGCCTATGACCAGGATAAGGTAATTACGGTAAGTAGGAATCTATTTTTGAAAAACGTATTGCCCACTATTGCCTCATTATCAAATTGACCTAATCAACAGTACCAACAAAAAATGTCTGATAAAATTATTGGCTGAGGACCAAGCAGCTATTTTGCCTATGGGTTCCAGGGAAACTTGACCACTGAGAAAATGCACTAGTGGAGATATAGAAAATCTTCAGGTACTGTAATCCGTAGGGTTTAGCATCCTGGAGAGAGCAGAGAAAATGCATCTGCTGATGGCTTTTATAGAGGCTTGAAGACCTCTCCTAGTCCATTAGGAGAGATAAACAGATTTTCAGAAGAACTCCAGACAGCGGATCTGTAGAAATAGATCCTAAGACATCTATCTAGGACAAGAGGAGAAAGTTTCATTCTGAGTCTTGATTCTAATCAATAGGTTTTTAGAGCTGTAAGAATAATTTCCTCATTAATACAGAGACAAGAAGTCACTTTATGCCTAAATTCAGGAACAGATTTGAGGATTATTCTATATTGTGAAATACAGTAAAAAGCAAAACGAAAAATAGTGCTTGAAGAGCTGATATCCTTCCACCCGATGCTAATGTCACCGCTAGAGCTAACTTAATATTAAGCAAGATTTCAGAGTTCTTAAAACCAGGGGGCAATGGTTAACTGAGGGATCATATAAACACAACCGACAGATATTTAGAGTCCAAAGTCAAAGTCCCTTTACGATTAGAAAGATCAAAGAGTGCTGAGAAATGTATCTCTGAGGTGATGTGGCTAAGTTTGTGACGAGTCCTAGATTGAAGAACTCTAGAACCTCCTTGGTAGAGGGAATTTGAATTATCACTTACTTAGAAATAGACCAGGAAGAAAGGCATCCCAACTCTGTAGAGGTAGCCTAGAAGATTTCCCTGGCCTTCAGAAGGGTATTAATTACTGCAGCTGAGAAACCCCTATATTTAAGCCCTTCTTTTCAATATCCAAACCTTCAGAATGAGGAATGATGGTGGCTGGAAGAACTCTTTTATGAGATCTCTTGGAGGTACTGAAAAAGATAGCATAAGTGGAAACCATGAACTGGGTACCAACATGGGACTCTCAAGATAACGCATACTGGCTCTTACAACCTACACAGAAGTAAGGTTTTGGATGTTAATGATGTCCCTTTCTTGAACGTACTCAATTTTGGACAAAAGTTCCCCAACCCCAGTGGATAGTATTTGTACTTATCACTATGCAAGGGATTTCTATAGGAAAGCTAACCTCCTCCATTGTGCCCATCTTTTTAGACCTATGGTGAAGAACCTGGATCAAAACTCTCTCTGCTGAGGTAGTATTACAGTCAACATTCTTTACTTACTTGATATGTCTTAATGCACTTTCTGAAGAGAACTGTACCATGCTTTGGACTGTGTCAAACTGTTCTCTCAGCTATACCCTGACTGGGAGGGATCAAGGTGACATCAGACATTTATATTTCACCATGAAAGTGTCCCTCCACTGCAATCTGAGAAACCTCTGGTCATGTGGGAAATGGGTACATGAAAATACGCATCCTGTAAATCTATAGACATCATCCAATGATGAACATTCAAGAATCCTGTAACTTACAAAGATCTAGAATGGATCTCCAAACGTCTTTTAGAGACAGAATCTTTGTGTTCCAGTTGCAAATTAAGCTTCTCACAATAGCTCCCTCTAATTGAAGAGAAGTCATTAAATTTACAAAGCGTCTCTTTTTCCCTTTCCCTTCCTCTGGCAGAAGAATAGCCACTGCTCGAGGTTAAGATGTACCACACTCTCTTCCTGGTGTGAAATACCTTGATCCTGTAAGGAAGGGAATGAGAGTCCCTAGATTGAAGGTTCTCCTGAACCTTAGGTCTTGCAGTAGACAAGCTTTCCTGCACTCCGTCTATCTCTTGAAACATTCATCTAAGAGGATATGCTATATATGCGCCTGTCCAGCCTGCTACCCCTTGGGTCACTGCAGTAAATAAGGTGATGGCATGATCTTGCTACCCCTACAGTCACAGGAAGTAAACCCCTGGTCACTAAAGGGGTATCTTCAGGGGGTCACCTTTGTGCAGGGCCGTATACTGACACTTCCCAAGAAAAAGAGGAGGACCTCCCTTGAAGCAGAAGGTAACAACCTTCAAGTAAGCCAAAAATAAAATTATCTCGTCTTAGAATGACTAAGTCTGCCCTACGGCTAAAACAGGAACAAAAAGACTGGGGGTGAGAGGGGTAGGAGGGGTTACTTATACCTTTTGTTTTAATTAGGTTCCTGTCTAATTGGGGATAGGGAGGAGCTACCCATTGTTGTGTTGCCATGGATACGGCCAGGAAATATAAATATCCAAAAAAATTTTTGTTTTTTAAATAAAACATTTATTTTAAGGGAATTGAATTGCACTGAGAGCCTGTTTCTTTTGATTACTGTGAAAATGGAGCCAGATATTTATTTTTTCCAGGATAATTGTGAAGGAAATCCCTTATCCCCAGGAATGGGCTGTGTGAGAGAAAAATCCCATGAATGCTGGGGTGGAAGGCATGCCACCATTACGTCACCATTTAAAAGTTCAGCAATTTGCATATGTCCTACCGCTAGCCAATCAAATCCAATCGCCAGGCCAAGGGCGTGGACTAACGTGCGTTAAACCCGCCCCCTCTCTCATTGTAGCCAATAGAACATGTCGGGTTGGAGGTAACTGACATCTCTCTGCCAGCCTGTAAGCGGGCGGGATGTGAGAGGCGTCTTTTCTTTGCTCGTGCCGCGCGGTGATTGGCTGTGGAGCCGTGACAGGCAGGCGCCGCGGCGAATTAGCGAGCAGCCCGCGCTGCCCCGGTTTTCCCCTGCAGTGAGGCGGAGAGGGTTGGCCGCACGGTTGTCAGTCGGAGAGAAACAGCCATGACGTCCACACACACCTTTCAAGGGCTGGACAGCGACAACAAGACCAGCTCCCGGTGAGTGAAGGCCTCAAGGGCTAGCTGTGAGGCGGGTTTTATTATTCCTCCGGCCCGGCTGTGCCCCCGAGGGTGGGGGAGGGAAAGGCTCCTCAGACAGGAAGCTCTGAGACACAGGGCCCATCCAGGCACCGTCTGCAGCCGCACTGGCACTCAGGAACTCGCTCTGGGCAACACAGCCCTCTGTGGACTACATCTCCCATGAGGCCCAGGTAGCCACTTGCCTGACTGAGCATCATGGGAGTTGTAGTTCACAGCAGCTGTAATAGGGAAGAGGCACCAGGCAGGCTGTGCTGGCACTCAGGGGGTTAATTTATGATCTCTGTAGTTAATCTATATCAGGGATAGGCAACCTGGCACTCCAGATGATTTGGACTACACCTCCCATGATGCTTTGCCATTATGGGTGTAAAAGCATTATGGGGGATGTAGTGCAAAACATCTGGAGGGCAGAAGGTTGCCTATGCTTGATCTATATCATTGTCAGCTTTACAAAGTCCTTCTAAAAGGGTTTATTATAGGAAATGTACAGGGAGATCACACCGCTCCTGCCAGGACTGGGCTTCCCTCAACCCACATCACTTTAATCTGGTGTGTGGTGAATGAAAAGTGCTGCCCTGCAGTAAGTGGAGTGGGTTATAGGGCATTATGGGAAATTTAATTTCTCGCAGGCGTATCCGTAAATGTGTCAGTTGGTTCAGTCCACCTCAAATTTTTAAGCAAAAATAAATTCCACGTGAAAGAAATAAAATTCTCCAAGTCGGCTGTGTTCAGTCAGTCATTTTGGCTAAAAATTCAAATTTAAATTCACTTTGAATTCTGAACAATTCACCCTTTCAGGAATAAAACTGATAACCTGATGTCTAGTGATGTCAGCTTGCTTAGGTGTGAAGGGCCAACCTGCATGGACCTATATTCCTGGTTTGCGTCCTTAAAAAAATAAATAAAAATAAGGTAAAAAATCTCTTGGAGTGTGTTTTCAGGACAGCAGTAGTCATTCTGTAGGTACATGGTGGTATCCAGGGCTGTGGATTCAGATTTTCAGAGAAGGCCCTCTCACAGAAAATGTGCTTTATATATTATTATTTTCAGACATTTCAAAATGAACAAGGTGCACGTATAAAGAGGGCGATTTACATGTAAAACTGTACAGGGAATTATTTCATGTACACCGAATTATACTGAACTGAAAACCATTACAAAATGTAGTAATGTAACTATATCAAAATTCTATCACAAGACTTCTTGTGACAAAGGGAGATAAACTGACACAGTAGGTTCTAGGGGCCTGGCCTATGAGCTTACACTTGTCTTATTTAGAAAATACGATATCTCCATGTTTTATCAAGTAGATCTGGTTGCATGTTTCTGCCAAGTGCCTTGTGTACAAAGCATTGTCTTGATGTGGCTTTGCACGGGAGGTAATCTGCTCTGCCTGTGCTTTGTTCTGCATTCTGGGCAATTTCTCATGTTTCCCCTCTCTTTTTTTTTTTTTTTTAACACTGTTGATGGTTCTTAAATACATTATATGTATTACCTCACCAAGATTAGTGCAGCATGTTAATGTGTGTATTTATTTACAATAAAACATGGCCACACCTAAAATTATAATTCATATATTTGGCCTTTAGAAGAAGATGAGATGCAGTAGAATGTGCTAAAAGACCGATGAAAGAGTCTTGTTTGGACACAATAGAAAAGATCCTTTTTAGATGTGCTCCATCCGGACATGCAAGTGAAAAGGAAGTATTTAATAGCTTGGAGGAGCTTGACATTAAATGTGACTAACTCATTAATGCAGAACTAATACCAGCAAGCAGACCCCTCCCTGGCTAGATGCATGAAGTGTAGTTTTATGTGAGTCTGGACATGTGCTAAATTCTCTCTTGTAGATGCATGGTATTTGCTTCTAGCCATAACTATCTTTATAAATAAAGACAGTGCTTTATATGCAGGAATAAAGCTTTCGTATTCTCATAAAATGGGCAGAGGTTCCAGACATAATTCTTCTTGTCTGTGGTAATTCTATTTAATTTCGAAGACTGGAACAAAAACCACTGACTCTCATCACAGACACAAAAGAAGATAGCAAACCAAGTTGGTGGATTTTACAATGTACAATGGTACATATTGACTCCATATGCTGGGATCACAATAATCTAGTCAGACATTTGGTAATCTATGGTTCTCCAGCCCCTGTTCTATCAAAATGAATGCTGTCCTTGCATCCTTACAGCAATAAAACATTAAAAGGGGACTGTCAACCTTGATTTAAATGAGTGCAGTGTTTATGGTTCTGCCTGTTAACGGCACCCCTTTGCAGTATTTGATATGCACATGTGGTATGTATCTTGTCTGTGCACTACACCCATTTTAACATTAAACAAACTGTTCTGGGCAGACTACATGGGCCGACTGGTTCTTATCTGCCCTCACATTCTATGTTAATCTGTACTGATTAACCCCATAAGGTATTGGTTTCCCATAATGTTCTCACAATGGGTTTATTCACCATGTCAGTTATGGTGGGAAATTAACAACGTAGTTGAGAAACATAGGTTGACATAACTGAACATAAAAACTATGTAGTAGTTTTCCAGATTGCTTGTTTTGTCATAAAACTTTTCCTTTGTCAATTCTCAAATTGTTGGTTTAGTTAATTATATCCTAAATGGGCTCTAAAGGGACACTATGAGCACCATAACTACTAGCCCTGTTGTAGCCTATCTTTACCTCCCAAGGTTTGACAGATAGTATCTCTTCAGATGATATAGCAAGGTTATAAGCCTCGCTGTGCCACGTTATGACAAAAGCGTGGCTTGTTTATAAGACAAAGTAGTTTTGATACATTGTCTCATAAAGGCTTCTTATTGTATTTGCATTGTAACAAAGTTCCAATTGGAGCTTTTTGTAAAGTCTCTATCTTCAATCTCTGAAAGCCTGGTTTCTTGTCCAACAAATGAACCAACAAATGCATGTAACATCTATTACTATGTCCATGTAACACAAGACCAATCCTTCCTCCACTTTGAGGACACTTGTAACATCTTGCTAGAAAGAATATAATGGATACAAGTAGCCCTGCATGATTGTGCTGGAAGCAGTCATCTGAGACTGACCGTTACCATTGTAGGTGTTCTGTAACTTGACACATTCTATATATCATCTTGGCAAGTTTGTATGGACAGAGTTACCATCTTTCAAACAAGAGCAGTAGAGTGTTTCATTATTAACAATGTTTAAACAGCACAGCACAGGGGTCTATAATCCCTCTTTGCTACAAATTCCAAATCCAACCAGTTTTGCCTTTTTTAAATTGGTCTTATTTAAACCACTTTAAAGAGGTTTTTCACAACTGATTAGCTAGGTTGTGATATTATTTGTTAAAATGTGCTAGTTTCACTTTTTTAAATACCATTCCAGGCGACCATGTAAATGTAAATTAATTGAACCCTTGCAGCACATGCTCCTATACGGAGTTGCAGAAGGAATGCTTGATTGCGCTTGCACTTGTGACAATTCTGTATAGCTTACTGATCATGCCAGAAGCATCATGGATTGGTGACCTTTTGGAAACTGGAATTACATTTACAGAGGCGAGGAAACTTGTCACTTCCAGAGAAATCTTCTAAAAATGTCTTGGGAAGCGCACGCTGGCAAACTTTGAGGGACAAAACTCCTCAATATGACAAATACATTGCCAGGGCACAACTTGCTCGCTAACGGCACATTTGTGGACTTCAGTATTTATTTCATAATGTCTGGAGAAGTGACTGCTCCTCTTTTAATATAAAATATACATAATTTCCTAGAAACTAAGCCACCCCACCCTCTCCCCCGTGCATTAATCTAACTGAAATATTCCTTAGTTACATTTATGAACTATTGACATCCATGAGATGAATATCCCATAGTCACTATAGTATTTTCGTGATGTTAAAATTGCTGGAGGCCTACCTTAGATTTCACATTTATACCATGCTCACCCTTCTGGCATATAAAGTTATTTTATTTACATATATTTAAAACTAGTAGAGTGAATTTATTTTTCTGTAACATGGCTGATTTTGCTAACCTAATGATTTAGAAAATGTCTTTGTGTAGTCAAGACTAGGAGAACAATAACTCAATTTTTATTTTATTTTTTTTGTCCTTGTCTTTTGACTAATCACCTCTTTGTGTGTAAAGTAATTTAATACTTCACAAGGCTTGGACATCTCTGCAGGAGGCCCTGGGTGTGATCAGTCAGGCCGTGCTGACTCAATGTAGGCACAACCCTAAAGGGTGGCATTATTGCAGCATGGTAGTTTTTTTATTAATAAAGTGTCAAAATGGAATTTGTACATAAACTCAATTAGCCGAGACCTGCAGGTTTTTTTTTCCCCCTCAATATTTGACTATGTAAATTCTTATTTTTATATTTTTAAAAATAGGATTGTGCTGGGAATTTTTTTTTTTTTTGTATTTTTTTTTTTTAATTGTGTGAATATTTTTCTTCTGCTATAAGGGGTATATTCATTAAACACCTAAATATAGGCTTAAAATAGCAAGGCTGTGACTAGAATTAAGTTTTCCCTGTTATTTATTATTGAATACATTCTGCAGTCTTCTGAATAAAACACATTGCTTGCATATTTATATAAAGGAAATGACAAATTTAGTTTATTTTTTATTTTGGAAGAATACATTAAGATTTCCTATGTTTTCAAGTACATCCTGGAGTAGATGACCGTTGTGTATTTAGCAAAGTACTACAAATAAGGATAGCTGATTTAGGATGGAGATGTTGTATTCTTGGGGTTCTTAGTTAATTTTACAGGAAAACCTTGCAAATAGCATTGCATGAACAAAATCCATTTAGTATTTGAGGCAACCTTGTGTTTTTTTGTTTTTGTTTTTTTTTTAAAGTCCTTGTGATTAGATGCTTTCAATTTAGCCACATCTGTGGTTCTCCTGAAGCTTTATTTATTAATGGCTGTGGTGTACCCTGGTGAGGCCTAAATATTTAATTATATCAAAAGTGTAAGGGCTGTAATTGGTATTCATGCTGTTACAAACCACAGTGTTTAGAAAAGGGTCTTTAAAAAAAAAAAAAAGTATGGGGTCTCTTCCCTAATTATTGAAAACTACGGGGACAACCTAGTAACCCCCACCCCCCCACCCCCCCAAAAAAAAACATTTAAAAAATAAATAAATCACTATTTAGTACATATGCCCCAATTAAAATCCCAGACTTTCAGGGGCCTCCTCCCGCTGGACTAAAAGGGTTAAAACCCTTTAGCCAATTACCTTAATCCAGCGCTGGGCTCCCTTGGCGCTGGTGACCTCTTCTCCCCCTGCCGACGTCCGCTCCAAATGCGCATGCGTGGCCAGAGCCGCACGCGTATTCAAACCGCCCATTGGAAAACATTACTCAATGCTTTCCTATGGACGTCAGCGTGTCTCAATGCGATTTTTGCATTGAGGATTGCGGAAGCGGCTGTCAGGGAGACAGCCACTAGAGGCTGGATTAATCCTTAATGTAAACATAGCAGTTTCTCTGAAAATATGTTTACAGCTGCAGGGTTAAAACTAGGGGGACCTGGCACCCAGACCATTGAGCTGAAGTGGTCTGTGTGCCTTTAGTAGTCCTTTAATGGTTTGTGGACGTTTTGCTTTTTTTTTGTAACTCTTTCATTGAGTGGTAAGTGCATAAAATATACATGGCAGTCAGATGTTTATTGTTTCTAAGAATATTTCTATATGCCTAGTGAACAGTTTGTTATTGTTCAATTTAATTTTCTGGTGGTATATTGAAGAGGGGGCAGATGAGACCCAGCACATGCTATCTTCTGTTTCCAGCAGCTCCTCTTTAAAACTTTCGCAAGCTTGGTATGTCACGCAGAGAGTTGCCTTGGAAACCGCAGAAACGCTTTATTTTAAAGCAATGTAACAGAATCATAAGTGAGCACCATGTTTGGCTTAGTCACTTCCTTGTTTCATGAGATTTTGTCAGAGATTTGGTGAGGTCATTGCAGATCTTGCCCAGCCCAGGGCTTTGCAGGATATACAGGAACTTCAAATATGGTTTTTTTTTTTTTTTTTTTTACTTTATCCATTACATTTGCAATTTTCTTTTATGTACCGTCTATATAGGAGTAAAATCCAAAGTGGGGTGTTCCTTTAACAAACTGTATTCACTTACAAAATCAGTAGGATTGAATGTCCCTAAGTATACTTGGTTGGAGAGATTGCCTTGATTCTATTTCCAGTATGTGCATGATGATGTATTTAGCAGTCTCACCAGATTCCAGATGTTCTACTGCAAATGTAGTAATGTGTAATGGAACTGTAACTGTGTATCAAGAGTTTAACACAAGACAAATCATTATTCATTAAAGGGATACTAAATTCACCAGAACCACTTCAACTTAATGTAGTGGTTTTGGTAGTGCAGTCTTAGCTCAGTTAACACTGCCTTTTTAGTGAAAATATAGTGTTTAGATTGCTGGCTAGTAACACCTCCATTGGCAGTCACTCATATAGCCACTAGAGCTGCTTCCTAGCCCAGTGCTGCACAGTGTGCACCTACATTTAATGTCTCCACACTCTGCATGAAGGTGTTGAACGCTCCCCATAGAGATGTATTGATTCAATGCATTTTTGAGTAAATGCTGATTGGCGCATGCTCAATAGCCTCCCAATGCTTTTCTGTAGGGGAAGCATTATTGCTTGAGATCAAGATTAGTGATCTCCACCATGGAGGCCAGCCGCAGCAGTGGAGAAGGGGGCTGGCGACCTAAATATGTATTCAAACACCATATGTTTGCATATTTAGTTATGAATGCATATTTAATCTGCATCTTTTCAAGGCCACTAATACGCTAATATTTTAGGGTCTAATAAAAACTTTTATATGAAATTCACCATCCCCTCCCAATTGTAGTAATGAAATTTCATCTGGGTTTCAAAGGGCAATGCCAGCATGCAATATAAAAAAAATCCTTTCTGCCCTCTAATTGTAGTGTACGCTTATGTCCTTCAGCGTGTAGATTGATACAAGTTTCAGTTGTTGATGGGGAAATTCATATCATATTCATATCATCAAGGTTTTGTTGGTTTTTGTAACCGTTAAATCTATTTTTCAGCTTGTGGAATGTATCTGCTGCCATTTCTTCAGTCTTTGTTATGCAGCTCTTCTTCTCTTACTCCGAAGATGTTAGTAATTATGCTGCCTTTTGTATTTTTATTTTTTTAATATCCGAGGAAGTCCATATATCCAAGATGTTTCCTGTTCATGGGACACATCTGCCTTATAAATGCTTCTGTGTTTGCTTCACTCCAGAGAAAAAAGTTGGACAAACACATATGAATCAGCATTGCATGATGGTACAAGACTTTTCTTTATTGTGAACTTTGCTTGTGCAAATAACTGTCAGAGAAGGTCAAATCCCAGCGCCCGGATTGTGATTGGCCTGGAATTTCACGTTAAATTCCACTTTTCCTCACATCATAACACTTTGGACATTTTCTTTTTTTTTTTTTTGTCATTCAATTTGCTTTTATTGACATCATAACATTTGGCAATACAAAGTTATATGCATCGATACAGAAGGTGGCAAAAATAGTGTACATGTCAGTTATTGTTCATTTGGTATAAAGGTATCGTTAGTATTTATGTGAAGAGAGCAATTTTACAAAGCCATAGCGAGCATCTGATTCCATTCCTACATTGCAACATCTTTCAGCATTGACAGTTTTCAAGAAGGAACTAGTCTTAGAAAAATAGAAAGAGAATATTTTCACCATTCTCACAAGTTTTAGACATGAAAGCTATAGAGAACACTCAGATTCAGTCATTTTATTAATTGGTATGTTTGTGTTGGGAAGCAGATAAACTGCGATAAGGCAGAAACTTTAGTGCTCCTGCTGTGACCTTGTCTAGCCCTGCTTCCTGAGAGCGTCTCTACTGATCCGTTGGGGTGGGGGGTAGGGAGTGGTTGTCGAGTAGTGGGGCGTTTGGGGGTCGAGGGTCCGTCAGGTAGTTTTTGTCCTGTGTGCGCGTTTGTTGTGGGTGTCCCCTTTGCGCTAGTCGCTGTTCTTTGATGTGTGTGGGCGGTGGCTGTGTGTGTGTCATGCGTCGGGGTGTAGTCTTGTTGGGGTGTCCCTTCTGTGTTGGTGTCCTTCTGTGTCTGTTTGGGGATCCTATTAGTGTCGGGGGTGTATTGGTCGAGCGGGTGCTGTCCCGGGTTGTGAGGGTTAGGTGGGTTCTGGTATCGTGGTGTAGTGCACTTGGGTATTGGGCGTTTGGACAGTCTTGTTGGGTTGGTTCATCCCTTGTCCAATATGTGTTGGTCATGGTGGGTCTTTGTGGGTGCTGTGGTGTATGGTCTGTCCTGTAAGGGAGGTGGCGTTTCTGCGAGTGTAGGTGGCATTCTCAAGGCAGCCTGTCGGCAGTTGGTCATGTATTTTAACGTGTGTTGTGGGGGGCGGGTGGGATGGGAGTGTAGGTTAATGGGGTGAGGGCATTGCGGGTGAGGGTAAGGTGCGGGAGGGTAGGGGGTGGGGTGTCAGGTCCCGGGTCCCCACCTCAACCCCCCCCGCCTCCGGGGCAAGGGGCATCTCCGGCTCTGAGTGGTCGTCTTGGTTTGGTTGGGTCGGTGGTTCAGCTTCCGTATTGTCGTCCGTCTGTTCCGTCTGGACCGTCCCATCTGCCTCTGCTGTCAGGTGTTGTGTGGTCCCCGTAATTGGTGCGGTGGAGGCGAGCCATTGGAGCCAGTGGTACCATGCATCATGGTAACGTTGTATGCGTCCCGTTGCGGAGTGGATGAGTTCCTCGATGCGTCTGATGTCTTCCACTCTCGTTATCCATTCTCTGATAGTCGGGGCCATGTGTTGTTTCCAGTGTCTCGGGATGAGGCTGCGGGCTGCGTTTATTAGGTGTGGGAGTGCTGTTTTTTTAAATTTGTTGATTGGGGTCTGTGTAAGTTGGAGCAGGTATGTGTCTGGTGAGAGGGGTAGGTTTGCTTCTGTTATGGTTGTGAGTATCTTGTGGATCTCTGCCCAAAAGGGCTGGATAAGGGGGCAGGACCACCATATGTGGAAGAGGGATCCCAGTTCTTTCCCGCATCTCCAGCATTCCGGGTCATTTGTGGTTTTCATCATGCTAAGTTTTTCCGGTGTCCTGTACCAGTGGGAGAGCATTTTATATCCTGTTTCTTGGAATTTGGTGGAGACGGAGGCTTTATGTGTGAGTGTAAATACCGTTGTCCATTGTTCCGTTGAAATTGAGTGTCCTAGATCCCTTTCCCAGTATTTTGTGAAGTAAGGGAGGGGTGCGTTAGTGGTGGTGGTGGTTTGCATGCGATATAGTAGCGATATCGCGTGTGGGGGGGGGGGGTTCATGCATATGGTCTCGAATACAGAGAGTGTTCGCGTTGCCGAATTTAGGGTCGGTATGCTTCTCAGAAACCTTGTCAGTTGGTGATATCTAAAGCGTAGGAGCATATTGTGTGGGATATTCGGGACCAGAGTGGTCAGGGGCGTGATTGTGCCTTGGTCATAGACGTCCTTCACTCTGCAGGGGGTCGGCAGGCCCAGGGCAGCCGTGTAGTGGGGGTCCGATGCAGGGGCAAATTTCGGGTTGTGAGATATGGGGCATAATGGTGAGAGCTCCGGGGCTACGTCTGTGTGAGTCGCCAGTCTCCTCCAAACTGCCATTGTAGCGTTTAGGGTTGGGTGGTTCCGTGGCAGTTCCCCGGCCATGGATTTCGGTAGCCAGGGTAGAAGTGTCAGGGGTATCCGTGAGAAGCTGGCCTCTATGGGGATCCATAGCTTGTCTTTCGGGTCTTGTGTCCATTCTATCACTCGCTGGAGGTGTATAGCATGTCTATATTTTGTGATATCGGGTAGTCCCAGGCCTCCCTGTAGTTTGGGTCTGGTGAGGGTGGCGAAATTCAGCCTCGGCGTTTTGCGGGCCCAGACGTAGGCCATCAGTGTTTTACGGGTTTGTGTTAGGAAGGTTTTGGGAATGTGGATTGGTAGGGTTTGTAGGAGATACAAGATTCGGGGGAGGATATTCATTTTGAGGACACTGATCCTACCCAGCCACGTTATGTGCGGGAGTTGCCACGAGTCGAGGTCCTTCTGTATGCGGTCGAGGAGGGGTGGGAAGTTGATGCGGTAGGTGTCCGACACATCAGCCGACAGCCAGATCCCTAAGTATTTAATCCTTTCTTTGCACCAGTGAAAAGGGAACTCTGTTTGCAGTGTAGTTGTTAGTGCTAGGGGGCAGTTTACGTTGAGAATTTCAGATTTCGTAAAGTTAATTTTCAAGTTGGAGAGGGTGCCATATAGGTCAAATTGGTGCGTGAGCTCCCTAAGTGAGGTTGCCGGGTTGGTGATTGTGAAGAGGAGGTCGTCCGCGTATGCAGAGACCTTGGTGGCTCCCCAGCTACCCTCGATTCCAGTTATGCGGGGTTGGGCTCGAACTGCATTGAGGAATGGTTCTAAGCTGATGGCAAAGAGTAGGGGCGATAGGGGACACCCTTGTCTAGTGCCGTTTCTGATCTCAAATGGGTCGGAGAGAATCCCATTAACCTGCACCCGGGCTGCTGGAGCGGTGTATAGGGCCCAAATGCGCGTCATCATGTGGGGTCCCAGTCCCAGGTGTTCCAGGGTGGACCTCAGGAAAGACCAGTCTACCCTGTCGAACGCCTTCTCCGCGTCGGTCGAGACTATCAGGGCGGGGGAGTGTCCTTCTCGGGCCGCGTGGAGAAGATTGAGTGTCTTGATAGTGTTGTCCCTGGCCTCCCGGCCCTCCACAAAGCCCACCTGATCAGGGTGGATAAGGCTCGGCATCAGGGGCTGGAGGCGCAGGGATAGTATTTTGGCAAACAGTTTGAGGTCGGCGTTCAACAGGGAGATCGGCCTGTAACTGGTACATGAGGAGGGGTCTTTTCCTTCTTTCGGGAGTACTACGACGTGTGCTAGGAGCATGTTGGGGTCTAAGGGGTCTCCGTTATGTATTGAGTTGAATAGTGTAAGTAGGTGTGGGACAAGGTTGTCTGCGAACATTTTGTAGTACTTTGCCGTGTATCCATCTGGTCCGGGGCTTTTCCCCAGTTTGGCCAGTTTGATGGCTAGGCGTATCTCCGCTTCAGTGATATCTTCTTCTAGTGTAGCTATTTCTTGGGGTGTCAGCGTTGTGGTGATATTCTGTTCGATATATGTTTTTTGCCACGCTGTGTGAGCCTCTTCTCCTTCGTGTGCGCGTGTGGTGTTGGGAGGTAGGCAGTATAGGGAGGAGTAGTATTGTCTGAAGCCCTCTGCTATAGCCTTCGGGGTCCGCAGTGTGTTTCCTGCCAGGGAGATCTTTTGAACATGGGTTTTCTGTCTCCGGGCTCTCAGCGCCCTAGCGAGCAGTTTACCACTTTTGTTTCCGTATTCATAAAACGTTTTTTGTGTGAGTTGGAACTGGAATCGTATTTTGGACGTGAGGCAGGAGTTGAGTTTCGCTCTGGTCTCTAGGAGTTGTTTGTAGGTTTCGTCTCGGAGGTCTTGTTTGTGAAGCGTTTCTAGACGCGCCAGTTGGGCAGCAAGGCGTGCTATTTCCTGTGTGCGTTGTTTTTTCAGGCGAGTGCCGTGTTTGATGAGGATCCCTCGGATAGTGCATTTGTGTGCTTCCCAGACGGTCGTTGGTGCGCTTTCTGTTGTTTGATTGGTGGGGAAGAAGTGGTCTAGTGTGTTCCTAATTTCTGTTTGGATCAGTGGGTCCTCTAAGAGTGATTCATTAAGTTTCCATGTCCATTGGGATCGAAAGGTTCTAGGATTGTCGATGGTGAGTGTTACTGGTGCGTGGTCCGACCAGGTCATGGGGGCGATGTGGGCTGAACACAGTGTGTCTAGATCCCTGTGTTGGATGAAGAAGTAGTCAATCCTCGAGTATGATTTATGTGGCGCTGAATAATAGGTGTAGTCTTTCTCTGTATGGTGTAGGATTCGCCAGCAGTCTACAAGTTGGTGAGTTGTCAAAAGGGTCCGCAGTCCTCTGAGGACGTGGTCCGGGATCGTGGAGCCCCCTTTAGATGTGTCCATTTTGGGGTCTAGAGGGGCGTTGAGGTCCCCTCCTATTATTACGGTTCCTGCACTGAACGCTTCCAATTTTCTCAGGGCTGAGGCTAGGAATGATTTTTGGCCTTTGTTTGGGAGGTAGAGGTTCGCGAGTGTGATTTGAGCGTCCCCTATGTGTCCTTTGAGAAAAAGGTATCTGCCTTCTCGGTCTTTCTCTTCTGCTTCCAGGCGGAACTGGGTGTCTGCCGAGAATAATATAGCCACTCCCTTGGATTTGGTGGAGGGGTTATGCGCGTAGTAGCCGGTTGGGAAGTATTTATCTGAGAATTTGGGGGCTTTTGTTGCTAGAAAGTGTGTTTCTTGGAAGAAAGCTATTGATATCTTAAGTGCTCGAATTTCTCGCAGCGCTCTTGCTCGTTTTTGTGGGGAGTTCAGGCCCTTCGCGTTGATTGTGTAGAGGTTAATTCCTATCTCTGCGTGCCCGGGGGCGTGGGGGGCGAGAGGCGGTGGGCCCATCGTATCCAGGTGGCGGGGTGTGGAGTAGGGGAGGAAAAGGGGGGGGGAGATGGAAGGGGAGGTTAGATGGGTTTGAGGGGGTAGTTCAAGCGGTGTGGTGTGTAGCGGTTGTGTCGAGTCGCAGAGGCGACTGTTGTAAGGGGTAATGTGCCACTGGTAGGTGTGTGTCCGGGAACCAAGGTCCTCGTAGTCACCTCACAGTCTCTTGGCAGTGAACCCGTGGGGCAGGTGGCGTCGGTGGTTAGGTAGGTCACCTACTTTGGGGTGTCGTCTAGTGACGTATCACTGTCTGTCAGCATCCGTCTCCTGCTGCCTAATAGTGGTGGATGGTCGTGATGGTCGCCCCTGGGCGTTATCTTGTTATCGTTGCGCTATTGTGTCGGGAGCGTGCATACGGATATAAGAACAGTATTCGTGAGAACAACATAATAACAGCATATCAAAACATGGTTACACAAATTATATCCCAGTATCAGGGAGAACATCAGAAACTTTTATGAACATTTAAAGATGGTTTGGGTGTGTTCGCACAGGGGGCCCCTCATGGAATAGAATGAGGTTTGCACCCCGTGGTGCGCCGTCACCCCACACCTTTTATATAACAGGGTAGGAGGAGGAGGGCAAAAAGTAAGGGGGGGGAGGGGGGGAAGGGGTTCAGGAAAACAAAAAAAAAAACACACCCCCAACAATACACTCAATACACTTTGTTGGAACCAGTGAGCGCAGGTGTCTCCGTCGCCCGGTGGGAACCTCTCGGTTGTTCACAGGGGGCGAGGCAGAGTCGCTCTCAACAGTAATTCGGATGTACACAATTATGAGTCTGCTTGAGGAACACGGAGCATTCATCTTACGGTATGTAGTGGTTGGTGAGTGATCCGTTCCCTCCTTCTAGCGTGTTCGTGGTGTCTGAGGTGTGTTTCTGTTGGACGCCTCAGAGGTGCGTTTGATACCTGGTTGCCTGTGTTGCAGGTATGGTCTGTGTGTATGTCTGCGGTTTGATTAGATAGTGAGGGTGTCTGGGTGCATCTTGGGTGTATTTGGGGGGGTTCCCTTCCTGGTGTAGCGGATGTGTGTGTGTATGTGTGTGTGTGGGTGAGTGTTAGTGTCAAGGTGTGTAAGCTAGCCCGCAAGGTATACTTGCACTTGCGATTCGTTCTACGGTGGTGGAAGCCGTGGCCAGCAGTCCAGGGTGATGCCAGGGTGTCAGTTCAAGGCATCATGTCAGTGGTCGTCTCTATAGGGTGTTTGGAGCTTGGCGGGTGTGGGTCTATGTCCCGCATTGTGGGGCAAAGGAGTCTTGTGTGGAGCCGGCCAAGATATTGGTGCACTGGCGAGTCCTCTGGGGTTGTCTCTGTTGAGTTAGTAGCGTTCTTGGTGGTGTTGAGCAAGTCATGGACTCGGGGGGCAATAGATGTAGGCCCAGTTAGCCGGTGAAGCAAGGTGGTTCTAGGCCTTTGGGACGGTGAGATGTGGGTGGGTTACCGTTTTTGGTGGTGTCTTGGCGGCGGTGAGTCGCAATCTGCTTTCTCCCTTTGCTTTCCTGGATGCGGAGTGATAGAGAAAGAGAAAAAAAAAAAAGGAAAAAAGGGGGGGAGTAGGTGTCTCTGGAGGTGCCGTATCCCTCCTGCTCCCCTCAGCGTGGTCGTTAATGCGTTGCACGGTCGTGGTCAGGCTGGTGGTGCAGGGTGGGTGGCGGGGGGGGGTGTAGGCAGGTGGTGGTGTCTCCATCTCGTTATTCCTCAGGGTCAATTAGTCGGTGATGGGTGCGCGGGGCGTCCCTGTCGGGCCCCTGGTGGATGGTACGTTGTGTTGGCCTCCCTGTGAGGCGTTCATTAAGCGGGCATGCAGTCCAGTCCGAAATAGGGGTGCGAGGGAGGTTTAGAGCCTCCTGGAAGGCCAGTACATCTTGCGGCATGCGAATTACTGCTTCTGTGGTGCCCTGTCTGGCTGAGAGGGCGAAAGGAAATTGCCATCTGTAGCGGATTTGGGCGTCTTGCAGGGCGGCGGTGAGGGGCCGCAAGGCTCTTCGGGCCTGTAGGGTGAGGTGGGATAGGTCATTGTAAAGTTCTATAGCCTGTCCCTCTATTCTCCAGGTTCTTTCTGTGCGTGCTTTTCTCATAATTTCTTCCTTTAGTTGGAAGTCTGGTATGTGGCAAATTAAGTCCCTGGGGGGAGCACCCGGGGGGGGCTTGGATCTTAGTGCCCTGTGTGCCCTGTCCATGTGGATGCGGGCGTCCCTGGGTCTGCCCAGTATGCGATTAAAAATCGGGGTCAGCGTGGCCCTGGCGTCTTCTGTTGTGTCAGATTCTCTGCAGCCTCTTACCCTGATGTTATGCCTGCGGCTGCGGTTATCAAGGTCCTCTATGTGGAGGCGCAGATCTTGTATGTGCCTGGAGTGGGCCTCTGTAGCTTGTATAGCAGGGCAGTGTGGGTTGGGGCCCTGTGTCTCTAGTGCCTGTACCCTTGTCTCAAGCGCTGTGAGTGAGGTGCCTAGGGCTGAGATCTCTGTGCGCAGGGTGGCTTTTACCTCATCCAGTAGTGTCTGGAAGTCCTCCTTTTTCGGCAGGGACGTGAACAGTGTGTACCAGTCTGGTGTCTGTGGGGCTTGCCGGCTGCTGTCAGTGCGCGGGTATTCCTCCGACAGCATGGAGCTCGGGGAGGAGGGCGCCATGTTGGAGGCCTCCTCCTGGGAGAGGAAATCCCCTGGTGTGTGGAGGTAGCTGCGGATGGAGGGGTGCGAGCCGGTCCCCTGTGTTCTCGGCGTGGAGGGGGTCATCTGGGCTCTCTTGGTACGTCCCATGGGTGCCAGGTCGTGCTAGTGCGGTGTGTTTTTTGCGGCTGGGAGCGGAGCTCGGGAATTAGGCAGCCATTCCTGTTCGGCGCCAAGCCACGCCCCCCGACATTTTCTAATGGTTTGTGAGCTATAATTTTATGCACCCAAGCCATATTATGCATACATTTAAAGTTTTATTTATGCATCCCAAGCTATCTGTAACCATAATTTTCTAGTCAACTCTCCTGTCAAGAAAAAAACTGGTGATATAAAACCATATTTTCCCATATGCTAATTTTATAAAGTATATTCCTATGAATAATGCACATTTAATGCAGATTTCTTTAGTTATACAGGTATGTCTTCAGGTGCGTGCTCAGTACATCTTGCTATGACATCCAATGTTATTGATTTTCAATGGTGCCAATTGACCCATTACATCCTTAGTGTACATGGCTAAAGAGCATACCAACAAAGAGGGTGTGGTTAAATTGGTTGTCCATCAAACCAGGCCTGTTGTGAATTGTCATGGCCTCTGTATAAATTGGCTCTTGATTTGATAATCCAAGTCACCTAGGGTCACTGAGCTTTATCAAAAATTATTTTCCATATCGAATTCCACACTCGGGTTGATGTTTATGGCTTGTAGAATGCCAGTATCTTGTTTCAGTAATCAATTTGGCTTTTAGCCCTGCTGAGGTCAAATGACCCCCAATATATTGGCAACAACAAAACAGGCATCCCACCAATCAAATTCTGTGCATTTATATAGGACATATTTTAATATATTAAAAAAATAGCTTTTTGTTTTGTTTTGCGATGATTGAGTGCAGTAGAACAGCGGAGTGCTATACTGTGAGCCAAGCCCATTATTGCAAATTGCTGTTTGGCCATATATGACCCATCTACTGAATGTAGGTGAAGAAATTGGTGCACTTGCTGTGAACTTGCCAACGATGTAGAGTAGAATTGTGCCCCTATCGATGAGTTATTGCACAAATCCTCAGTGTTTGGCATCCAGGTACTATATGCATCTGTCCGCTTCCTACATGTGTTTAGGTACAAATACACAGCATGACAAATAGAGTGCATTTTCTTTTTAGAAAGTCACGTGGTCAGACCAGACTTCTTTATCCAATTGCTCGCTGGATATATGCCGTTTGTACCTGGTATAAATGTATATACATATACTGATTTTGTTTTTAGTTATACTCTTTGCATAAACTTGCAAGCGATGGTGTTGCCGTAATATTTCTGTGCATTTTGGTTCAAGGCTAAAGGGGGGGGGAGGGGGGAGAAAACGGACCCAAAATTACATCTGTATTCTCGCTGGCTAAGTGGAACTAATCAGCCAATCTGAATACAACTGGGATTCATATCTTATTCATTGACCAGAAAATCCACAGATGTGGATAAACAAATAACTGCTCCTCCTCTGCTTGCTGTAAATTGCAAGCTCCAGGGACTAGAGTGGTAAAGATGTGCATGTTCTGTAACCTTGTGCATGATGTGGAAATTTGTTTTGGGGTGGGGGTTAAGGCACTTGGTTACACATGCCTCTGGAATGTATGGTCTTATTGTCCTGTAATTATGGGGGACTCCCTCCCCCACTTAGAGTAATTTTTATTACACTATTTCTGTAGTGTAATGTTGTCTTCCACAGTCTTCGTCTGTTTATAATGCTTTTCCTTTTGTTAAGAATTCTCTATAATCCTGTTAAACAGTACTTATTCTTTAGTTTCTTGTGCAACTAGTTCTCTCTAGGTTCTCGACACTTGTATCTAAAACTTATAACAGTAAGGATTTGGGAGGAACCTTGAATTTCAGCATTACTGTTGAATGGTGCTCTGAAACCCAGCCGCTAGAGGTTTATGGCTGTAGGCCTATCTTTGACTTGTCCTGTAACAGGGACACTCTTATCTCTTTTTCCAGTCAGGAAGTAAAAATAAACACTTTTGTAACACTGGGTTTTAAAACATGAATGCCATAGAGATAAACGTGTCCCAAGTTGCAGATGTCATATTTAAAACCTGTATTCTGTAATTGCAGCAGACTTGGTTTCTTGTCTGCTGCTGAGAAATCTAGTCACCTGGGTGCAAAAAGTCCCAGAAGAGAGATGGCATACAGCAATAACTGGCATTGTTAACCTATTCATGGCCTTAATAGTGTCAGACCATTACCTAGCATCCCGTTTCCCAAATGTTTTTGTTTGTGCTTTTTATACTGTAGCTATGCCACGTTTAAAAGAAGAGTGGTAAGAACTTTTTTTAAGATGCTAATTAAGACCTTGTGACTGAGTCATTGGTAAAATATTTATGTACCACGCAGTGCAATGTCAAAATCTCATCACGTTTCTTCCTTTAAACTGGTGCTATTGTGAGATGTTCTGGTAATCAGTAGAGTTTTAAGTAGACCTGTCACTCACAAAAGGTGTGAATGAAACGTTCACTAAATTCATCTGTCTGTGTCGAGCTGTCAAAATTACTATCACACCTGTACCTTCATTGGAGACACTTCTTGTATAGAAACAACAAAATGGAAAGCACTACCTGTGCTTGCTTTTAGTAACAGTGGTGATAATTTTAAGTTATAAAAAATAATTGCAAATACAATTATTTATATTTTAGTGCCACTGTCTGTGGTTGCACAATGCTAGACTAGAGATATAGATTTTTTAATTTTTTTTGTGGGGGAGGGGGTGGGTTATTTTTAATTGGCTTTGAAGTTAAGCTTGCAAAGACTGACTGCCTTGATGTTGGCTGTCTCTTCCTGTATAAAAGCCAAATAATGGGTATATTAGCCACAATGTGTGTGGGTTTTTTTTTTTTTTTTTTGCGCCAGTCAGACCTACTCTGTCTTGCCATGTTCCATGTGGGATATCTCCCATCCCCAATGGAATTAGCTGAACTGCCTCAGCTGACAGCTATCCAATATAGCAGCTTGCTTTTAATATCGAATGGTACTTTTAGATCCTGACCTAACTGCCAACACATCATTCTGCAGTCACATTGAAAACACATGTTCTCTGCAGCAAACCCTTAATGACTTTGCTTCCTATGTAAACTCTAAAAATTCCTGGAATAAACATGCAGATTAATTCAGAAATTAAGTTACAATTAGAACTTGTTTAAGAGCTTTCAAAAATAGGGTTAAATGATATTTATATACATATGCTAAGTTTACTTGTAAAACTGGGATTTTTGTGTAGGGTCTTTTATTTATTTATTTTTTGTTTAATGTGCCATCTTGTCTGAATAAAAATTCTAATCTGGAAGTCACTGGATGGAAGATCTAGATTTTGGGGCATCAAAATAATCCTATTTTTGAGTACTGACCAGACTGCAAATCGCATGTATCCTGGAAAGATTTCCCTACGTCAAAACGTCGGTAACCCTAATAACCTTGTTCTTCCTCCCCCCTACTAGGGTATTGAAGCCACCCGGAGGAGGATCAAGTTGCATTTTTGGAAACCCTGATGATGCCCCCGCTCCAACAAGGTCACACAAAATGTCTTCCAACATCTTTGGGTCACAAGCAGAGCCTGAAAATGTACCAAAAAGGTCCAACCCTCCAGGTTAGTTAAACAGCTGTATAATGGAAAATTAACTCGTACTTGCCATTAATTTTATTTTTCGGTAATGGGCTACTGCAGCACTAACAGAGGTGGCTCCTCCCACCACTCACAATCAACCAAAATAAGCAATTAAACATTTTAAGTAGATACCAGACGTTTTAACCATGTGACCCTCCGTTCATTATAAAGCCACCCACACAAGAAAATATCACCAGTACAAGTTAATTTTAAGTTTTCCTGGCCATGGCCACGGTACCACCTAACAGGGCAATGCCCAGGCATAAAAATAAGGTTGGGGGGAGATAAAAATATAACACATAAGTACTAATAGAAACGTATAAATATATTAAACAGAAATAAACAAAACTGTTGAGGCCTGAAGGACCGCTTTGCCAAAGGAGGCTTCCTCTGCCAACCTCACATCCATTTGATAATGCTTAATGAAGGTATTAGCTGAGGACCATGCAAAAAAAACTCTTCTTTTACTCTAAGAAATAAATATTGACTGTGCTAACAAATGTATAGATTGAAGCTTGGCTCTACATCTATATGATATTAGCATAGTGTTCTACTTCCCATACATGTACAAAATACTGTGAGAAACTGCATAGTTTTCCTTAACATCTTGTGAAATTTCACGTGTCAATACTTCTATTTATTTTCCTATTATCAGGTGGAAAACCTAGCGGCATCTTTGCAGGTCCTGCACCAGCGCCAGTCTCTCAACGAGCGCACCCTCAATCAGGTGGGAAAAGCAACGTTCTGTTTGGAGAAGGAAACATCCCAACAAGCCCCAAAGCACATCCCAACAAACCAAAGGTACCAGATCATGATTTGTAGACATCTTAAACAATTTCTACTGAGGGCTCAAACTGTCAAATCATAACCTACTAACCAGGTCTAAAAAGGTACTTGACTAGATAAATGCTAGTAAACCGTTTCTGATCTAAATTTTGTGCTGAAAGTGTGGAAAGTCCATGTGTGTGGAATGTGATGAATTGGCCCTGATGTTCAGTCATGGAGGCAGGGCCAGGTGCTGCGAGACCAGCACAGCGTGGGCGAAAAAGGTGCACAAAAAACCCTTTCCTTTGCGATTGTAGTGGTACCGGTCACCTGGAGACAGACAGACATTAATGTGACCACCTAGCCTCCCTACCTTTTTGGGAGAGTTTGAGTGGTTCAGCTTTCCCTGTGGTCCAGTGGGGCTTCAGTCATTAACCTGCTCTGCTCTATAGAAAGCTGTTTACTGATGCCGGGGCCGGAATGTCGTCATATTCTGGCTCCCGACATCACTAGAGGGCGAGGGAGCAGAGCAGGGAGGTTACAGCTCCTTCGCACACCTGCCTGTTGGCTCAATCTTTCAGGAGCCTCCGTCTGTGCGCCCACCCACCCACTCACCCTCTCTCTCAGCTGGCTGACCACATGCACGCACGGCAATGCTCTCCCTCAGCAGGCTGACAGACTGCATGTCCATGTAAGTAAGCCCATGCTCTTTATGAGCCGGCCGGCCAGCCGCCTGCACTCATAGGCAGCCGACCATCTCAGGGGCTAAATGGGCAAACAAATTCCAGGCACCAGGACAAAAATCCTAGTAGCCATGGTGCCTGGGATTTGTCAAGCCCTGTTCTATTTTACCAGTGTGGCTGAAGATGGGGCTACTGTACTGGGTAGAGTCCCAGTTTCAAAGTGCTCCAAAATGGCCTTGAGATTGTTTGACAAACAAGGAGTGGTGCCTAAACACTATTTAATGCTAACACCCCTTAACACCACCTTCAGCTTATTGAAGTTATTAGTCTGGACACCATCTTCGCTTTCAAAGTTAGACTAGTTAGCAGAGGTTGTCTAGTGGCTTTGATGTAGTGTCCTTTTAAGGCTTCTTGTTTGATGCCGCCTTACATGTTCACCTTCTTGCATATATCTTCAACTCTATAAATTTCAATGAGCCTTTAATTGCTTGTGTTTGCTAGGCACTTTGAATACAATACCCACATAGCAGTTAGCCCCATATAATGACTGAGCATTTAAACACCACTGTCACCTCTCACATAGGTATTAGCTCCTCGTTGGAAGCCTCTCTCTCATTCTAAATCATAATCAGACAATTCCTCTGTAGTATTGGTCCCACATGGCATCTCTCAGGTCTGTGGTTATCGTGCAACTGTCTGCAGAAACTAGTTACTATTCCAAGGAATTTCCATGGTGTGTTTTATTAAAAAAAATAAAAAAATTATCAGGGTTTTTTAGCAGCAGTTTGGATGCCCGGACTCACTACCGGTGTGCAGTCTTAAAAATATTATTAAATAAACCAAAACTAGCATTTTCAGTGAACAGAATGACAACACCCCTTGTTCTTCAATGTTAAAGGTGCAGTGTAAATAATAGAAAATACAGTTGCATTTCAGAAATTACATTGATATTTGATCATATAATATCCTGCTGGTTTTTTTTTTTCTCCTTTCAGGACAATATTACTTTAAAAGAACCGGAAGTTAAAGCACAAAGTACCCCAGGTGTGTTGCTCAGATTTTAATTTTCTTGCATTCACCTTAAGCAAATGGTTAAAAAATAAAATAAAATAAAAATCCATGGTCCTCCACTCGTGTAATGTAGGTGGAGGGAAGAGAGTAACTACAGTTGGAGCTCTTTGTCTACATGTTGGGATTCCAGGGGGTGTAGAGGACTATGGGAATTTTATTCATTAGCAGTTGATTTGCTGGTTTATTACATTTGCTACATATTGTAATTTCCTCTGCTGTATAGCCCTTTTTATTGTATTTTCAGCCTATTCACCCACCATCTATAATTTTTTATTTTTTTTTGTGCAATTATAAGTGCTGTAACCATTTCAATACTGTGCTTCATGGTACATCGTTGTTGTAGGAGCTGGCCATGGTTTTGTGTAAAACAGTTGAGTGGTGTAACACAGAGGGTCTCCTAGATGATGATGATGGTGGTCGGGCCACTTGCTCTAAAAAGTTACAAGTATATATCTCTTTGGGGAGTTTTGAGTGATTCAGAGTTTTGTGTTTAAAACATTGGCAATATGCTCACACCCTGATCACGCTGCCAAGAGGAGGAATAAAAACTGATCTCAAATAGGAATCTGCTCTGCCGTAGACCTCAGCATTGTTTTTGTAGAATCCAAGCTGCTGTTGCTGAAGTGGTGGTGGGTTTGGTGCAACCTTGGAAAAGATTTGTTCTGGGAGTAGACTTCCTGCCCACTGTTAAATGGTTATTCACCGGGCTGACCCTGCATAGTCTTTGCACATCGGGTACATAAGTTGGTGGGTCTGTTTTTGTGGTTTCTTTGGTTTGTGGTTAGTTTTGATCTATCAAAGCATTATTCCCGTAGTGGCAAGGCATGTCCCTTTATTAACTCTTCAGTCTGTCTTTGCAGTGAAAGCCGTTCCTAAAGCTGCTCCATCAATTGAAGAAAAACCACCAACCCCAAAGGAGGTGCGACCTGCTGAGCCAGACCCAGCAATGGCTGCATATGAGCCCCACCTTGGTCCAAGGCCACGGTCTCACAACAGAGTCCTGAATCCACCAGGAGGCAAATCTAGCGTCACCTTCTACTAATGGCTGTAGTTACGAGGGTGATACCATATTGTTTCACTGTATGCAAACAAAGCAGAAATGAATTTGAGGTGGGGGGCGGGGGGGTGGTTATGAATGCTTGGTCCTAAAGTTCTCTTGATCTTCTGAAACATTTACAAGGGCTCCCAATTAGTGTTTTAAAGTCACACACAGGTTCAGGTACAACTAAAATCTGAGCAGCCAGTGCCAAATTACTTCATTCACCACAGTTTGAATTGGAATTCACTACCTTGTCCTGTTCATGATAACCAATCCGAAGCAATAGAACATGTGAAGGACTATATTCGTTTAGAGACTATTTTTAAATTGCTATTTAAATGTATCCTGATTGGCAGGCCTTTCCCCATGTCTTAAAAAACAGAATAACTCGGGAAGGGTTTATCTTCGGAATGTAAGGGAAAATTATATTAAATTGCATGTTTGGTTCAAAGTCTATGTTCCTACTTTAGATTTCAGTTGGTCAACCCCTTAAGGATCAATGATATGCTGTGTCAATGTGCTTCGTTACGACCCTGTGCCACTATGAAACCGGCTTGGTACACCCCCTGCTGTCACTATCAGAGTATGGCATCTGATTTTAATATGGAATCCTTTAAGACTACATGGTTACAATAGACTTCTGTCACTAGTCCTTAGGGAATTAGGCATTTGCACGCCAGAATGTTTTGAGCCAGAGGGGAAGAAAATCATATCCACTTGTCTGTCTGTAACTGGCATCCATTTGCCTTCATACCATACGACTAGATGCTGCCTTTGTTTTGAGTGTTTAATCCTTTATCCTGCTAGACACTGGTACTAGTCTTCTGTACTCTGCATGGTACAATCTTCCGCTTGATTTCCAAAAGGCTGTTGTGTGCTTTCAATTTGTTGTTGGATCTATGGTAGTGCAGGCTGTTCTCTGGTGTCTTGTCTGACACTCTTCTTTAAAGTTTGATCTAATTCTGTTCCCTTGTTTCACTTTATTTGGTTGTTTATATCCGGCACTAGAACCCACCCCATCCAGTCATCTTCCAACTTTTTAGCCTGTGTTGCCTTACACCCTAGTGGCATCTCTTATCGTTGTGTTAAACAAAACAAAAAATCTTTAACACTTACCTTCTCTAGTGTCTCCATGTGGTGGGAGACTTCAGGCAAATGTTTAGAACAATCATCCTGTATATAAATACTTTGAGCGTTGCTAATAGATCCCTTTCCTTGTAGCTTGTGGTTTATATGGATGTTCTCTGTACTGTGCTCTTTGAATAAATTAACCGTATGAATAGCAGTAAGTCGGCAGTTTCCCCTTCGAGCGTTAGTCCCAAACAAAAGGAATTGGAATTTGCAGAAAGTGGCACATTTCGCAATGTCACTCTTTTTAGCTTATGTTGCCTCTTCATTCCTAAAATGATCCAAAGACACCATAATTTTCTGTTATAAAGGAATACTGTGGTGTTCACGTTCACATCTATACAGACCCCAGCTTTTTGAGCTAAATTTTAGATTTGTTTTCAAGTTGGAAATGGTTCCAAAAAAAAGTATTCAAAAACATTTAATTTCCTAGATGTATTGCAGTAGGACTGGCATTAGGTTGATCAAGGTGCTATAAATCCTTTAAACAGTGCAGAAAAGTCAAATATGACGTTATAGAGCAGAAAGTACTGGTTTTAGCTATAGCGTCTGCTGATTCTGATTTTGGGTATATCACCTGTAAGCGAAAACATGGATTGCATCACTTGCGTATATGGGAGTTAACCCCCACCTCTCTCAATGCTCATTTTAAATCCTTCACAATGTATTGCTCATCTGTACATCCTTTAAAATTGAGTATTAATACGACATTGGAGGAGCAAGTCTGCTTCAGATATAAAATGTACCCTTTCATTGTGCTAGCAAATTGTAGTCCCTCGTGGGGGTTTGTATTCTTCTTGTGGTAGATTAGTACATGCTCTTGTTCAGTATGCAGAGGTTTTAGGTTTAAAATGAGTACCGGAGGGTGTGCTAAGCTATTTCTCAGTGTATAGAGATTACAGCCAGGATAGCTAGATTAGGACTCCGCTGGGCTAGTATTGAAGAGCTGCCATCACACAGCCCTGCTTTAGAGCTTAGACGCTCCTAGGCTAGTGTGTCTAGGTACCAACTCATCAGGCTGTTCTTTCTTGGAACCAGAAGTGGCGTTGTTTAATTTCTCACCCAATGCAGCTAGCCTTTTCTACACTACGTAGATAATCCCCAGTGATGCCAAATAAAGCCCTTGCATATATGTTCTGTATTTCAATGAGCAGGACTTCTGTTATTGTTATTGCGACTGCAGTACGGATCATGTAACAGGTTCATGCCTAATATTACCAAATCATGTACCCTATAAAACAAAGATGGCTCAATGATTTTATAATAAATCAAATCAGCCAATCATGCCAGACTCCTCTTAGAATGTATATATTGTTTGATCGGTGAATTCTGTTCCTTATACAAAGTATAGGTGCATGACCTTATCATATCGCTGGACTATGTGCTGGACCTGGTCATGTAAACCAAACAGAAGCCAGTGCTGCAATTTTCTGTTCAATTTGAGGCCTTAAACTAATCCTCTTTACATGTACAATGCTCTTTGTGGGTTTGTTTGTTCTTTTTCTATACTGAATGTACAGGTTGTGGGGTCTTGTTATGTAGCGGCTGGCATCCTCCTCTTATTACATTTCTCAAACTGATGCCATTTATACTGTTACCATAATGCGCCTCAATAAACTATGTATTTTGTTAATGAACTGGTGTCTGTCTATTTACCAGCAGTAGGATTGTGTTTTACTTTGACATTCTAATCACAATAACCACTTCATGTATTGAAACAGTCCCATTCCTCTTGTCAGTGTTTATCCAGGTTAATACTGAAAGAGGCACCCTGCTGCGCAAGCGAATGGTTCTGAGCTTAATACTTCTGCCCATTCCTGGTCTGGCTGAGGCAGGGACACATTCCACCTTACAGATTATCGGGTTATTTACTAAAGTGAGAATTTCAAATCTAAGGCCAAAAAAGCCAAGCTTGAAAAATTCAGGTATGCTTCTAGTTCAACTATTTTGTCCTAAAATTTGAAATTTACTTTGAATTCTCACTTTAGTGAATAATCCTGTATGTAAATAACTTTCCATATACTGCATAGTAAGGATCGACTGATATTTTTCCAGAGCCAATGCTGATACCAATTATCTGTCATCTTTTGGATTGGTTGCCTATAACTGGTGACGATATTCTGTACGTTTACATTTTTTTGAAAAAGTAATGCAATTTCTACACAAGTCTGGCATAAACCTGTTGACAGCAATCACACACCTATCACTCTGTCAGACAGCCCAGTACATTACAGTAGATTCACTGTCTCACCTCCCCCTGCATTGAGATGAGCTCCATATTAGCCTTACAGAAAGGGGTAATGTGAGGTCACGACGTGGTGCGTCATTGGCTGGCGGCTACAGTTTCCAGAGAGGTAGGTAAGTTCTTGGTAATATCTGTAAATTACAAGGCTGATACAGATTATTGGTATAATGCTGCAGATCTGGTCTAATAATCGACGGAACTGATAATCTGTCTTTCCTAGCCATATCCAAGGCCGCACAACGGGTACCTCCTGCTTATCCCTAATTAGACAGGAACCTATTTAAAAATGTGTTTGATTAGAGAATTTTATTTTTGGCTTAACTGAACGTTGCTACCTTCTGCCCCAAGGGAGTTCAGCTTCTCTTCCTTGGAAAGCTTCAGTATACAGCCCTGTGCAAAGGTGCCCTACTGAAGATACTCCTTTAGTGACCAGGGGTTTTACTTGCTGTGACAATAGCAGTAACAAGGTTATGCCATCACCCTTCTTTTTGTAGGGACTCCATAAGTAGCTGGCTGGGCAGGCACATACAGAGCATAAAATTATAATTAATAAAAAAGTTTGTTGTTGTGGGCCTTATAAGAGACCATGTAAAAAATGTATCTGTGCAGACTGTCTGATATTGTATAATATGACACAGGCAGATGGGCCTGTTGCCACTCTAAAACAGGCGGTATCTGAAGGCATCAAAGAAGCTCAGATCCTCTGGACAATTTGTACAATGAGTTCCGCCTTCATGTCCAGTACTATATTCAAATCCTCCTTTCTTCTTACTGAAGGTAGGGTTTCTCGGCTGCAGTAATTACCTCTACCTTTAGAGTTTGGGATACAGGTAATCATTCAGAATCCCTCTACCAAACAGGTTCTAAAGTTCTTCAATCAAAGACTAAGCTACATCACCTCAGAAGTACATGTCTCTGGGCAAAGGATTTGATATAGAGGAATCTAGATTTGTCAGCTGTATTATGATGCCTCCAGTTAAACGTTGTCTAATGTGGGATCATTCCTTGGTTTTAAGAGCTATGAAGTCTTCACCCCTTTTAACTATTAGCACTGTCAAGCCTTTTGGTCAGTGAATGTCAGGCATAGGAAATACATAAACAGAAGTAGGAACCACTTTTGTCTTAAGACAACTACAAAGAAAATAACAGAGATAAAGAGGAAACTATACGAGACAGGTACGTTTTGGTCTGACAGTGCTGCTCTACCGTTAGCCAGAAGGGTATCAAATCTGCAAGCACTATCTTGCATAGAACCCTGTACTCTTTCATAAGAGAATAATCCTCAAAACTGTTCCTGAATTTAGTCATAAAGTAACTTCTTTTCTCTTTGAGGAATTTATTCTTACAGCTCTAAGGCTTGTCGATCAGAATTAAGACTCCAATATGAAACTTTCTCCTCTTGTCCTAGTTAATGTCTTGGGATCTATGTCTATAGATTTACTCTCTGGTGTTTTTCTGATAGTCTGTTATCTTAATGGGCCAGAAGAGATCTGCCTCTATAGAAGCCATCAGCAGATGGATAGTCTCAATTTTTTCCAGACTGCTAGGCCTCAGGGGTTATAGTGCCTTTAAGCTCTTTCCACTAAAGCCCTTTCTCCCTCTCGAGCGGCAGTGGCCAAAGTATCCCTGGAAATGTAAAATAACTTCTGGGTCCTCAGTCTATACTTTCATCAGGCTTTTTTAATTTGTCCTTATGTGTGTTGTCATTTTTGAATTGATAATTTTGAAGTTTTGTGTATTTTATTCCCTCCTTTGGTTATTGCCCATTGTTGTGCTGCTATGGATATGGCCAGGAAAAAGGAAAATGTGTTCTTACTTACTGTAGTTTTCTTTCTCCGGCCCCTGGTGATGACCGCACTAAGATCCCGCCATAGGATGTTAGAAATAAGACCGATGGTAGCAGGGGATGGATATATATATATATATATTTTTATTTTTTAGGTTCCTGTCTAATTAGGGATAGGGAGGAGCTACCCCCTGTTGTGCTGCCATGGCCTATGACCAGGAAAAGAATTACAGTAAGTAGGGACACATTTTCCTATATCCACACTTCAGCACCCAGATTAAACTATCGTTATCAATCAGGCCAAACAGCTTTATGTATCCAAGTTCTACACAGATCCAAATATTGTAGTACGATGCAGATCACTTATTTTCCTCATTAGATTTATTTTAACATCTATTAAAGTCCAGATTAGACTGTTACAATACAGTTATGACCACTTGTCCTTTGCATAGTTATTTGGCACTTGTGTGTAAAAGTAGTGGATTATGGTTTATTTAATAAAGTAGCCAAATAATTCTGTTACATCATGACTTGTAAATCAACTACTCTTTACATACAACATAAAGGTCAGTTAGCTTATTCTGACAAAAGTCCCTTTAAACTGAAGTGTAATTATACCCTGGAATCTATTATAGAAACACATAGATAATCTTTTCCCTTTAAACTAGTCGATTAAAACAGAGCACGCATGGTTTTCCAACCAGCCGTTTAAGAATCAAATATTAAACTGTTTGCACAGTTTTTACGTAAGAAAAATACTGTAATGTGTAAAACCAAAGTAATCAATTCAGAGTGAATATTGCAAGGTATGTTGGAAACACAATTTGCATCCCATAATGAGTAGTGTCAATCTGTCTCAGAAGAGTGCATTTGCCGTCTGCTACGCATCACCAGCTGGTACAGAGTTTGATTCCAGCAGCTGAAACAAACTTGCTGTGCAGTTACTGTCGAAGGATTGTACCCTCTAGTCCAAATGCCTGTCATCTTCCGGGTTTAGGATTGGTGTGCGATCAGACTCTGACTCTGCACGTTTTGACCTCTTGTTTAGTGTTCCACCCTGTGGTCAAGGAGAAGGCACACAATTTCTGTTAAAACCACTGAGATAAGACATTCACATGCAACCCAGACCAAGCAATAAAGAAAATAGATCCCAGGCAATTTCCTCTAAAGGTTAAATATCACACCAGCTTTACTTTCCTCCTTGATGGATTGAACAGATTCAAGTATTTTAGATGCTAAGTGCATAATATAAAAATAAACAGATTTAATTTTCAGTTTAGTATCCAATCATCTGTGTGATGTGAGACAGGTCTGATCCTTTTCTCTCTTACCATCAGTGTGATTTTGCCATTTTCTTGAAGTTGTCTATCTCTCAATTTACTTACAGTAGCCCACTCTTATTTGCAACAGTAACAGAATCTGACTGCATTGAACATTCTTTGTTTAGGTCCCAGTAGGCACAGCCCAGGCCATGTTTCCCTCCCCAATTACCTGTTTCTTGTCCACTATATTCAGGATGACAGAGGTTGCTATACACGCTATGGTATTTGCCAGCATGAATATCATCATCTGCTGCCAACGCCATAGTGGGATCTTTGCTTCACTGTTTAGAGAAAAACACAAGATGTCTCATTAAATGTGTCTAGTTAAAAGGTAAACTTTAGTGTAAAAATCACCCCTAATCAAATATATATATTGAATTTAATCTAAAAATCTGGGGAGAAGTTACATAGAAACATAGAATGTGACGGCAGATAAGAACCATTCGGCCCATCTAGTCTGCCCAATTTTCTAAATACTTTCATTAGTCCCTAGTCTTATCTTATAGTTAGGATAGCCTTATGCCTATCCCACGCATGCTTAAACTCCTTTACTGTGTTAACCTCTACCACTTCAGCTGGAAGGCTATTCCATGCATCCACTACCCTCTCAGTAAAGTAATACTTCCTGATATTATTTTTAAACCTTTGTCCCTCTAATTTAAGACTATGTCCTCTTGTTGTGGTAGTTTTTCTTCTTTTAAATATAGTCTCCTCCTTTACTGTGTTGATTCCCTTTATATATTTAAATGTTTCTATCATATCCCCCCTGTCTCGTCTTTCCTCCAAGCTATACATGTTAAGATCCTTTAACCTTTCCTGGTAAGTTTTATCCCGCAATCCATGAACCAGTTTAGTAGCCCTTCTCTGAACCCTCTCTAAGGTATCAATATCCTTCTGAAGATACGGTCTCCAGTACTGTGTACAATACTCCAAGTGAGGTCTCACCAGTGTTCTGTACAATGGCATGAGCACTTCCCTTTAGCAGGGAGAAGGCTTTAGCAGGGAGAAGGCTTGAGTCATGGCTTAAAACAAATCCCCCTCTCCTTTCCACCTACAGATGCTGTAATTAAAAAAAAAAAATTAAAAAAAAAAAATAAAGATACCTACCTCATTGACAAATTAACAGCACAGGTCAGAGGTACAACAGAGTCATTTGAAAAAGTGTGGGAGTAATGGATAAACAATGATGTAGGTTATTGACTCGGGAGGTGAAGTTTGGAAGGCTAACCGCTCTCGTGCTCTAGCCACAGACCCTATCGTCTCTCCTCTGTCCACTGATAACCTC